ACAGGAGGCGAGACGAGAGCCGCGAGTCGGACTTTGGCCCACCGTCGAAGAGACAGAGGCCGGCGTCGCGGGAGCGGGACATGTGGGACGGCCGGCGGAGACGGCACGGTACGCCGCCGTGGCAGAGGGATCGCAGCCGTGAAGGGCCACTGCGTCGGTTTTCGAAGGAGGAGAAGGAAGAGAACCCAGTGATGCTGCCGCCGGTGCTGTCGTGGTTCGTAAGCGTGCTGCCAGAGCCTACAGCATTCGATGGTAGGTGGGTCGTGCTTCTTTCGTTAAGTGTTCTGAGCGACGCGTTGCATGTGGCAGGTCCCATATTCAGGACGGACGACTTGATGCAAGTGTTCCGGAATGTGGTCATACCATCAACTTCGAGTGTGTCGAGGGTGCGCACGCCGGCTCCCCCTCCACGTGCCGGTAAGCTGCGTCTCGTCGAACATGTATAGGTTGTGTTTATGCAACGTTATTCAGGCGGAGGACCTCCTCCAGACTATGGTCCATATCAGCGATCGGGCCGCCGCGGGAGGTTTTAGCGTATTGTCGGAGCAGTTTGATCACTTTGAGACGCGTGCTTTACTGTTTGCGCGAGTGCGTCTATCATATCGTGATCTACAGGTTGAGCATAGTCTTAGTCCTGAGTGTCGGAAGTATTGTATCGCAGCAGCGAAAATGTTGTTAAATGTCAAACTGTTCTGCACCTTGTGAATTCGTCGCGTGGATATCGCGAATGTCATGAAGATAGTCGTGCTTTGCGCATGCTGGTCAAGTCTGATGCGACTGGCAGTTTCGGATACAATTCACTTTATCTGCTCAGATTCGGTGAGGCTGTCGGCTTCGAAGCAAGAAAATTTTTATTATGCAAGGCGCTGTACAGATAGCGGGATGACAGCACCATAGGCATGATATGAACACTTCAAGGACCGCTCATTAGTTCTCACAATCGCGATGTACAAGTCACACCTTCCCTCAATGCACTGCGCAGTGATTCATTTTGTCTTCAAGCCGGGACGGAGCCTGTTGCTGTGCCTTCTATCTGCACTCACTTGAAGTCTGGCAGATTTTCTGGATGTCCAAGGCCTCTAAGCTTCTCGTAGACTGGCGTTGCTAAGTTGTCAGTTTCTATCAGATTTTGGCATGAAGGCATTTGTTTGCGACATCTTCCATTAGTGCAACGAGACCTCTTCTGAAGTCCGCATATACTCCTTTCGATATTGCGGCTTGAGCTGATCCGCTGTTCCACGTCATACATTGACTGCAGAGCTATTGAACGTGCGACACGCTGGAGTGAGACGCATGTACGGCAAGGCCAATGGACCAGAGGATGGACTGCCTTGTGGAGACTTTCCATAGCACTCTGGATCAACGACCGAAGGGAAACACTAATAAAATAGCCCAGGCGCACCTGCGAGTACGTTGTATAGTCCGGACACTGTACCGCACACATCGCCGCACCTAGTACGACCGCCGCGTCGACTGAGGATACGAACACGAGCTTCATCTTGACAACACGCCAGACGACAGACCCGATATTGATAATTTCCGAGTGGGGAAACAAATGGCGGTGAACTCGTCGGCAGTGCTCGGTTTCAAGTGATAAACACATCGTTCCACGCTGATAGGTGACTCCTTAAGACATCTGGAACACATATCGCCTCCCCTCGGTTAGGAGCGGACGACGACAGCTCGGACCGGCTGAGTGTACCGATCGGTGTCAAAGGCCGGTCCACGAGAATAAAGAATGAAGTAGGAGAGCGGACACGCCGTGGGCGTTCTTGATGGCCTTGTAGCTCTTCCCGATGTGACTTGGGTGGCAGGATCGTAGCGATTGCGACACTTGGAACCGTATGCGAAGCGCGCGACGCATTCGGATATCACCTGGTCTCGATAGAACGATAAAGTGCCCCGTGAACGTCTTTGCGCAATAACTGTAAAGAGATATAATTCATGTGACCGACGCGAGAGCATCGCCCTCTCCCATTCGGCAAATGTCCTGCAACTGCTAAGCTCAAGAACGGGCTTGCCGCGAATCCGCCCACAATATTGAGATGTTCGAGCACAAACTCAACGTCTTCACCCACCTGCGAGGTCGTCAGGCCCTTAGAACAACCTTCTGAAAGTCCGCGATGATCTCGACGACAGACTTGCTCGCCGGCAGTTGAGACAGTCGCTCGTCGTCGGCTGCCGTTGCACTGGGACGGAGGAGAAGCGCGAACCTGATGAAGGCGAGTGATGGAGTACGGCAAAAACATGGCGATCCATCGAATGACACACCTTTTCACCAGCTAGTGTCCAGTCTCTGTCTGTCCATCGCCTCCAGCCGTGGAGCATAAGATTGAGCTTCTGCGTCGATCTTGCGGACATATCCATCCCCCGCAGTAGTAGAGCACTGACGGTATCTTCATACGCCTCAGCTTTTCCCCGCCCTCCTGTCCCGGAAAAGTGTACCAGCACACCATCGTCAGCGAAGCCAGTCATAGAATCCAAGAAAACACAGCGCGTTATGCTGAAGATCTGTGGCACATGACACGCCACTAAGAGTCGTACCAACGTTGACCGGTATTGACCCCCCCCCCCAAGACTATGCGCCGAGTCTTCCCAGCATATGGCGGCTTTGAAGGCATGCTCGCCGGTGCCGTATTTGTGCTCGAAGGATGGCGCTTGCAATGGTAGTATGTGGAGGCCACGGTCTTGTGTGGGCGCTTGTGGCTTCCCCGGGGCCAGAGGCTGAGCGCCTTATGAGGCCACACGTACACGTGCAAACTCGAGCTACATTCACGGCACATGGGCACGCTCAGTGTGATCCGCGGACTAGACTAGGCATTCGTCGCAAGGACCTACTCTGATCAACGGCTGGCACGGTTCAGCCTGGAGCATCTACCACCGAATACACGTTGAATGTGCAACGGGGCTTGCGGCATATGGTCATATTCTCAGGGCGGATGCACGGCGGGTACTTTCATGCCGTTCATCTTACAGCAGGTCACCTGCTTAGCGTTGCTGTACTCGCCAGCCTCTGAGGGTAGCACGAAACTTTTCGCCGCAACACCGTCGGGGTGACTTGGATCTGGACATGCACACATCAAGGGCAGGGCACTCACCACTATGAACGTCACACTCGGTGCACTTCGCGAACTTGAAGCTGGCGAAGGAGTTATGGAGGAGCATCTGCATGACGGCGTAACAAGCCACGATACTCATGCACCCGCCACGGAGGAAGGTCATCCTTTGGCGTGCACGAGCTGGACGTGAGCAGTATCCAGATGCATTCACTAACATAGATATATATATCTCAGGAGACCTGAACTTGCCCTTCTCACCAGCGGTGACATCCTGGTACTTCTCAAGCTCCCTGTCGAGGTCCTGTCCGATGCGGATGCACTCGCTTATCAGCGTGAGCCAGCGCCGGGCTGTCACACTGACACATCCTCACCCGTACCTCCCTGTTTTGGTTTGCAGAGATGATTAGACGATGACGGTCATGCGCTCTGGCAGTCCGATAAACGACATCAGCCCACCAGATGCAGAGGGGAGGGGATAGTCGATTACGAGAATTGTCGCCTGTAAATGCCGTGCGGCGCGCAAGACCACGATCAGCGACGAGGCCTACGATGAAAGGATGGGCTGTGACAGAGTTCTGACTCGGTGGGTACACTCTAGATGTTCCCAAAAAGATCGCATCGAGGACAATAGCACCAACAAAACATTCAATGGCATCTTGACGTCTTCTATTTCTCTTTCGCAAGCCTGCATTCCCCTTTGTTCTAGTGAATCTCGATTCAGAAGTATTTTCGCGCATCCATTCAGGTCATGAGAATGCACAGGATGTGCACGGCGGCTATGGTGATAGTCGTCTCGAGCACCACGAAGATAATCGAGCTGTGCGCAGGCTGGTTGGGTGTGGTCCAAACCGCGATCGATTGGACTCAACCCCATTCTTGCAGGAAGTTCGGACCTGTTGGAGACTTGTTGAGGTGCTCTGATTAGGGGAAAGAGGAACCTGCCTTTGCACCGCTCTACGTGCTTCTCACCGACTCCTGGACGAGTCTGGACAATACGCGCAAAGTATGCTGATGTTCTGTCTTGGTTGAGCCTTCGTGCAAGTCAGTAAAAGCCACGCATCGACGAGAATGGTCGAGAAAGTCTGATGGTAGGTATCATCGAGGGAAGCGAGCGTGTTCAAGGTATGTCTAATATGTTATTTACGCTTAGTGGCTCGCTATGAAATCGATTTACAGAAGGCCATTGGGCACGATACGACCACGTAGAGATTCTCTCAGTCTAGTGCGAGCGTTGGTTCCTGCATCGTCGTCATGACCACGGTGTCTTGTCACACCTTCCTCATCCACTGGGCAGTGATCGCAACCTGTCTTTGAGCAGCATCGGTGGTTCTAGATGACCGTCTGCTACCGTGGTCAAGCAGCGAAAGCCTTGAGACCGTCAGCGCTGCGTTCAAGGTCTATGAAACGCTCATATGCACGAGAAAAGCCGCCCCACGAACGTTTTCTTGCTTTTCATTCTACTTTACACGCAGCCGATGCGATCCAGCAACGAAGGTATTGATGCTTTATATGACGCGGTTCACACTGATTTTCTTCCAGACAATATAGCCTTCAAGCCCATCACAGTCCGTCGACATGGTTGACGGCGACTGGAGAGCTCAAATATCGACAACGCATGCTTTCACTGGTAAGTTCGCTTTTGATGTATTCGAGTCGCGATAACAATTTTCCAGTTCATGACATGGGTGCCAGTCAGCTCCTCCACGTTAGATGCACGAGCTACACGGCCACAAAGCGATGCTCCGGTGTTGAACTCCCGAATACAAGGACGTTCTGATTCATGCGGATTCCTGCGCTCTGGGCGATATCGCCATGTATAGCCATAAAATGAATCTATCAGCTATTCGAAGCGGAAGCTCCGTTTACGCGCCTGTTGTGGTACGTTGTCTTTGCTTCGATGTGGTTTCTTCCCAGGCTGTACTCGGCACAGCCTCTCGCACCATGACCACACATCTATGACCGTACAAGGAATTGGACCCTGCAGGCACTACACGAGCAGGATTTCTTGTTATTTGGCAGTGGCGAGGTTCTCCTACTCATCTTTGCATTCTTTGCGCTCTGCGGTCATTCGAGGATTGATGTTCGAGCGTCTGCGTACTATCCCATGGATCAGGGCTGTACTACCCATTCTACTCGTTGACGACCGTGCTTGATCGATATGAACGATAATGTTCGTGAAGCGTGTCTTGCAGAGCTATGGCCGTTTCAATTTCTGAAAAATGCCCTTGAGGCTGTTTTGCAAGAAGCGTGTTCTTGCATCTGCTTGGATCATGAAGTTCCTTGTATCAAGTGCGCCGCTTGTTAACACACATCGTCCGCCCATGGAAATGTCTGTGGGGGCGTCTCGTGTGCAATGTGAGTGACACGAGATGTGCCCGCATTGTCATCCCAATCGCACTTCCCCGGTCTTTCATGGAATACTGAGTGTGATGAGGCGTTGTAGGCATGCAATCTCACATCGAGGTCTCGTGTCTGAATGCGTGGAATTCGACCGCCTCACATCGCACAGCATTCGCCGAGAACGATCATTTCACAGACCATGTCCAGAAGCTCTCATCTGCTTCTCAATGCGTTGTCACATGGAATACTCATAGTCCACGGTGTGAAAGGCTATGCGAGCAATAGTTGGAAGAAGCGCATGAGCGCTCGGTGAATGGACGGCATAGCCATGCTTTGGAGTGCTGACAGGAGTGCATATATACGATTGTCAACGTTGAGACTAGTATACGTACGTGCGGCATCTAACGCGCCGAGTCGCTTCTCTTCCGTCTAAATCGAAAACGTTGCTTGTGACAAGATCGACCTCATGGAATATGAATCTTGGAATAATGCGGAGAACGCAAACGAGCCGGTCTAGCTTGGAGGACATATATTTGATTTAGTCTCGTGTGTACCTTTTCTTCTCTTCTACTTCGTGATCTACATTACAGGCCGCATCAGTTTTCTGTCGTCGGATCTTTCCCCCATCCATACTTCCTTTTTACACATTCCCCAGTCTCCCTTCCCTTTCGCCGTTTACGCTGACACCCCTTACGTATCTTCCTTTCGTTTTCTATACTTGAAGAAGCCAACCCACATTGTAATGTTTCATCTACGACTTTGAAGTGCGAACATCCAGGAAACGATGTCGTCGGCCGGTCAAGCACTGGCTCTGCACTGAACAGCAGATGGGAAAGTATCTGCAGTACGAACACACGATGGATGTCACGCTTAAACCTCATGATTGACGAGTAACGCGCACCTCAACGGCCTACATACCACGTCTTGGCTTTCGCCGACTTTTCGATGTACTCATCTGTGCGCGTGACATCAAAACATAGATTAAATGTGAAAATAGAGCTGGAATACAACCGCTTGCGCATTCGTGACGAAAAAATTGAGACTCCTGCATGAACGTGTTTTTAAATCTCTGCACCGGTTAAAGGCTCACAGGCTGAAGGCCTCAGCCGGACGGAAAGCTACGTGGGACTGCGTCTGCCTTGCATTACCCCAACCTCATTCTACCTGTGCGTGCTATCGATCCGGTCAGCGAGATAAGGGGGCTATATACGTACTGCAAATCCATGATATCTGTGCATAATACAGCGCCAATGCAACGCACGCTCCTCGTCACTAAGAGCACAGTATCAATAATTGGAATGGGCCTACAAATGTCGTCGGCCCTCTGGCTGATTCTCGTCATACATGATCATCATTGCCGACCTTCGTGTACATGCAAGGTCACCACAGAACGCCATAAAATGAACGTCAGCTCACCGAACAAGTATGGCCTCAAAACGTCAAGGCCTCACGAGTTGATTGACGAGCAGAATGTATGGTCTATCCTTCGGACAGAAGTCGCGCCTTCCCGTCCGGCAAATACCTGCAACTCCGAGCATAGGAACGGGCACGCCGTGAGTCCGCCCATGTACACGGCAGGACCGTCTGCGGGAGGGTGAGACCGCACTTCACTTAGTGGAGACGGACATAGATGACGTGACTCGTCTCGTCGATCTGCTCCTCGATCGCTTCGATGGAGACCGCTATTTCTAACCTGCCGAAATACAATGAGGGATTTTCTCGTCTGGAAGCGAGAGCGAGCTCACATCCTGTCAGATACAGCACGTCCCGCCTGACACCGTTCTTCCCGTCTCGAGTCTCCGGACGTACGAGGCCTTGGAAGCGTCCTGAAACGTCGCTTTCGTCGAAGCCTCGCATGCATAGAATGTCTTCGTCATTGGTGACGTGCGATCTCTTTAGCTTTATCTGAGAGAGCCTCGGTCAGTGATGAGGAGACATTTGAGCAAAGACCTTACAAAAGTGTGGCTTCCGCGAACGTGGACGGTGCCGCCGACAACCAGATTATTTTCCTGCCTCTCTCCTCAGGCTCAACAATGCGCAGGTGATCCTCAGAGATGATTTACCGTGATAGAGTCCCCTGCGAGTCCATTCATGATTAGAAAATCTAGCTGTCTATTGAATGACGCACCATCCCACCGGTAGCCAACGTCCAGTCATCGCCTCCAGCCGAGGAGCGTCACATCGAGCTTCTGCGTCGAGCGCGCAGACCTCTCCATCCTCGCTGTAGTAGAGAACCGATGGGATATTCAAATCTCTCAGCTCGTTCTCGAAGTCCTATCCCGAAGTAATGAACATGCATCAGCATCGGCAAAGCCCGTCATGAAAACGCACCACGGTGCGCTAAAAAATCTGCGGCTCATTCCCAGGCACCAGATCCAATCCGACACGCCACTGAAAGTCGTATGAACGTCGATCCCGGATACCTTCATACGCCGCTTCTCCCGTGCATGGTGGCTTGGAAGGCATGCTGGATGCTGGAGAGCGGTCTCGGTACTTGAGGGCCGTCGTGTGTAGGGGCTTGTGGCTTCTCCGGGCCGGAGGCTGAGCGCCTTACGAGGCGCACACGTGCAATGTGGGCGCCTGCCTGAGTCACTCAAAGCGCGTCTCAGCACTGATGAAAAAGAAAGACACTCCGAGCTAGTATGCTTGCCGTCTACGACATCAATCGATCGCTGGATCCGGCACGCTCGAGCTCAGTGTGATTCAGCGCGGACTGGACTTAGCGATCGCGATGACCTTCTCCGATCCAATGGCTGGCTCGATACCGCTTGCAGCATCTACCACCGACTTCTCCGGGCGAACGTCTGTTGAGCACTTGTACTCCATTCATCTTCCACCACGCTATATTCTGAGCTTTCCTGTACTCGCCAGCTTCCGAGCGTCGCACGAACCTAAGTACAGGGCAACAGCATCACGACAACTTGATCTTTGTACGCACAAGTCGATGTCAGTACAGTCGCGGCTACTTGCGTCACAGTCGATGCAAGTCGATGCACTCAATCCATTTCCGCGGACCTGAAGCCGGCGAAGGAGTTAGGGAGGTGCATCTGCATGACCGTGCGACAAGCCACGATACTCGTGTACCCAACGCGCAGGAAGGTCATACTTTGGCGTGCATGAGCTGGACATCAGCAGTGTCGAGGTGTGTGCACTCACATTGATGCATGTACCACAGGAGACTTGATCTTCCCTTCCCACCAGAGACATCCCTGGTCCTCTTCAAGCTCCCTGTCGAGGTCCTCTCCGATCCGGATGCACTCGCTTAACGGCGTGAGTGAGCATTCGGGCTGCCATCACGGCACATGCTCACCACACCTCTTTCTTGTAGTTCTTTTTTGTAGTTCGCGGTGAAGATGCAGACGATGACGATCGTAAGCTCTGGCAGTCGGACTGATTAGATCAGCTCAGCAGAACGGGAGTGTCGAGCAGGAGGACTGTCACCTATCGAGTCCTGTACAGCGTGTACAGCGTGCAAGGTCGTGGTCAACCGCGATGAAACGATGGGCCATAACGGAGTTCCGACTCTTGAGCATACGCCCTCAATGATGGCCACATCGAGAATGGTACAGCTATGAGGACGTCCTATGGCATCTTGATGTCCTTCTATTCCTCTCCCGCAGGTCTGCATCTCCTTTGGCCTCGTAAAACTCGACTCAGAAGTGTGCTCGCGCGTCCACTCATGTCCTACGGATTCCGAGGCGCACCTCAGTGCATGTCAGTCCCTACGTCTAGTCTACAATATATGAAATCGTAGTGTCGCTGCACAGCGATGAGTGGTATCTGGAGTGAATACTCGACCATGGGCGGTACGTGCTAACTTGAGCTTCGTTTCAACTGATGTGGGCTTAGGGGCCTTTGAGAACTCTTCTAGGTTGGACACGAAAAGCTGCTGAGGTAGTTCAACTCTCTGAATCTTAAAACATCGAGATGGGGAACTACCCTGATCTTTCTTGTTTCCTCTGTGCTTCGTGCGCTCATCTTCCGTCATGAACACCCAGGTGAGCGCACCCAGATTCGACCCTCCCAGCTCCAGTATTCTGGACTGGAGTGTTCTCTCGGGCGGACGCACGCAAGCTCTCAGTCAAACCCATATGCTGCATCATCAACACGTGGGCCGTGGACAGACGCATCTAGCTCATACATGACCGAGCGGATTAACGGACGGTCGCTGGAGGAGGCGGAAAACACCAAGAACACGGAGATAGCGAAGGAGCTGTGCCTACCGCCTGTGAAGCTCCATTGCTCGAGTAAGTTCCTACTCATACCAGTCTGATTCATTTATGGCTGGCTGCTTTTTCCAGTGCTCGCAGAAAGTGCTATCAGGTCCGCCATCCGTGAGCACCGGTCAAAGCGCACGAAGACGTCCAACCCGAAGCAGGCTGGGGACATCGACGTGTCTCGCCGGCTACGTCGACGTCTCTCAAAACTCGGCGACAGGCGAAACCGTGGGCAACAGCCGATGCTCCATCTGCGTAATTCACACGACTTCTTACTCTTTTCCGTCTTCATTCGCCCGCTATGTTGTACGAATAGTTGCTATTTTGCATGGGTATTTTGCTATTGTAGTATTTTATGACCCATAACAACGTTAGGTTGTGAAGAGGTGGCTAGTCTATTGAATGTATAGCTCATGAAGCTACTCCCTTCTGTGCGACGAAAGAGGATGTGCCTCTAGCAAACCACCTCTCGTTCGCCTCCCCGCGTTGTGCGGCACTGCACGGTTGGTCAATTCAAATCTTGAAAAGATCATGTGTTACATCCTGCAAAGATTGTGCGTTACATTAATATGTCATGAGTCGAATCGCATTGGCTACTAACCTTGTACCGGAGTGACGGTCAGCGAAGTGGTCGTTCCATGTCTGCGTGAGCCAGCCTGCGCGGCTCTGGCGAGCGCAGCGTCACGGAACCTATTCGCCTTCGGAAATTTGGCTACAAAGGGTGGGGCGATCAGCACATTCCCTCGTGCTACTATGTCTGTGTGCAGCGTACGCTCGTGGTTTGGGCGGGAACGGTGGCTGGTGGACGCTTGGCCAGCGACGAACAAGAGGAGACGCGGGCGGGCGCGGCGCGAATTCAAGGGAAATTCAACTCCTCAGAAAAGTAATCGCCGTCGTTCGGCTGAGGTACACTAGCAGTTGTATATGGCGGGTCGCTTTCATGGTACGGAAGAGACGATCTCCGAGCACGAGGTGACGCGTAATAGGTGTGACTGTTCGCGTCGGTGGTGCGACGGGTGCGATGGGTTCGATGAAGACACCAGGTCCCAGCGAGGGGAAGCCAGGCACTGTCGTTCGCGGAAGATACGGCTGCGGCATCCCTTGATGCCCGTCGTACGTGATCGGGAATGGACCTTGTTTCCTATTCTGCTATGACAGCAGAGGTGCACCTGAGTCGAGCAATGTGCGGGACGAGCGTCGGTCACTTACCGTTGGGTGGATCAGTGGGCGCCCTGTTGCAGATGCGTACGGATATTCCGTCCGAGTTGCCATTGTGCGGTGCTTGCAGACCGCCCCCGCCTATAAGATCAGCTGCTTCGCACTTATAGAGGAGACTGACAAGCAGAGACACGAGAGCGATGTCCTAAACAACAGATGAGTATCTGAGTCGTTGAACACACTGGCACAACACTTCGCACGAAGTCATCGGGAGAGACGCCCAAGCGGCGTTACGTATGTGACATTGCTCTCGACTAAGCAACTGCAGGGTGGGGCAAGCGACTGCAAGTGGTGGACATTGCATGAGTTACTATGTCCACCCCCCGTCTCCCTCTCTCGCCGACCACCAAGTCGTCCCGCAACATGGACTCAAAGTCACAGTCCCTGCCTAGTGTGTTGTCTGGACTCTGGTGGAACCGCTTGAGCATCGCTCTGGTCACGTGAGTATATCCCGGTCCATTCAGCTGATAGTGGCCTGCATCATCGGACAAATCATTATCCTCGTCTACCATCTCACAGGCCCACCAAAGTCGCTGTCCCGCTCACTGGGTCTGAACACGGAGCCAGATTTCTCCCATCTTGCCGACCACTGCGCCCGTATCTCCCCGATACCTGCTAGTTCTTTCGTGCAGCGGCAGCAAGCGCTTGCACAGACCCTGAATGCTTCAGCCTATATTGCCGAGCCCGGCGCGAGCGCCGGATATCTGCTAATTTGTCGGAGGCACAATGATTCTCCTCAGAATGACCGCTATTGCTTATCATCTCACCTGAGGTCGATGCTGTGAAGGCTCCAGTCTCAGTAATGACGCCGGCATTCGAGGCAACCCGCGCGAGGCTGCTTCTCTTTCCAAGTGCTTCTGATACATGGTCGGATAACGTGGACCCCTATGGTATGACGCGATCCGCAGTTCCTCACTTGCGGGAAGGAACGAAATTCGTCGACGGGATGCTGAGGAGTTTTGTTTCTGACGGCATTCAGAAGGCATCACCAGAGTCCAAGGTGATGCTTGCATCTGTTGAGATCCGGCGGCTTAGGGAGAGGAAGAGCGAGGAGGAGCTCGAGATCATGAAATGCGTGAATGAGGTAAGTCGCCAGCCATACATCGAGCCTCAAATATCCACTGAGAAGTCAAGTTAGGTCACTATTCTAGCTATTCATGCAGTACGCAAGAATATATACGTAGGTATACGTGGGTCCAAGGCTCGTCAGCTTATCGTGAAGGCGCTCTCCGCTGCCGGGCTGCAAAACCCAAGTGCCCTTATTTTGTTTAGAGGTGAGACCTCAGCGGCGTTGTTTTCATTTCAAAGCCTCACTCTGAATAGAAAATGCCGCTCTTCCTCATGGCAGCGGCACGGATCGCGTGCTGGGAGCGCACGACTTTGCTTTGATTGATTCTGATGGATCACTGCACGGTTATCACAGCGACGTCACGAGGGTACGTACTTACTCGTTCTTCAAATCTCAACAAACTAATGGTACTCTCAAGTAGACATTCGCTCTCCCTGATTCCACAGTCCACGCAGCGTACCTGAGATTATGGCACCTTGTGCATTCGGCGCAGGCTAATGCACTCGACGCCGCACGAAATGGGACAGCCACTGCTGGTGACCATGACCACGTTATATGTGTTACTACTCGCAATCGTCCTCTAAGCTCGCTTGCCTCAAGGACAACCGCGATGTACTACGGAGACTCAACCGCCCAACGATGGGCCCGGCCTTTCCTGTCCCAATGTCTGGGTCTGCTCCATCAGATAGTAATGAGGAGGATGGTCAAGGTACATTCGTTGAGCATGGGCTTCCCGCGGAGCCCTCGATCCGTTATGTGCAGGAGACTTACTAGGAGGTCGTGCTGAGCTTCTATTCCACTAATACAACTATTCTCATGGCCACCTCAGCCTGAATCCTGCTGGATTGCGAGTCAGCGACATAAAAGTCTATGAAGACACTGTGCTACTTTATCCTGTACTCGTCTTGCTGGCTATCGTCCCTCAAGGTTCATTGTCTGTTACGAAATCATGAGATCCGATGAGAAGGACGTCGCTGCAGCGCACTTTTGTGTCGGGTGCGCGCGCACTCGACATTTCTTCAGAGCTCAGACTCGGAGCGCAGCAGTGGGGCATGAGAGTGCGAGCACGCATTGCAGCTGCGCGAGGAGGCACAAGGGTTGCTGGAATTGAGTCTGAGCACGAGGTGGGTAGACAAAAACCCGGTCCAAGCAAGCTGTGCTCTTCTTCGTGCTGATCGACACTGCTCACTGCTTTCTCATGTTGCAGGATATCGCATTCTTCGAGGTATAAGTGCACCCTCTGCACTCCACCAAGCGTGCATGTGCTGAGCTCGGCATGCTCGACTCGCTCATTTGGTGTCTGTCGCATACATCCGTGGATGTGGGTGACCCGTGCGTGAGCACATTTCTGCAGCGTTCTGCCCCGGTGCTCCCCGTCGCCGGGCGCGAGCGGAGACATGTCATCTGTGAGGAGTTCAACGCTGCTTAGCATCCCCTGTGACCGAAGGCGACGAAATTTGCCTTCCAGTGGTCAAACCCTGATGGCTCGAGGACCGGATATCTGTACAAGGTGGAACTTCGGAGCCTACTTGTTGGTCTGCAGCTGCACTCTATTCATAGAAGCTGTAGGAGATGACTACCGAATCCGAATCCTGGGCAGAGCAGCACTTATCGTGAAGTAGAATGATTATGACTACGATGTTGGGCACCCAAAGGCCACCGGTATCCAGAGAACCTTCAAGTCAACAGATGATAGAACTCAGAGCAGCGAATGCGGTGTCTTCCGTATGGGAACAATATCTTATACTCTGCATCAGCTGTTCCTGCCATCAACATCGTGAAGCCGAAGTTACCGCGCACCAGTCGGAGCCTGAGTTCCGCATGCTGGAAGTATAATGCAACAGACAACATGATGCCGAAGACGATCAATAGAATATGAGAGAAAACCGTCAGTTTGCTATAGGAAGCAACTGGTACTCATTTTCCCTGTAGTCCCTTGAATGCATATAATGTCGTTACGTACCTAGCTCCTCGATTCTGATTCTCTGTCGTTCTGCACTTTTGATGGGGTTCTACAAATGATGCACACAAAGGCAGCCATCGTGTTCTCATGAAAGTTGAATGTGATACCGAGTTGTTGCCAATAAAGGCCCACACCTGACATCTTTTTCATGAACCCCTGCAATGCAGCGTTAGATAAATCCTCAGGTTCTCGTTCATCTACACGAACAGCGTAGTCAATGGACCTTTCTCATGCTGGTGCAATCGACGTAAGCCTCGTGTACCTTGGGTTCAAGCCCACAGCCATACAGTCGTACAGACCAGAGCTCGCGGACTGGCAGCGCTCGGCAGGGTGAAGTGTAGTGATGTCGGTCGTGGTTAAGCATGACTGAGCTTCGTGACCATTCCAGGGTCATTGTCGGAGTTGCCTCAGCTGTTATCCGGATCATGCCAGATAGCAAGACTCATCGATATCGTATGTCGCTCTGTTTCTCATCACTATACAGCCACTCAAACGAATCATCAGGGTGCAGACATTGAGGACACAGAATATGCCGAAATTTCAACCTAGTGAACAACCTCAAAACAGACATAGCAAAGGTATTTATATAGCTACAGTCAACAGAGGAAAATCAATGAGTTAACAGTTCTTGTCACCAGGTTCTGCACTAGGGACCATGACTAGGCCTGAGAGGCGCTACAAACCCTATGACGCCAGATTTTCACTGCATCATAACAAGCAACTGGAGTCAGAATTATTCAGTGATGCTGTTCTGTAAGCAAAGCAGCCTCATTCTCAATGCCTGAACTGATCTATTCTTGTTTGACAGAAAAACAACCACTGCTACACAGCGGCGGCCTGCCTATATACAAAGTTTAGAGGCATATGTTGATCATCTCACCAATCAAATGATTAATTTTCAAATTCCTCTTTTCTCTATGGATCTGATTATGATGGAGGGCCCAAATGGATTACCTATTTCACAATTAAAGGTGCAATCTCTATTATTTACATATATAATATAGTCGATCAAACTCTTCAAAACATAGGGAATGGTTGCTGCTTTTCAGCATGACTTGGACAAAGTTGACAAGATGTATGGGAAAATATGAAGGCAGATTGTCATATGTTGATTACTTTTGTCCTTGATGGACTGTCAAAAGAACTGTCATGTCTGTTGTCACCATTCACTAGATGAGCATGCAGGGCTGATTTTACTCAAACATGAGAGACCTTGATAGCCTAGAACTCGAGAAGAAGGTCAGAGTCTGAATCCGGACAGATTGATGGTCCGCGCGCCCCGCTGACGTAAGCGGTCCCCTCGCGCAAGCGCTTGTGCCTGTGGCTCCAGGACCCCGGACCACCGCCGCCGCCCATGACCACATCGCCGCCTGCGGACGTGAGAGCGGGATTTCAAACCACAAAAAGAATCTCAGTAGAACACTAGGTTAGTTTCCTAATTTTTGATATTTTTAACGGACTCTGTGGGTGAACCAGGGCCAGATGGTGAGATTCGCACAAATGAGGCGTGAGAAAATGCCGCGGGTGGGCGTTGACTGCCTAAAACGGTAACACCGTTGAGGGCCCCACGCGCGCCTGTGGGACCGTAAATTTCCCCCGCTGGGACCGTCAATCTAGCGGGACGAAGAGTGCTGCGACACGGGCGGATCCTGACGGGCAGCCGCGCTGCGGTGGGGGCGAGGCAGTGTGGCTTTGTAGAGTAAGGGATTTGGAGCTAACGCGCGTTCACTGTCTACCTGTTGGCTACTTCCCTGACCTGCATACAAGCAAAGGAAACGATATTCCTGCTTCTACCCGATGTCTGTCCAACCGAGAGTCGAGGAGAGACCAGAAGCCAGATGCTTACGTGTGATAGCTGATCCTGAGGGGGCCTGAGGCCTGATACATGATGACTCGTAGCGTTCACAGAGCCATCACACGTCAAGAGCGAACGAGAGAGAAAGCCGTTCCCCAGTCATGGCCGACTCAGACAGAGACCCTGAAAAGCTCTGGCTCGAGACGCCTCTGGTGTACTCTCCACATATATCCGCAAGGCTGGGATGTAACGCCTATCTAAAGCTAGAGGTGAGCAACTGCGCAGTCCAATGACTCCTCCAATCCCAAGATATACCACGATCATCCTTGTATCACACAGACCCTCCAACCATCGCAATCCTTCAAGTACCGCGGAATAATGCCGGCCTAGCCGTCGCTTGTGTGAGCAAAAGGCTGGGGGCACGATGCACCGTGTACTTGCATGAAGGCGTCAGCGCATCTACGATCGATTTCTTACAGCGAGAAGGGCGGAGGTTGTTTCTGTAGGTACGTGTTACCTGCACGCCCGCAGGAAGGCTAGGAAGCTGTCAAATTGAATACAAATGCGTATGTACAGCGACTACCTGGTTAGTCAAACGCACAAGCTCACTGTTCGATAACAGGGTGATGGTGCCGCCGCATGACGACCCCACTGGTGTGGGCAGGCCACGGATCGATGGTTGCGGAGATCGCTCGCCAGCTCCCACCGGGAATCAAGCCTGATGCTGTCTTCTGCAGCGTCGGCGGAAGAGGGCTGGCCGGAGGCATAATGTACGGCTGCAAATCTATTGGATGGGATGACGGTGAGCATGCGTTCTGCGAGTATCCCACTTCGGAACTCAACCGTGTGCAGTGCTCCTTGTCGCATTGGAGCCAACCGGCTCCAACTGCTTCTACCAGTCGCTCGCTGCGAACGCTGGAGCGCGCCGGCGTCCAGCACTCTCCCAGAAGACATTTGCGTAGAGCATAATGCCATTCACAATGTGGAAGTAGCTCACCTATCCAAGTTGACTTCCCGGGCCATTTCCCTCGGAGCTTCCTCTCCCGCAGCAACAGTCGTGAAGATGGCACTGAAGAGAAGCGGAGGTGCCGAAAGCGTGTGCATGCCTGACGAGACGATTATGCAAGCTGCACTTCTCTTTGCAGGTGTGTAACAGATCAATCGACCCTCGTCTGCACATATGAAACTGAACGTCCGGTTTACATTCGCGCTGACAGAAGAGTACAAGGTGCTAGTGGAGCTTGCTTGCGCAGCCACACTCACCCCTGCATACAAACCGGATTTATTCAACAAGCTTTCACCACCGTCGTCAACGACGACACCGAGAACGGCAGTCTTCATTGTCTGTGGCGGGTTCAAGATTTCGTTGGAGGGGATGGAAGAGTACAAGAAGCTTCTTGAGGCAGACGCAGAGCGCGGTGGACAGTGGACAGTGCTGTGCCATGGCGAGCAATGGGACGTCACGGTGGAGAAATGAGACAGAGTAGTAGTACAATAGCAGGCGTATCGAGCACGAAGGCTATAACAGTGCACGATAGATATGTATGTTGCCTTGACCACAAATGTGACTTCAACACTAGCAGTGGGTGGCGATGGTGTACTCACGTAGCATATTGGTGATACACGGACCATCTTATGTGCAAATGAGCGCCGAACTCCTTTTCCGATGCTAATCACAGAAGACGCTCGCTCACACTGGAGTCTGAAGTAGCAGACGCCTCTCTCTGCCGTTCTGCCTGCCTTCCTTTCAGCTCTGCGTGCTTTGTATCTTGCGAATCCCTCCTTCAGTGCATCATGGTTGGTTCAGTGCATCATGGTTGGTGAGGTGATTCTACGGGAGCTAAATTTTAGCCCAGTCCTTCTGTGCGTCAGGTGCCAATGAGACGTACTGTAGCGAGTCGTTCCTCTGGTGGGAAGATTTTGCCCCTGTACTATAGCGAGTGAACAGACATTAAATGAGTCCCCTGGGTTTCGCGGGACTAGACCAATTGCCCAAGTTACACCCACCGTCAAGATGTGGCGGTTGTATCAGTCAGGGTCACCGTAGTGCATCATCACCGCTACAGGGAGGAAGACGTAGACGGCAAACTTGAATACGTCGAGGTTCGGACCACCCATGATGTATGGCCTATGAGTGCGGGCGGTTGACTAAGTCCAGTGGGTGTGTACAGGATCGCCCGACCTGCTAGCTATTCGAGCGACGTCGTTCGCGGCAAGGGAGACAAGAACTGAATCCGGAATCGACAACTTGGTCTTCGCAGTGCCCAGAGCTCACTCCTAAGCGCCCCTTTCTTGATGTCCAGGTGAAGGCTCAAGTCGATGCCTCCTTAATGGCTTTTCATAGTACCTAAACTCTTTGCGCTAGGGATTCTCTTGGAATGCCCATCAATCTTCCTACTCTGAGACCGACAGCTCAATATTCAATATGCACATGTCAGGATTGGTTTCAGGCCAGTTTTCCTAATTCAATTTAAATCTAGGTATGTGACAACCCGACTACATTCTGCAAAGCGTGATATCGTACAACACCCCGAAACTTCCGTGAACGCGGATCCGACATACAGGTCAAATACAGGTCTTCCATCCCACAAGCGTTTCTCGCTGACTACTCGTACCCCCTCAAATTTATTGAAAGAGCCCGTTCAGTCTTGAGCATTTCGCCAGGTCCAGTACGATCTTTATTCATGTATACCAATGAGGTTCCTTGATCAGCACCCCATACATTTACGTAAAATGTGAAAGAAGCACGACGCACGATATCTACCACGAGCCGGTCGATCATTCACGCGCTCAGGTTCTCGCGTACGACAACACGCAGGATCTCCACGTCCTGCAGCGTGGGGGCGAGCTCGTAGTTGGGCACGATCCAGCTCCTGGCACGAAGCAGGGTCTGCACCCAGCGCTGCTGCACGCCAGGGTTCTTCTGACGATACTCTTCCGAGAAGCGGAAGGAGACAACCGGCAAGCCGGGAACATAACTCTACGAAAGTCAGTCGCATCAGGATGATGCACAGGCTAGGAGGGAGAAGTTCAGACACACCTCGACGTTCTCCTCATCGAATCCGAGTCCAACCGCTTGCTTTGCGGCACCTAACATACTCTCCGCCGGCCAGTGAATGTCACTCAACACCACGAACAACCCGCTCTTCTCCAGCACCCGACTCAACAACCTCGCATTTTTCAAATCTGCCAACGTGACAGCACGGTACGCCTCCCATCCGAGGTGCACAAAGTTGAAGACTGCGCAATGATCGGATGCGCTGCGCGCGAGAAGTTGAGCGAGAACGAGTACTCCACCGAGCGGAGGTACTGCAGCTCGAAGATGAGGTCCTTCGGAAGGAATTTCTGGGAGCGCCACACAACCCAGCCTACGCCGACGTACGACAGACCGAACTTGTGGCCCGAAGTATTGATGGAGACGACACGCGGGATGCGGAAATCCCACTCGAGCTTCGGCGTCGCGAAGGGCGCGATGAAGCCGCCAGATGCACCGTCGACGTGAATGGGTACCGAATGGCCAGTACGCGCCTCGTACTCGTCAAGCAGCTCAGCCATCTCTTCGACAGGTTTGTGATAACCGGTATATGTACCTGGTCCACAATTAGTCTCACGTTCACCCGATGTCTGTATGAATTATAAATCACTCACTTCCAAGAATGACATATACCCCTATCGTATTCTCGTCGATGTATTCCATCGCCTTCTTCGGGTCAAGACGATAATGGCTCTCTTCCGAGATCGGCACGAGACGCGCCTCCACATCAAAGTAGCGAGCAAACTTCTCGAGTGCGACCTGCGCGTTCGCGCCCATGACGATGTTGGGGCCGGGATCGTGGATGCTTTTGCCCTCTGCCTTGCGCTTCTCCTGCCAGATACGCTTCATTGCGGGCCCGCCGGACTGGATCGCCTCGTAGGAGCCGGTGGTGGCAGTGCCGATGGCATGCTCGTGGCTCGGGGAGTGCCAGAAGTCGGTGAGGATGGACGCGCAGCGCGTCTGCGAAGGCAATGCCGTCTTAGCAGAATGTCGTTAAGTGGATAAATGTGCATACGCACGGGTCATGGGGTACTCATCTTGGTCAATGAGATTCTTGCCGATATTCGCCATCATCAACTGGTCAGCCTGCTTGGGCATCCAGGTGTGGACGAAAGAGGCAAGATTCAGCAGGGGAATGCCGTCAAGAGAGCGCTCGTCGTGAAGGAGCTGGTACGTTGCCTCCGCATCCGTGCCCTGAGAACAGCCGCATGAGGGGAGGTGAGACTATGTTAAAGCCCCGATCAAGGTACTTCACCTTAGAGGGTAATTTGTACGACCCTTTTGTGGGGCCATCCAGGGCAAACAAGCTCGAGATGAACAGACTTCCGATCACTACATCCTGTGCGAAGCTGCAATCTCGTCCTTGTCTCTCCGCTCGTGAATCTCATACTGTCTTTAGATGGTTGCGTTTCTATCGATCGGAACGTACGACTATGGTACGCTCTGTTGCGCAGGAATAGTCTGGTGATTGTACACAGGAAAAAGAACCTTGCCCGGCTCCATGACGGCTGTGAAGACATTGCTTTTTGACACGAATTTCACGCGAAGAGCAAAACGTTAGCATCAGATGACATCAAAATCACAGAACAACCAGCGACACTTCTAGAGTCGACTACCGATACAGTGACATGACCGATAAAGCAAGCACAACATGTGTAGGTCATCTAGACGATACATCAAGACAGTTTTCCGCGCGCATCGACACGCTGGGAGGAACATCTGGCCAGACGAATATCGCACTGTTGCCAGGCCAGGCACTGCGGGCATAGTCCGCAGCGAACAATGAATATAGACATATCCAGGAGAGGGAATTTGGAGGTTGGTAAAGGGGCAGTGATCCCAGCGGAGTGGGGCCACAGGGTCGGGTAGAGGGCTTCGCAACGGTGAGCCACTCAGTATAGCGGAGTCAAGAAAGGCTGCGAGTTTCGCCTCTCTTCACCTAACCCGAGGTTGCGTATGTGACAAACGCATTGAAGTCATGAAACTCGGGGTTCGTCGTGAACGTATACGCGTCTCCAGGATCAACAGTGAGCACCATCTGCCCGTTGCGCACAGGCGTGCCGGCCATGTCTGCGCCGTGCGTAAGGTCCATCGAGAGCTGAGTCACACCTGCCTCGATGGCGACGGCGGAGTTGCTCATCGACGACGTCGCCAGCGTGATGGTCCCTTGCTCAGTCACCAACATGACTGCCCACAGGTCTTCGGTCTGCGGAGACACGGTGAACGATTAGCGCGAGACTGATAGCGGAGAGCAGAGTAGAAAGCAATGGACGCACCAGCTGATAGTTGGTCGGCGGACCGATCATGTCATTCCATGTGCTAGCGTCTTTGGCACGCGGGCGCGCCCAAAGATACAGCTGATCCTGCATGATCGCGGGGTACACGCCCGTGCGGAATGCCGTCGCGTAGTAGTACGTCATCGCCAGCCAGCCTGCAGGCCCTATCAGCGTCATCGTTGTGTGACCAAATTTCCATGGCATTCGACACACCGGTATAGTTCATCCTATCAACTCAGTTCTGTGAGTTGGGCTGCACGCCCTCGATGGTCCTGATGTAGTGCGACTCGCCATAGTTGTTGAATGTGATAACCTCGACGACGTCGATGCTGTCGCGGTTTGCGATGATCGTGTCCATCGATTGCTGTACCGGTGGCAGTCCGAGAGGCACATAGACTGTGCAATGCAGACGTCAGCACAACCTCAGTCAGGATGGCAAGCTCAGACTCAAGTTCTCGTCTAACGTATTCTTTCCATAGTGCATGTATAACCACAGGCTCACGGGGGCGATGAATGTTATCCCGTTATCAGAGCTCAACAGGGCCACTCATGTACTGGGAACCGCTAGCGAATGAGCCCGTGATCGCGTTCGACTCGGACTGAATGGAGCCGCTGAAAACCGCGACGGGCAGGTATGTCAAAAGGCCAGATTCAGACAATTGTGGTGGCCAACCCCATTGCACTGATGAGTACAATGACAGTGCTTAGCAATTTGGGAAAGTTCCACAAAAAGCTTACCTTAAACACTCCGTCCATCACAGCATCGAACGTCGAGAACGAGCTGGCGTCCACGAGGAATGCAGACACGAAGTGCATCGCATTGCTCCCCGTCAGCTGGTCAATGAGCAGAGTCGTCCACCCCTCAGCTGCGCTCGACTGGGGGAATGTGCAATCCAAGCTGGAGAATGTGGACGCGAATACCTGCACATTCTTCGTGAGCTGGTTCGGGTGAGACGCGTACGTTGTGATATACATCGTCAGCGTGGAAGCGTCCGAGGCGTCCCCACAGGGAAGCACGGACATGTCGAAAGACATGAATAACTTGAAGCCCGTGCCCGAATTCTCTGCGGTTCGTTATCTGCACGAGCAGGTCGGCATATAGTATGCCGCGGGTGGAAGAAAAGACGCACGCATTCGCAACTCGGGCAGGCTGCCAAGAGTCAGAGCCAAAATTGAGTGAAAAGCCATGCAGGCCGGACTCGTAGGTGAGGTAGTGTCTGCGAGCCAGTCGTCTTGAATATACGGATAGGTGCTGCCCAGTATGTGGTGTGCCACGACAAGCTTCCTCGAGGTGTCGCGCTTAGTCTTCGGACTCACAGCGGCTGAGTGGTGGCGAGATGGTGACAGAGGAAGGGGAGGAGCGACGCCGGCCAGGGTGAGAAGAACGAAGGAGGAAAACATGGTAGAAGCGCGCATGCCAATAGCAAGATTTTGTACAAGACAACAGAGAACTGGATGAGATGGCACAAAATACAAGTCGAAAACGATCGTCAGCAGAGAATGTGAGCACAAGGCAAAGGAAAGAAGGCAGGAAGAAAGAACAGAGCGGCAGGCGCAAGGAGCTCAACAAAGTCAAGAGGGCGAAAGGATACGAACTGAAGTGAAGCCAGAAAGTCGCCCGGACATTCTAAGGAGGCAGAAGGGCGGCAATCGAGTGGCACAACAAGGCATGGACCATGACGGACGCACCTGCTTTCTGACCGCAAGCGCGACGCCATCGCATCTGATTGGACATCGATGAATGTCGATGCGGCGATGATGATGGCGGCGCTGGAGAATATGGTATCAAAATCATGAGCGTGTCAGGGCCAGAGGATCTACAAGGAAGCAGGAGGAGCGGGACCGAAGGCAGAACAAAAAATGCATGGGCTGAGGAGATTGACTTAACGTTGCGCACGGAACTTCCCTATCGGGATGACTCCTGATAAGGAAAGCTTCAGCTCAGCTATCGCCGAAGAAACGAACGTGGAGCACCGGCTAGTTAAGGTAAGCGCCGGTCAAGGAAATCGGCGCGTGGCAAACAAACGTAGGATCTTACTGACAACCAAAACGATTTCAGAATGCAACTTAACATTTTTCCTCACATATCTTGACCTGATACGATGCGCAGGTCACGCTCGGTAGACCTGCCATCGTCGGGACCGAACCCGGCTGCGGGTAAGCCGTTGCAGTTCCTCAGACTCTGCTTTCTGCCACGGGCTTACGTCGCTTACAGTACCTGACGTGCCCACGGTCGAGGTAAGCGCCGGTCGTGGGGATTTGACCAGCATATAAGCTAATTTGTAGAATACCCGTTAGAGGAGCTTGCAACCGTGGATACCCCCAACGTCAGAGCTAGCTAAGTCCTAGCTCAGTTGCACGCCTGTGAACCTGCTGTGACCATCCTCCTCGGACCGAAACCCCGCACCTTCTTCACTCCAAGACGAAGCTCCGAAGCATGCTCTATCTCACCATCTCTCAATTATTATTCTGGACACTTGCTTTCCACCGGCCAGCCCCATCATTATCATTCACACTGCGCGGACCGCTAGCCTGGGCTGATATACCCCTCTGGCCCCCTCGCCGCCTTTCTCCACTGACGTCCTCAGCAGCGGTATGTCTTCCATTCTCCTTTCCTTCAGCGGCGCGAGTTCTCACCCGTCTCTGCGCTGAACAGCATTCACAGCAACCTCATTGCACGCCTCCTCACGACCACTTTCCCTTCTTCCCACAAACCCGCACCGCGGATACTCGTCCGACGTTGTTTATAGCACCCAAACTCCCAACCCTTACCCCATCTTCATCCCGAAGCGGCCTGTTTTCCTTCGTAGCTGCTGATCCTCTTCATTTCTTCTTTAGATTCTTTCTCTCACTGCCAACGCCTCTTCTCATCCTCCTGCAACATGTCCTGAGTCTCATCTCCTTCACCGCAAGCCACTGTGATAAACGTGGTATCATCCTTCTCTTCCTGCATGCCGCCATCAATAACGCCATCATATTCCCGCCGTCGAGCAAACTCCAGCGCCGGTCCATCATCGCTCCTCGTACGCCGCACCAGCAAGCCCGATGCTATCATTTCCCTTTTCACACTTTCTTCTCCTTCGTTCCCTACCCTCAGTGCATCGCATCGCATCGTCGCACCTCTTCCGCGCTCAGTCTTCTCGGCAAGGCACACCCAGGCACAGTCTCAACCGGCCCAACCTCAAATTTGCTCAATGTTCCCTTTCCCGAGCATTAGCATGTCCACCGCGACTGCCACAGGCAAGGTGCACGTGCCCCGCGATACACTACCGCTCGTCTTCGTCCCGTTCACGCCGATCATGGCATCTCCCATAGTGACGCCCGGATTAGCACATCCCAAGAGGGCCGCGAGCCCGGGTCGTTGGCGGTCCTTTTGCAAGACTTAGCGACAGCGCTATTAGACTACTTGACATGCGGAGACAAGGAAGTTGTGCGGACCTCCTCGGAGAGCAGCAGTCATGGGTGCCAGAAGGGAGATGTGCCAGAGACAACTATGTGGATTTCTACCCCGCCGACGCCCCCATCGAAGCTATTCATCTTACTCGCACGCACGAGAAGCAAGAGTAGGAGCAGGAGCAGGAGCGCTCGCCCTGCATCTGTGGCTGTCCTTCCTGCTCCATGCAGCCCGAGCGTTGCAGTCCCACCTTTACCCTCGTCCGTGTATCTCTCCGCGATGTCCTCCTGTGGATGGCACCACCGGCAAAGCGGCCGCGCATATATGCCAGATCGGCGACGAAGAATGTCTCTCCAGCCGAATTTATCGAAGTCGCAGCTGCAGTCGCCCATGACGGGCTCGGCGGCATCGTCATCCTTGCACGAATATTCAAGGTTGCTGGAAGGGGCCTCAAGTCCATTGCGCTCGTCGGTTTCTGCAGTAGCTGGTACAAGGGAATGCTCAATAGCAAGCTCGACGCTGGCCAGCTCGAGAAAACTGTTCCATCTGCACGCGGAAGACGGCGAGGCAGCGCGGGGAGAGGGAAGAGCGGCAAAGTAAGCGATATTCACTCTTCGGACTGTGTATCCGAGTGAAAAGAGACAGCGTTGATCGCGGACGTCCAGGCAGCGCGCGTTCACAGATGGATATGAGTCCACGCGAGTCGCGCAATGCGATGGAAGTGGAACGGCAGACGGGGAGCTCTGCAAGGCGGCGGTGGCGGCGCGCACAGAGGTAGACGTCGAGCGACTGCATCCGGCGACGCAGCGGTATCACGGATCGAGCTCCTCGCGACCGAGGCCGGGTAACGTCATGGACCTGCACGTGCTCGTGACAGTGCATACCTCTGCCCGTTCTGATCGCCGCGCACAGGTCTATCTTGAGCAGCTCCCAACGCTGGCAGCATCATCATCCTCGTCTGCGCTATCGTTTCCTGTGCTGGGCCTTGCGAGGAGCCTTCCGTCTTCTCGTTCATCATTTCTGCATCCCTCTACTTCTGCTACGCCTTCTGTGTCTGTTAGCTCGCAGTTGGAGCTCAGGCTTGGATCGAATTCAGGTCATGGGCCGCCGGTGGATAGTGAGAAGGAAGTGAAGAAGGGGGCATAAGCGGGAGAAGAGCAAGGAGAGGATCAAGGGCAAGACAAAGGAGAAGGATCCACCGCCTCACTCGCATTCATCGGCATCAAAAGGCAAGCACATGCGTGGGCCTATCCTGGCGGAGAAGGACATGCGCACGATGTACAGGAACGCAAAAGAGTTGTTGCGATTTCACGATGCTTTCGTGCGCGAGCTCCAGGATGCCGTTGGCGTGTATGGCTTGGGGCAGGCGTTCGTCCTCGATGATCAGGAGAAGATGCGTGTGGGTGGGGCTGGAGGGATTGACAGTGGAGGGCGTTGATGAGGTCGTGGCAGAGAAATTCGTCAGCCAGGTGCGTACATCGCTGCTGAGCTGGGTATATGCGTGTTGTTGAACATTGGTGCGCGGCATCTTGCAGGCACCGTCATTCAGCATCTTCGAGACGTTTTGCTAGGACACAACGAGGTCGCGAACTTGATTCGGAATTTCCAGGAGAGTTATCCAGGCGATTGGGACGCATATGAGCAGCGCTGTCCCCTCCTTGTCGCCGACATCGAGCTCAGTGCTGTTTTCGGCTTGTCCGATGACCGCTCTGCTCCAGCAGGGAACGGTCTTCCTACATCAGCAACAATGACCGTGCCTATGTATGTCTCCTCCGCTCACCGACTCTGCTCGTAAGAAGCGGAGACATTCCACGACTTCACTTTCCCTTTTGTCGTCTCCTCCTCGTGCGGATGCTATTCCTCCCACATACCTCACCCTAGCAGTCGAGAGCGTGTACGTGAAGGCTCTTCCAGCTCCGCGCTTGGACACCCGCGCAAGTCCTCACAGTCGCAAGCCACCCGCTTAAAGTTCATCAAGCCCGTCCAGCGGATCTGCAAGTACCCTGTGCTACTCGATCAGCTGAAAACGAAACGGCCGCGAACGCAGAGTGGGATTGATACGAGCACACGGATGTCACCGCATGTCGAGTGGAGCGAGCGAATTGAGCTGGGCTCGGATATCGTGGATCGCGCCAATGAGGCGATGCGCCTGGTCGTCAGGCTGGTCAATCCAGCGAGTGAGATCAGGACGCGTATAGTCCGGTCGGCGCTGATCGCGTCGCACATGGTGCTCACTGTGCCGCCGGTGTCGTCGGCGTCACATCATGGACGTGGGCACAGTCACTCCTTTTCATCCATGGGATCGTCGTATCGCCCAAATGCGCAGGGCTTGTCGCCAGAGTTCATTGCGTCGCTCGGCACGTGTCATCTGGCTGGTGCGTTGGACGTCATTCAGCATCCTCCTTTGCACACTCCTGGTGGCGGCCCGTTGCGGGCGAAGTACCTCGTACCATGGGCGGTTACATCGTCTTGGTCAAGATACCTAAGAGCGGTAAGATCTATGAACCACGATATTGGTTCTCCTCGGCTGGTTTAACCGTTGAGGACCTTAAGACGATGATTGTGAGCGATTGATGCGTTGTATGATTGAACAGCTCCACTGATCATAAGATGCAGCCTCTCTGCTGTTCTCCTTCGGCCTCTTCGGACACGGTCATCACCTGCAGTTTGCAGCGTTGTGCCACGTGAAGATCATCTGGTTGGCAGCTATCCAACGCGCCCTGGCGGTACCTGCGCAACGGGTGAACGAGCGTCTTGAAAGCTTACCAGAGGACGAGAAGCTCCTCCTGATGCCTGCGGCAGAGGAAGGTGCTCCGGAGTGGACAACAAACCCCTTGCCCGCCATCCAATCATTTCTGAGTTCGAAGGCCAGGGAGATGATCCACGTTCCGATGCGCTTGCGGCGTGACAGGGTTCCCTTGAGAAGTCATCAACTATGGCGATACTGGATAGTATCGCCCTCAGACAGGGACAGATGCAAGTAGCATTCTTTGCTGCTCTGAACCGATGTAACTCTACTGCGTTCATAGAGGCGCTCTTCTTCCTAATGACTCACGACTCCTCCACATGTGTTATGCGGCCGTCTTCTCAGGTATGCCAGCAGGTCGACCATGGTCTCCACGATGTCTTCTCGGCAGAGTGTATGGCTGCACGGTCCCAAGCCATGTTGCACGAACAAGATCTTTTTCAGCCACGGAAGATGCCGGGAGCGGTGATGCCAAGTTCCAGTTCAGCGCTGAGCATTAGTGGAGCGGTGGCGTTTGCGTCGAGAAGGAGACGTGATAATTCTGGGGGTTCGACACAAGGGCTCCTTGGGTACTTACGCAGACCAGGTTGACTCTGAGGCCAGTGCAAAGACGCTGACCACGCTTACTGTGAGGGCCAAGTCAATAAGTACGAGAAAAAGCAGGAAATCGCTCCCGTCGATCGTGCCTGCTGGAGCATCTATCCTGTCGAACGTAGAGTCGGAGGTTGAGAACGATGGTCCAGTGGCCCGGGGCATGACAGTTCTGCTGGTTTGCCGCGTGGCATTGCTCGTCGACCGCTTCCTCTAATGCCGAATCTGTCCTACCTAGCCCAGTCGATGCCGTGGTGCCACTTCGGGAAAATGTCCCTCAGGATGCGACTCTCCGTCCATCAGACGTGCTGATGGTCAGCGTTGTTGAACAATTGGAGCACAAGCGGACGCTTCCATGGTCGACAACGTGAAGCACTTTTACTACTCCCACCCAGCGTCCTCGTTCTCATCGTCCGGCCACACCTCCCCTGTTCCTGAATCCCCTTCAGGCTGTTCTCCAGGAGCCGGAAGCGGAACCGCACAATGGCTTCATATGCATTACGGAGCACTACATAGCCGCACTCTTGAGCTGGCTAATCCGATCAGAACAATATATATTGGCCATCATAGACGAGTCTCGAATCCTCGCAATTGACTTTCTCCACTTTAAAAACGAAATCCCCACTTCTCTCTACGGTCCTGCGTCTCTAACGCCTTTCGTCGACTCACATAAGTGTCTGCCGATAGCTGTGACGTCGCTGAAGATCCTTTCCAAAGGAAGACTCAGTATGTATGGTAAGATAATCCAGCAGGGTTCTAATTTACGTACCTTCTGTAGTGCTCAAACCAGCGGTTGTTATGGCTCGTTGTCGTGAAGCGGTACGTGTAGTCTGTCGTTTGTTTTGAAACCTAATTGTATCGGCAATGATGTAAAATGAACGCGAGTAACATAATAAAAATGATATCCGACTTACCAAATTTGTACACTCCTGGTGGACATGTTGAGCTGCGCCGCAAGATCAGCTCGTTCTTCAGTTGAAGGATAGGCATTCTTGAAAAAGAAGTCTGTAAGGATGCGCAACTGTTCTGCGTCAGTGCGCCTTCGTTTTTTTTTTACTTTGGGCTGGCGGTAACTGGATGCATTCGGCACTGATGCAGGTGCCGACATGGCATTATTTAGACGGATCTGCGGTACGTGGATAGGAGGAAGAATGATAGGTCCTTGCGCATAGCCGACTCCTTGTGTGTAGCCATATCCTTGTGTGTAGCCGAATCCTTGTGTATAGCCGAATCCTTGTGTCTAGCTGATTGGCCACTGAGGTCCATAGTGTCGAGGACCTGGAGAAAGGACCAAATTCATTTTTTATCGATCAAAAATCAAATTTTGAAAAATACTTTCCTTCAGGACTCGGTATCGGTGGAAAGGCATTCTGCCCACCATGATAGGTGTGCATTTGGTCATATGGCATCATCCAACTTGCTCGCGCACTGTGAGAGTCACGCTGCATGTGGACTAGGAGCAGAAGGAATGAAGGAATGCATGCATTGGACACTGATATAGATCTCGGAGAACAAGGATCACCCATAATCATGTTTACATCACCAGTCATCCAATCATGGTAAAATTCTCGTCTTCTGCACATGAAGGAGCTAGCACTGACCAATAGGCCCTCGCCCACAAATTATCAATGAGAAGTTACCCATATATGTTCAAATGTTACCAATGAGATGTGGCTCCTATATATTAACAATGAGATGCGGACCATGTATGGTCAAATATGACCGGATGCCCGGCACAGTTTCTTCTTTAAGAGAAGCCTGAAAACGACCTTCGACGCTTCTCATTTGATGCTTCTGTTCTCACAGCTTTGTATGAACTTTCAAAACTGGTCACTGATGATCTTAAGAATTAAACTTTAGAATGCTTCCCACTTTGGTCCGTGGTCAATTGCATGCGCTATCACCTGCGCGAATAGAATTTCCTTCTGGAGCTCTACACTGCCACTTCTTTCCCCTGCCTTGATTGATCTTGATAGGCCAAGACTATAGTATGTCGGAGATCACCAAAAATTCTCCTCATGCACACAATAGTAGCTTTTCTTCATTGCCAGAGGTGCTTCATTTAATCTTAGAACAGGATGTTGTTTAATACATTTGACAGTCATTGCCTATATCCAGCTATTCATCACTCAGTGGTGCATTGGGTGCCACTGCAGTGGAACCATTGAGCTCTGCGACTCCTGCTCTCAACAGAGACATGAGTCATGTGCCAGAAGCAGTGGATGATGATGAGCATGCAGCAATTGGTGGTAGTATCCATCGATTCAAGGTCAATCATGTCCAGTATTTGACAGAAGAGCTTAGATTCATCTTAACCGATCCGTAGGTTCAAATTCTACTAACTGTTGAATTCCTTCTGATTTTACTAGAGTCACAATCCAGGGATCTCGACGGTCATGGTACTATATGAGGTCCCTGGAGACATACATCTTATATGCTCGGCAAGCTCTCTCAATGGCGGGCATGACACCAGTTAGAATGCAGCATGTAGCCGACAATTCTGATTCTGCCATGTCAGTGAGGTCGACCCAGGTATGTCAACTTTGTTCCATAGAGGCTGTTTGTTGACACCAAAATTTCAGGCAGTTTTCCTGCTAATGCGGCAAATTCTGTCAAAGCGAGTTGCCGATTTGAGACAATTGGAGCAGGAAAGGAAATGTTTGTGATCGCCGTCGCTGACGACGAATGTTCCTTCTCAAGGGCATCTGGTTCGAGACATTAAAAGACGAAGCATATATCCAAGCACCAGGAAATTGATTCTTCATTATCGGTAGCTATTGACATCGCTGTCTTGATGAAGGCCCGCCGAAACAATGCGGGGCATTTACAAGTACAATCCCGAAGCCATAAATCGTTACGATTGGCTCGCAAGTCACGGATCGCTGCCTTCTGCATGATATGAAGTAGATTCGGTTACAAACTCGTACGGACATTGATAAGTAACGTTCACGACTCGTTCTCGGCATTGATGCGCGTGTGAGCTATGCGCCAATGATACAATGTACGAATTGATTATGGGCTCCATCTGTTATAGAGGCAAAGCCTACGATCGCAACCTGAATGAATCGCCTGTATCAGAGATACTTCCGCCTTTGCCAGACCTGTTTAAATGTACTGTTGTTGCCATGCACATCCCGTTTGATGATCGGCCTCCCCGCCTTCTCGATCTTGCCATGATCCCATTATCCATGCCGTCACCTTCGAATCCGGAGCCATACCGATGCGGCTGGCTTCCCCATCCTGAGGCTCATATGGTTTCTATCCCGACAGAAGCAGGTTTCTCTGTATGGAGCTTCATAGTACCGATGCGATCCAATCATGCATAGGGAATTTGCTGATGAAACATTCATACGCATCTTCAGGCGATAGAACGCTTGGAGCATATGACAAAAAAATTTGACACTCCCTTCATCGTCTTTCATGCGATATATTCTCGAGATGGGATGCCTCTCCCCATTAATAAAGCCATACGACAGATGCAAGGTTCATTCTATAAGAAAGATCAGCATGGTGAGGGGGTATTGTTGTGGCTCGGTACGGAGACCAAAACTACACCACCATCATAAATATCTCAATTGCTTTTTACCCTATCATAAAGTTGTTCTTAGCGACTTGCTTACCACCTTATATTATGTTTGAGTACTGTATGAATGCAACACGTGAGATCATTAGTTATTGCAACTAAAAAACACATATGTCATGCTCAGTCGTACAAGAAGATCGGTGAAAAGTAGATATTTCCAGGCGCAATCTTCCAAGACACTGGTACATAGGAGAAATGATGCTTACCGTCTACCTTGATGACCCATAGGATTTCATGCCGTTCATCGGAGGCTCAAGGGATATCAGACAAATAGACAGACTCGAGGTCGGCGCAGTTATAGCTCTGTGTGTTTCTTACTAACTTCCGTTCACTTTCACGTTGAAACTGCGTACCAAGTGCACTAGAAAGAGCAGGTCCTTCTGGGCCTCCTCCCACAATGACAATGTCGCGTTCCTCAGAGCTTGATGAGCGGTAGAGAGTGATCGCAATGTCTGCGCCCAGTGACCCCTTGAAGCAAGCAAGCAAGCCCCGAATTTAGCGGCAGAGCTCAACACATTGGTCGAATTTGCTCTATCGCATCTTGCACTCGGAATGCGCGCGTCGCGATAGTGGACGACGTCCCGTCAAAGCGACCAGACTATCGAATGTCAGCGGTGACCAGAGAAACCGGAAAGCGGGGCAGAGATGAGAGATGGAAATCCGGAGGGAGGGCGAAGACGCGGGGTCAGTCTGTGGGGAAATTCCAAATTCCAGAATGGCTGCTACCGCAAATAGGTTTCTTAACGCTGGCTAAGCATCTTCGCGCTCACCCCGCGGTAACTGATCGTGCACTGATGTAAGCGATTCGCGTTGCCGCGTTCCCGCTCTGGTGCCATGGCTCGTGCACGGGCGACACAAAATTTCTCTTCGTGGCTACTTTGCGCGTTGCTTCGCTGGCTGCTTGGGGCTGCTTTGCAAGGTTGCTTCTGCTCGGGCTGGAAAGTTTTATCGGCTGGACCACAAGCCATGATAATGCTCGACGCCACATTTTGTGGCACATGCAATGTGTAGGATTCCAGCTCCAGGTTCTTGTATTTTATTCACATGAGGACACAATGATGTTTCGGCAGTCTCGTAATCAGATGGTATGGAAGGGAGAGCACGAGAGCTGTACAAGGACGGCGACACCATATTCACAGCATTGATGAGATCGGAGAGCCAGACTACCCTGCTCTGTCGCCGGCACTTCATGACTGCGAAACCCTCGCTCGCCACTTCTTTCACTCTGTGACTGTTTCTCGGTTCCAATCGAGAATCCCCGTTTGAAACAGAGATTCGAGGCAGTCGTCGTGGTCTGGCTGAAGAGCTCCTTGAGGAACGCCCCCGAATTCGGCGCGTGGCCCAAGAGTTCCTGCACCGCCGCCATGGCGTCAATGACAGCGTACAAGAGCTTCGAAAGCACCTCACCTTGAGTGAGTCGAGCTCCTCTCTGCCACCGCCTGGAAGCAGTATGGACTTCCTGTAGCGTGCGCCTCGTACTGGATCGAGAGGATCCTGCTTGAACACTGTCGTGTACATATCAGCGGCAAAGACCAACGAATACGTGTACCTATAGCCGAAGAAAGCGTGTTAGCACCACAGGCACAAGATACATGTTCAGATATCTGTGGAAACACGTGCTCATAGTATCCAGCATCGTAACCGCTTGCGATGTGGTTGAATGAGCCTGGCCTGCAGACCGGAGACCGGAGCTGATCCTAGTAGTCGCCGCGCGCAGGTCGTTCCATAATGCTGTGTAGTCAGTCGGTTCTATCGGAAAGCATCGTGAGACTCACGCCACACAAAGAGCTGCACAAACGTGCGATAGCCCCTCCCTACTCACCCTCGTCAGTATGCACCTTGATGTCGAATTTGGCAAAGAAAAGTTGACGAAAGTAGAATAGGCGACCGTCGACATACCGGTTGCGAGAGACGACTCATGGAGTGCATCAATACATCATGCGACGAATGGGTGGAGACTCGTCGAACTTATCTCTTGATGATCTTGTCGATGAGGTCTCTTGAGAGCGGCTGTTTGGTCTTGTAATGACTTGACATGCGTTCGAGAACCGCTGGCTCGAAGCACCTACTCAAAAATATCAACATGAACGATGTTCTCCTCGTCGCCATCACGAGATGACAGCGTACCAATTCTGGAGCATCTGCGAGGGCGCCTCCACAAAGTCACCTCCCATACTGCGCATTGCCAGTTCGATGGAGAAGTATGAGGTCTGACCGAAGACAACTTACGATGTCCCATGGAACGTAGAGAACCGCGTCCTGCTCAACAGCTCATGGAAGACGTGCCCTATGTCGTGGAAAAACGTCACGACGTCATTGTGCGGCATCAGTGCCAGAATCGTCGGTGTGGGCTTTGCTAAGTTTGCGACCATCGCTGCTAGCGAATAGCTCTGCATGCCATCAGGACACATGAATCCTGGAAGCAAGGGCCAAACTGCCAATTGGAAATATTTCGATTCTGTGGATTCGAGCGAGACCAAAACTGTCAGTATATGATCATGCAAGAGTCCAAAGTCGACACGCACCACGAGGGAAGAGGTCCAAGTAACAATACCCGACAAAGCGGGACTCGTCATTCGCATCTTCTCCCATACCGCAAACTGCTGAACATCTGCCCCGGCACACACGTCAGAACCGAGCTTCCACAGATCGTCTATGCAGCACTAACCAGGATGCCACGTCTCGCCGTTGATCTCCACGAACCACACGCCAAGCAGGTTCTGGTAGATCTCGAGGATCGTAGGCACCACCGCACTGACAGGACAGCGCTCCTTGACCATCTCGTCATCCAGCTTGAGCGAACGCTCGAGTAGCACGCGGTGGTAATACCAGTAGTCCCATGTGTAGAAGTTGCCGTCAGATGGGTAGGTGTTCGCCGCATGTTCTTCCTCCTTGAGCTTCAGGAGCACAACACGCTCCTTTTCTCCGGTGGCAGGTCTGCTAAGAACTGTCGGTGCAGACGGTCAGCATGCGCTTAAGCGCGACTTATGAACACCTGAAAGGAGTCAACGAGATGCACGCGTTGAGCAGGTGATGCGCACGTACGCATGAAAGGTTACAATCAGCAGAAGGCGGCGCTGTAACCCGGTCCTTCAGACCCGATCCTTCGCGATCACATCTTTCGTGAGCTCGAGGAACTGTTCCGCAGAGTGCGTCCAGGACGGCGGTGACTGGGGCGGTGTCAGAGATGCCATAACAGTGTTGGTGGTCAACCAGTAGAGATGCAAACGGTCTAGAAAGCGGCAGCGTGCAGCGTGACTGATATAGCTGATGGCGGCGCTGAGGCGTTCTCGCGACCAGACAATTGCAAGCAGAGTCCCTTGTTTCGGTGAAGAGGCGATGCTGGTGAGCAAGAACGGGATGCGTGGGCGAGCGGACATGTCCGGACGATCATGTTCCAAATATCCACGCGACGGAAACGCTGGCGCCTTACGTAAGCCTGTTATTCGGGATCAACGAATCCAGCAGTAAGCTACAGACAATGAAGGTATAGAAAGATCTACATAAAATAATTACGAGAGTCTCACTTGGACCTGCGATACCTCTCCTTACGAGAACTTCACCGTCCTGTGAGCGCCATGTCCTCTGCCTTTCTAAAATTAAACATCCTAACGCGACGTCTCACGCTTTCTCAGTCTTGATAATATGAATTCGAGCATCCTGGTCGCGCCCTATGCATTCGTCGCTAATCAAGCGAACTATGACTGCTCCGTGGTGATATCGCCGTACCAAATGGCCTCTTTCCCTGCTGCTTCCGGCTACACCATCGTCCTCGCCAACACCCTCAACAGTTCAGATGTGAGTTGTAGTGCTAATGCCCTCTAATCTGTTCCGCCGTCGGAGATGAAGATACTGATGCTCGTGAACCCTTGTAGATCTATGCCAAGAGTGAGGAGTTCGCGATCAAGCCAGAAGGTTCCGCCTATCCCGCTACATCCGCTACGCCCACAGGAACAAGCACGGCTACCGGCAGCGCCAAGCGGCAGTGTGAGCGGCAGTGCAACCACAACTGACGCGGCTGCTGCCTCCTCCACCTCCGCTTCCTCCAAGTCGAGCGGCGCGAACAAGCTCGCCGCCTCTATGATGGGTGGTCTTGCTGGGACCGGTGCCTTGTTCAGATTGTTGATGGCTTGATCACCGCGTACGAGTGCTGCAGCAAGAACTGTGGACTTTACATTCCTCTGGCTTGTGTCAGCCCCACACACGTACTTTCTTGCACTTGTCCTTGTTTCTGTTCGTGGACGCTGAAGGCTTGGGGTGTGTTGTACCGTCTTTTCGACTGTACTGTCTTTACTAGTTTACATGAGTGTGATGCGGACAGTGCTTGTTTGACAATTCGCAATGTCGTGCAGGATCCATGCGTGCCCGGCGCTTGCTGCGAGTGGATGACGGAGAACTCTCAGTCGACTTGCCCGGGCGTTCTGAATCTACACGACAGACAGACAACAAAAGGACAAGTTCTCTCGTGCCATGAGCAGTATCTGGAATGCGGCAGCCTCGCACACTAACTGCATCTGGTCACCAGAAGACAGTCGAGGAGTTCACTAGAACGGGTGCATCAGTGAGCTATAGACCGATAGTATGCTTATACATACATATTGGCTGCGAGTCGGAAACGTTCTTTACCAAGGTCTCCTTACTTGTAGGAGGCATGCTGCTCTGGCAATAATCCTAAATTGTCGAAAGGATGCCATGTACTGGGCTGCCTATCACATGCCTTCAGTGCCGGGCTACCTATCACATGCCTTCAGCATGGACAGTATGTCCACTTGAGTGGAATCAAGTTCATCCAATCGCGTCCTGGTATTTGACAGAGATAGGAACAATAGCAGCAACCCTTGAGAGCGTATGGCACGTACCATGTCCCAATATCTCAAACAGCAATCGCACACTCAGCTCCATGTCACCCATCTTCCGCGAGCAAAGAATACCATGTTAGCAGCAGTGGCTGCATTAGAGAATCCCACTGTTCCTGTTCACGCATTCTCGCAACCTGCGCGAAGAACCTGAGTTCAACGCCGCCGTCAGCCATCCCTCTCAACGAGAGAAGTCAGACATCGCGAATAGAACAGCCATGTCGAACATTCCCAGCTCGTACTACGTGTGTGCGATCCAATATGCAATGCAGAGTGTCAGTCGTCCCTGCCCTTGCACGGTGGCGGAACTGTATGCCTTGAAGAGCTCATAGGCTCTATTATACAGCTGTCAACCAATGTTTTATTGCCTCATAGTCAAAGAAGTGCATCGACGTACCTCCAAGGTAATCGCAAGATGCTCCACCTTCTTCCCATTCGAGAGCTCAGGAGCGGACATTGTCACTTGCCGCTTCGCCTAACCCACCATGAATGATCTGGCCTGACGCGCCCTATCTTTATCAAACACTCACTTCTACATCTGAAGCAGCTCAAAAGTGCTCACGTCTGTGCTCGGTGCAATGCGCAGCCATGTAGTAGTAGAAGCCAGGATGCTGCAGCGCCTGCGTAGGGTTCAGGCCGGGCACGTGCATTGCCTCTACCTCGAACGCGATCCGTTGTTTGGTGTCGAATGCTTGCACTGCGAGCGGCGAAATAGCAGCGGCGGGTGAGGACGTCGAAAAATGAGTCGGTATCTTGAGCATCGAACGTGTGCACTGCTCGAGCACTACCGTCAGCAATCCTTGTAAACGATGTGGGTGTGTACCATGCGCACCTGCTTCATGGTCGAGACAATGCAGTCCTTGACCGTAGTGTTATTTCCGACGTCAGGCGGACGAGGTATGATGATGTTAGCCGGATGCGAATCTGCGTTCGTGGGATCGACATTGCGCACAGGATCCGATGGAGAGACAAGCGAGGAAATCGATTCTGGGGACAGCTGAGTGAGCTCTTGCTGACCGAGTCTGGAGACATGGCTGCGCGAAGAACAGGATAGCAGCAGAACGACTCCAAATAACAGTTGGCAGAGCCAGATAGCAGGACGCTTCCACAGTCACAATCAGTCCGACGTGCAAACTATATCAGATAGATAGAAGTATAAGCGAGTCTTCCAGCTATGCGATGCACATTGATTGGAGGCGAGCACGCAGGAGGCAGGAGGGCCACAGAATTATCACAGAGAGAAACGCATGGGCGCTCGACTCCGCAAAACAATGCTCTAGCGCCCGGCCTAGTCTGGGCGCCACTCATTTATGGTTAGGGCCTCAGCGTCGCGCGTACGGCATGCGTACGGGGGTACTTCACGGGGGTAATTATAGATTGGCTCTGGAAAGGTCAGAGCCGATGTAGGAAAGGCGAAGAATCGCCCTGCCTTTTCAGTAAATTCTGCTTATTTCCACCATTTATTGTTCGGGACAAGTTCTTCCCACGCTCTGCTGCTCGCATCGTTGCAGCTCTCGCAGGCCACGTGATCTCACGCGATGCCCGCCATATGCCAGAGAATGAAGTAATGCAGGCAGGAGCTAGGGTTTCGCCCACCGTGGACTGTCCGTGCAGGTCACCACGTCACCAGCCACCAGCCGCGGCGACGTCCGCATTCCTTAAACAGGCTCTATTCTGCAGTACCGGATCCGGCGGTAAAAGCATCAGAAGTTGTGGCAGGTGAGCCCATAGGTGCCTCGTGCGTTACACTGTATTTCATTGTATAGGTTCGAGATTGAGCCGAGAAAATGGCGTTGACGGAGTCAGGAACCATTTGATAAAGTTTGGATAACGGGATCTGAGCACTGCGACGAATTGTATAAATACCCGCGCGCGTAGGTGTTCCACGTTTGAAAGCGGGAAGCACCTATCAGACGCGCCTCTTGATCTCCGCTATTTGGACGGCGATGTCCACACTGGCGAAATATCTCCGGCGCAGTTCTTCGCCAATCTCTGATCGAAGATGTCGGGATGCAATGGCAAGCTGCGCAAAGCCTTGTCGACCCCAAGCTCAATGGCCCCCGTTCCAGAGTCCTGAGAGGTAGGCTGATCCTCGATCTCCCTGTCCGTTTTCATGTTGTCCCATGTTGTCCCGGATAGGGTGCGGCCGAAAGGGTTTTCGCGAACACCTTTCGACTCAGCCGTGACAGTGACGACATTGCCACCAATGAGCAGACCTAATGTTGGAGAGGATGTGCTGCTAGTAAATTCGCATGGGAGCCGGTTCGAAGCGCTCACCCGTATCATCACGTTCGTAATCGGACGAACAGCCTGCCCACAGAAAGATCCAAATAGCACGAGGAAGCCTGATGGACTTGAGCTGTTCGCGCAATTCCCATCGTTATCCTCACCAATACTAGCGGTGTCTACGTGCTAATACCGCTCCCCTTTTTCGCTCATCGCGCAAGTACCCGCTTGTGTGCTGCACCATTTGCAACCATATTACGATGCTCAGGTTACCATTGACCTGGGATGACGACGACCTTCTACTAGATGAGCCGTTCTTGACTCAGTTCCGTCTCCGCAAGGAGGTATGCGGCAGCAGAAATGGTAGTGTGATTGACTGGTACAAGAGAATGGAGAATGAGCTAGGGCCAGACGATGTGAGTACAATGTAAAATTATCTCCAGCCAATACGTTCATTTACGATATATAATGTTCTATTCAGCTCATTGCAGCTCAAAAATGGCTGGAATTCGCTTTTGCGGTCCCATCCGCCGATGACTTCCAGGGTCGAGAGCAGATATCAGTCAAAAATGGGGGCCTTGAAATATTCATCGAGTTCTACTGGCATCTCGCTCAAGGAAGCAAGTTGAATGCACTTTGCCTTCTCAATAAAGAACGTCGCGATAGGAATTTCACGTGTTCCATCACATTCAATGCCTTGGGAGGCCAGTATACTCAAAGCACTGTCGTGTCCAATACGGTCTCGGAGAGGGCATTTCGATCAGATAGCCGGCAAAATGGGAGGAAACGGGCGAAGTCGAAGAAGGCTAAGCGAGCACACGTTAACTTCTCCCCGGATCCCTATGATGGCGAGGTCAGACAGGCTGAGGAGGATCCTCAATCCTTCAGGTATTCTCAAAGTACGCCTTCACGTAACATCGGTTGCAAAAATGGCTCAGCAGCTCGAGAGCTTCCAACGATCACTGAGAGTCATTCCAACGAGCCTCAAGGTGGTGAGGGATTTGCCGGCTAGCATTCGTAATTGTTCAGCGCTGATGTGTCGGACTAGATGCGTTATCAGACCAGAGATTCGTCATTGAAGGTCCTCCAACCACCGCAACTATGGAACAGCCGTTTCTTCCGATTTCCAAAAGTGGCCAATCGAGCCTCTTGGCAATCATTGGCAACAAGCGTAAATGGACCAATGCGAGTACCTCGTCGTCGTCATGCCCACCATCTGAACATGAGAGGCCGTCATCTCTCGCTCCTTCCACCCGCTTGGAATCAGTTCCCGACGACGATGACAGTGATTTCTCATTGCTGTCAGAATTCATGGGCAATGATAGCTCTTTGGAAGTCAACACGCCCGCAAATCGACTCGACGATGTGCAATATGCCATTTCGAAAGCCCCTAGGAGACGATTGCCCGGCAGGCTTGCCTCACATAGGGACAAACTCTCGATGTTGGCCAAAGACATGAGCTTGTTCGACTTTGGAAGTCATTATGGTTACATCGAACCAGAAGTGCAGGACAATTCGCACAGGATATCTGTCAAAGTCCCTGTGCACCAGCCGACGCAAGGCAAGGACAAGTATGGAACACTCAGGAAGACGGCACATAATTCTATTCCCAAGGGTCCACGTCCCTCCAATGCCCTCCCGGCTATCCCTAAGGCACAAGTCGTACTTGTCTCTACTCAACAATCAGTCGTGGAAAGCAGGAAACAAGAAAGCATGGTCATTTCCAACCAGCTCCGAGTCCAGAGCAATATTGGACGTGAAGCGCCTCCTGGAAGATCTGCGGCTACCACTCAGCAGTCGTTGTCTCAATCACTCAACAAAACAACACTCGGAAGGATTCGCAAGAATGACTCAAACCACGCAGAGGGCGTGAGGTCCCAAGCTCAAGAATCAGAGCGAGGCAATAAAAGGGGACCGAAAGAATCACTCCCAAGCCGGAACGTGAAGCGGCGGCGCGGTGACGCTGACGTCATAGGTGGTGAAATAGGCTCTGCATTGATGGGTGCAGCAGGAGTATTGGAACAAACGCGCAGCATGCAGCGCGTCTCTTTTGAGCAGAACCTCAACGAGACCCGTTCCGTAGGTCGTTTATCCTATCACATCATCACTCCCTCTAATTTGACGTCTTTCAGACGAGCATTGCTCGACGTGCTGCGTCGATTCAACGAACCATTCAAAATGATCAGGAGCATGTGCCACCTCAAGCCACACCCGATCATCATGATAGTACGACGAACAAGCACGCTCGACTCGTGCTCGATATTGCAGATCCGGAACAAGTTTCGTCCGCTTCCAGCGTCCCGCGCCAAACTGAGAAGCTACCAAAACGCCGTCCCGGCCGCCCAGTTGCGACTCAAGAACGTGATGCATCGGCTCCGTCTGCGCTAGGGCAACCTGCCACTTTTGCCGACTTTGACAGGGTTATCCGAGATACTGCTACGGAAAAGATGCTACGTAGGGAGGCATCGGGCATAGCAATAAGCGACTGGGAAGATGCCGACGAGAATGGCGCACATGGGTTGCCACCCGACTCGAGCGAGGATGAGACTCCTTTGAACGAGGTGGTTGCTTTCGGAGAGTCGAGTACGCGCGCCTTTGCTGACCCGGCCAGCACAAACGTAACTATTGGGCGTCTACCATCTTTGATCGTTAGCGACTCGGACAACGCGGAGACTCTTCGAAGATCTTCTTCTCTTAGTGCAGCAGCATTCGAAGCTAATTACCGACCATCCAAACTCGAAATAGCGCCGGAGTCTTTGAGGCAGTTCTTTGCGCCTCCCACAGCGGCAGCTCTTTATATGCCTGATAATCGTCGCGATGCTCCGCGACCTCGCTTACACTCGAAACCTCCAATTTGGGCAGAGGTCTGTGTAGGACTATCTGTACGCGATATCATATTGATGCGCTAAACAGTCGAGACAAGAGGTCTGCGAGTCCTTTGACTGGTTTAGGAATTATCACGGTGGTGTATACTACACAGGAGGTGTGGTGAAGGGTTATCTCCTGAGCGCGTTCTCTTCAAGGTACGTCTCTCCTTGGCTTGAGAGAGGGTAAAGCTCACAAGTTTCAAGTCGCGATGTCTTCGCCCACAACGGCCGCCTTATCATATCTCATGGGTTCGTGCCATATCGGTTTGAGCTACCTCTGCTAATCTCTGAGATAAAACCGGGCAGTGGTGGTAGGGCAAAGAGTTTGCGTAGAAAGGACGGAACTAGTCAAGTACAAGAAGCGGATGACCAACAAGCGCAGGACAAATCCGTGCGCGCCCTGTTGAACACACATCGCATAGGTCGCCCCATTGCTCTCATGGTAGATGACAAATATAGCTTGTTTCCATATGACTTGGCTACGGACCGGTACACCTACGTTGTGCTTGGGTTCTATCGTATCGCACATGCATGGGGTAAGTTGCACCGATACGCGAGAACTCTTTCCATTGATGAATGCGACCTGTTGTAGCTGAGCGACAACCGGAAAACAACGTGAGAGGGTATGTAGTTCGATACAAGTTCGCTTTCCAATGGTGCGAAGAGCAAGGCACTCCTTGGTGGATGACAGCGCATGACTCGGGACAAGGTGACGTGCACTGGTATCTCACATTGGACTGCCAAACTGACGTGATTCAGAATCTTGTGACGTTACAACTTCGGCCAAAGACCATGACCCCGCTGCTGCCACGGACATGTCAGTCAGACTCAACCCACCATGGTACGAGCCCTGGTTCGTCTTGTGCCTGCTGTTGCTGAAAGTGGTGATGATAGCTGCTCAGAGAACGACCTTGTCGCCTTCACATGTCGATTCTGTCGAAAACAATCACCGATGATCTACGTTCAAGATTGGATTTGCTTGTCACCAGAGTGTAAAGCTTTTTGGCGGACATCTCAAGGCGACCATCCTCCAGCACATCTGCATTATTCTGCGCAATTTCTCCAGTTGCTGCACTTCGCCCCGGAGAGAATAGAGCAGCTCCGGCCTCCTTTACCCACAAGTTGTACTATCTGTAAGGGGTGGCACTGCATCAAATGCGGACGTCTATCTAGCAGGTAATAATTGATTGATTATTTCGCTTGGATTTGGTACGCTAACCATATAATGAATAGGTATATGTGGGAGCGCTGGTCATGCAGATATTGCGGGGTACGAAACACCCCCCCTGAGATCGTCTACGACTTCATTCACAATTGATTCAGGAGACACATGCGGTTCCCGGACGAATCAGGGAACCGAATGAATTCTGGGATCAAGTAACGCCAAAGCTCCGTACTCATTGGGTCGCACCGGATTCTGGTGAGTTCAGCACCTCTGTAAAACGTAGCCTGCCAGAACTGGCTTTCAGGGATAGTAATAGCCCAGACCAGGTTCTTCAAGACGGGGAATTCCTTCAGCATGGTATACACATACCTACTTCCGCATTCCCGGTCGGTGACTCCCTGCATCTCCCGTAATCAGCAGCATTGAGGCGCCTTGCAGCGGACGAATCTATTTAATCATCGGCAGCGGTGGAATCAATGCAGATGCAGATGCAATATTCCGAGAATATCAAGAACAAGCGGCAAATGGCAAGCTCCTGTTCCGAAGATCGCCGCTACGAGCTGTATGTATCTAGATTGCTGAATCTTGGGTCTTCGTGGACTGAATTCCATTTAGCATAAATGTATGCTCATTTGTCCCTTTTGTCGTACATATTGTGTAGAATTCATTCAACAGGCAGAGGTACACTGTTGACAAAATATTTCTCACAGAATTGTAAGTTACAAAATGCTATTGTCTACTGGTGCTAACACTTAAAATTACGCACAGGCGGTGAATCATATCAGGTACGAGGTGTCACTCAGGCACATGACCATCTCGCCTATCGTGCACAGTATGTCGGAGGAACGGACAGCACGATCACTTGGGAGCGTGCTCCGAGTGCTGTTTGTAGAGCTCGCGATCTCATCAACCAACGTGTGAAAGAAGCTCTCAATACCGAGTATGGGTTCAATGAGGTCCTCAGTGCAGCATACATGGAGAAACAGAGCATGGGAGTAAGTAGTTTCGCGCTGGCTTGTCCATCTTTTGCTTAACGGAGCAATGATAGTTCCACAGTGACAGCGAGCTAGGATTGGGCCCAACCGTTGCATCGTTGTCGCTGGGGTCATGTGCAAAGATGCACTTCCGTCTACTTAGCCATTACAGCAAACACACGGAGAATGCTCTGAGGGGGAATGCGCTTACTCTGTGTCTCCGTCATGTAAGCATGATGTTCATCATTTATGCCCCTCTTAGCTGATAACGATCCAGGGAGATGTTCTGATTATGGAAGGAGCAGGTGTGCAGACATATTATGAGTGAGTTGCCGAATATGACTTGGAAAGATCAGTGAAGTTAACAATTGACGAGGCATACTGTTATACCGATGGACTTTCGCATTGCCGCAACTGCACGTTACATCGATAATAGTGGCCAGGTGGTAAACTCTGCATCTCTCTGACTATCATAATGTATTCGTCAGAAAAGCTCAAATCCGGTCTATGATGCTTTTATATTCTTGCCGTCACCAAAAAAAGACAGTGAGTCCGAGAAAGTCCCAGGACCGCCTTGTGTTTTGAATTTCTTCGAGCTCCGGGTTGGGAGCTTCTTATCGTGTGTTCATTGGCTTGTACAGACCAGTGAGAACAAATCAAAAATGAAATTCTCGAGTCATCACATATTGCTACGTGAGAGAAGACTGTGACAAATAATGATAAGGCCGGTGCGGGCAACGCTCGCTAGTACGACGAGCAGGTCACACGCGGTGGAGACGCGTGATATTTCAGTATGTACATTTCTGTGTGATATATGTAGCCCGACGTCCTCTCCAGGTCCGCAACATCGCCTCTTCGTGATGACGCTCTGGCTCCAGCTGCACTTCCTCTACCGCATCCACCGGGGCCTCGTAGGCTTGACAGACCCGACTACGTCGCATCTTCACCATTGTCTGAATCATCGTCGCTAGACGTTCCTCAGGCTCTGCTTCGCGTCGGATGCGTTGGAAGAGGGCGATTTCATGGAGCGCGGTTACGCAAAGAATAGGATTGGAGATGAAGCGGTCTGCCAGGATTGGCAGATCGTGTATGATGTGCTTGATCGAAACAATGTAGAATAGATGGAATGGGCTGCCCAGAGGGATTGACTTGTTTGGTATGAGTAATGCATACCAACGGCGAGCACAAATGTCCCAAAGCACTGCCGACGTGGCGTTCATCAAACTACCTAATAGAGAGATAATTCAACACTGCAGTCTTTAAACTGTGGAATACTTTGTGATATAGAATCCTAGTAGAAATTGATGGAAACGTCAGTCAGAGTATTTTGGGCTTTGAACACAGCGGCACACCGGGTCCGTCACCAGTCCCATCTCGGTCGCCACCACTCTGTATGACAGTCATAGTCGCTAAAGGACGACGCGCGTGCTAGCTGAAAGCTCAGTACCTCCTCTGACGCGACTGAGCACTTGTGGTGCCAATGAGAGACTTACACAGCCACCATAGATGTCATCGAGCTTGAACAACCGTGCAGGCCGAGTGTCGTAAGAGAGTGTCTTCGCGTCGATGGGGAACGAAGCGTCGATACGATATAGAGACACGGATACAGAGTGTCCGGAGTATGAGGTCGAATTGGGTTGCTGAGAGGGAAGGTCGATATTCAGCTCGCAGGTTTCCATTCCGCGATCGATGGCTCGGAATTTTATGATGGTCGATACCTAGCGACAGCGAGTTGGGTAGAGGACTTAAAATGGCACGAGAGCACTCAGCGTATCGGTCACAAGGATCCTCTGCTGCCCAGATGAGATACCGCCAGAGTGTCCCAGATATCTCCCGGAATCGTTGTCGAACACTCGATTCCCGTGCGCGTCATCAATGGAGGTGATGATGATGGGAAAATTGTTGAAATGGAAAGGAGTCGGAGGCGATGGACTTGCTATTCGATCGAGACCAATGAATTGCGATGGCCGACGGAGATGAAGCATCACGTCTCGCTTATTAAGCCGTTCCGCAAGCGTACTCGTGGCGGGGGCGAGGAAGAGTAGCAATGCATTCGTAACTGCGCATAAGACACAGACAACCACCGGCAGCGGGGCGAATTTCGACTGTTTGGTTGGCTTCGAAGACTTTTTGCTACTGAGATTGCGAAGAAATAAACAATTCCACTCCGCAGGGGTGGAGTTGGCGCAGCTGGTCCGACTTGGATGGTGGAACGTGAGGCGTCTCGTGAATGAAAAGGTGGGGCATTGATGAGCCTTTTAGTATGAGCGTCGTAATAATGCAGTATCAGATCTATAATATGCATCCCCTGCTTTGCTGACCAGGCACTTCAGCGAGGCGACGCAAGAACGTTTCAGGGAAAGATCATGCTCAATGCTGCGAATTGCACGGATTCACATTTGTGCAACAAAATTGCTCGTCAAGTCCACACCGGCAGCTTTGAAGCCTATGGCCCATGGCCCCTCGGAAACAATCGTGCACGGAACCATGGAAGCATTCCGTGTCATTGACTATGGAGGAGTCATCTGAAAGAACGCGTGGTTCAGTAGAACGTATCCGTCGCGCATAGAGTGGTAGATCATTCCGTTGCCTTTAAAGCTGATAATGACGATACTTGGCAGGCATACAGGCATGAATCGAGAAGAAGACTGTCTTGCATGCAGCGACTGGACAATCACAGTCGCACCAGGCTTTACGCGTCCTATCACGTGACCGCGTTCACGCGATATTCTATAGTCACACCTTCCAGGGATGGTCAATACAGCTTCTCGTAGCAGACGAACCTCGAGTTCCCTGGCTGTCGCATGGTTATGAGATGGGCCGCTTATGTTTTCGCATGCAGCTCTCTGAAAAATGCTATTGTAATGAAAATATTGCGAGATACTGTATCACAAGAGACGCCGTTGCACCCAGTCCGTTATTGCCTGTCTATCAGCGTGATATGAACGGGTCATTTAACGAAACCAGCATTGACTGAGACGGACTTGGTCAGTTCAGCTTGACCAACTGTACTGTGATGTTGCAGTCCGCGGAGAGCACGAGGTGCTCTTCTCGCTCAGGATTAGGGTGTGGACGACCAAGTATCTAAACAAATCACAGAACCTCCTCATACGCACAACGATTTGCACATCCCTAGAAATGCATATCACCTGTCTGACGAGGGGATGCAGAATACGGCTCTTGATTCGTGATCGCCGCCAGTGATAGCATCTCCCTTCTCGAGCGCATATGATTCGTGCCATCGGACGGTGAAGCAACTCGATGAGAAGATCTCGATGCTAAGTACGGTTCTGTTGGCACGTCTTGAGTCTCTGGGCATAATTCTGATCTGCGCGCCGCTGACAATACAGACGAAGGAATAGAGATGTCCCTCTCAGATGGTTGGCCCCCAGCTTCATGGAGGGGTATTGCGGTTGAATCCTCGATGGCAGGTGGGCCGGAGAAGCTCGAGCGAGCAGAGGAAATGTTAGCTTCACAGACAACCGGCTCGAAGTTAGTCATGGGGGGCAAGAACTTGTATGTGCGAGGAGTTGAATACTGCATGCCGGACCCACGAAAGGCTCTTTTCAAAACATGGAGCATTAGATCCCAAAAGTCGAAGTGCAGGAAAGCACGTACTGAGCGGGCATAGGTTTTGTAGAACGACGAGTAATCTGTATGCTCTGTGTTTGTGTAGATGACGAGGGATCCAGTCTTGCCTGAGATGAGGAGGTCGCTCCTGAGTCGGGGCTAATGGCGAAATTTCGAACGATGTCCTTCAGTTCCAGCATCTCGGTTTCCAAACCGCTGATCTTCGCGCGATCTTTGAGGGCGTCAGCCTGCATGCTTCTCATTTGCGCCTTCAAGTCCTCGACTTCGCGTCGAGTTACATCTCTCTTACTTAGCGCTTCTTAGAAATTAATCATCAAGATGCTTAGATCATACTCACTCAGGCTCCAACATAACCCACTCACATGTCGAGCCTCTTTGAGTGCATGGACCACAGGGTCGAGCTCTTGTTGGACGGAACAAGCATCAGACACAGCACACAGCCAAACCGTGATAGCCAAACCTGTCACATTTGATCTTCCGTCTACGACACTCTGCATCAATATAGGCAGTCACTGAGATGCGGCCGATATAGACAATACGAGGAATGCAATCACTCACCTGTGCAACTAAGCCCCCCTTTACGCCGTTCGCTTTGCGACGACGTTGCTCTATCATAAAGATCCTCATGAACGGAGCTCTCCCGAGCTAGGCCCAAGAATTAGTAAATTGTCCGTTATGAGCACGGCGAAGATCACACCACCCACCCACTTCTGTCCGGGCAGCAAGTCCGGCTAAATGACGGAATGAAAACGGGTCGTTCTCTGAGCGTGATTCTCATTTAGAATCCCAATAAAGAACACACCTTCCATGACCCGTTCAGTCACTGCTGACCTCGTGTTATCAGATGCCGTATCAAAGGAGAATGGTGCAGAGTAATTCATCAATGCCTATGAAGGAAGGTGTACAGATCGAAGCAGGCTCGACCTCAGGTCGTGATCTCAGAGAAGAGATACGAGGGAGCGGTAGGATTCAAGATCGCTCATTCAACAGACTCGAGGCTCCGTCGTGATGAAGATACCTGCCTGTTTTGGGCCTTCCATAGGTTTGCATTGCGACCATCTGCGGAATGTAAGCAACGCGAGAATTTCAGCTGATTCTCAGGTAAGCGTTCATTTTGAACTTGCTTTTTGTCCTCCACTTACCGGCACGGTTGACGCGCAACCGATAACATGCCAATGTGCGATTGGCAGTTGACAGCATGTTACCCTCTGTAGCGCCTGTCGATCGGGCATCGCAAGTATGTCCGCCGTGATGTTGTCGATAAGGTCATTCCTCGGGGTTCCGCAGTCCACCGGGATGCTCCCAATATAGTATCTCTTCTTGACGATGTTCCTATTATATCATTCAGCCAGGTCGCTGGGTTGTTCCTGACATATTTATATTAGGAGGGCTAGAAGACACGATCCTCCGGAGCGTTCCAGATATAGCATAAGTGTGTATCCGCCGTGATGTTCCCGATAAGTCTTTCCTTGGCGGTCCTCAGTTCGCCGTGATGCCCCCGATATAGTAATCCTTCTTGGTGATGCTCTATCGATGATCAAAGACCGGTTTCCGATATGAGTCAGTGTGAGTGGACAATACCGCCAAAGCGCAACTGTGGGCTCTGTATTGGTTCTCTTCGCTTCGTTTTGAATCATCTCTTATTCGTGCTCCGAGACATAGGCAACAAATCCACCATCAGAAGGCTGCGAGATACTCAGCCATTCTGTCGCTCGGATTTCGCCGACATCATGTGTCTGCGGCTAGATGCCACACAGAGAGGATTGCGCAGCATCGAAATTCGGGGTTTTTACGAGCAATTCACACAGAAAACTGGGGCTGTAGGGATTACGGCAGGCTTCACATTTGCTTATGGAACGTTCGGCTTCTGCTCGGCATTGCCGTCCCCTTGAGGGTCACTGGCACTGCGGATGACCATGCCAGCACGCTCTTGAGTTTCCGCGTCGCCCATATCTTACTCTGATTCTCGCGTAAGATGGGTGAAACAAAACAACCTCAGTGTTGTCACAGCGCATTACAGGTTATATCAAGAGTCAGGAAGCACATGAATCGCTTAGCAAAATATGGTACGAGGTAACAAAAGATCGATGATTAAAGCGTCAGAGCTTGTCTCGATCTCTGCTCATCAAGGCGAGCATTCATGGTACTGAAGCGCCTCATGAGTCATCATCTTCCCGCAGAGGCATTGTACAAACATGGCGTGAAATTCTTCTTCAGATAGACCGGGGTCATCCTGACAGTTCAACTTCATGAAACGGGCAGATGCGTTTCGATGATCGAAGGTGTCGCTAAGTATCGACGTTTCGCTGCCGTTCACGCTGCAGTTTACGGCTAACGCACCGTACTTTAGCTCTGTGCTTCAAGAAAAATACAGAAATTCTACCTCACCGCCGTTTGTTGGGTCCGCCGTTGCGGGAGCCGTCGTTGGTACTGCCACCACCGGACGCTGCAACAGAACGTTCCAGTCAGCACAATGCATCTTGGAAGGTGATGCTACTCACCGGGCCTTCTTGATTTTGTACTGCCTTCACCCCTATTTGCCGGACGGGCTAAGAGGTCGGTGCATAATCAGTTGCCCGCTGATTACGATGATTATTGACGGGTCATCACCATCTCTTGTTCGTTCAGGGAGTATATCGACTTCGGTGATCACATCTGCAAAGCGTTCATATCACGAATATCCATTCACTCAGCTAAGACCTACCTCTGCAAGGATAGTTCTTGACCTGAAGATCCCGTAGGACATAATATTTCTCTAAATAGACTGCCCGATTGTCCGCAAAGAAGGATAACAGCACCTCGAACAAAATAACTCACGGAAGTATTTGCACATCCCGGTTGAGCAGCGAGCTACCCATAGGTTGTTAAGGCCGCGGTTGATCGTGAAGGTCGTGACGACTGTCTCAGTATAGGCTGTGGTGCTTGTGTCCAACGAAGCACACATGCAGCCAGGATTCCGAAATTGGTGCGTACGGCGATATTCAGCGAACTGTTGAGGAGGAACGCGCTGATTGTCTTCGTAGACCGGCCTACACACGAAACAATGTCATTAGCAGCATGGATTTGATCTCTCAGGGCTTTCGACATACCACAAAAATGGAATGAGCCTAGCACTGGAGCGATCATACTGCATTGGTACACTTTCTGATCGATTAATGTAGCGGCGAAACGGGCGGAAGCCGTGCGGGTCCTCCGGATTGTCCTCATCGTGTGGATAGACTGTCGGAATGATTCCGCCGTCTGGGTCGAGGTGAGGCATCCGGGAGTCGTCTCGTGCAGGGCGAAGTCTGCGGTCTGCGGGTGAGCCGTTTGCCACCAGCTACACCCCATGTTTTGTCTCTTCGAATTCTGTAGTCCTGCTACGGGCCATTGGCACCCACGGCCACACTGTGACAGTAGCACACATTCACGTCAGGAGCGTGGTCTCGTGTTTTCGATGAATAACTGCTCCATCACAACTTCCTGTGGAGTCTCAGGTTCGTATCCGCGCTATTTGACCGAGAACGATCTGCTCAGAGATCTGCCAGGGATGACACTTCTATCGCCGGCCCATTCATTCTACTCCACTGTTCACAAGTTGGCAATCGTACGTGTGCTTTCCCATTCGGTGAGCACATGGACACAGGTGATTCTTCCGCCGTGTTCCCGTCCCTGGGTGCATGGGAGCTTAAACCGGATGAACCCGACAGCTGGCAGAGACTCGGCTGACTGCTTGCGCAATTGAAACGGAGACGATAGCATGACGAACATTCCATCTGTGTCTACATGTGTCATCCTTGCCACGACATTTCTCCATGGAGGCCAAGAATGTAATCACGACATGTTGGCGTGTGTCATTCTGCATGAAACCGAATGCTTCCGCTCTTGCATTCGACTTTCCAGGTGGTGACAGACGTCTCGTCGTGACTCAACTGAACGGTAGAGTTGTCATTGATACCTACCTATGGCCCATGTAAGCTGTTCCGTGTATTCTCACAATTGCCTTTGGGCCCATCGGGATTTGACGTTCCACAGAGCATCCGTCTCGCGAAGTGCCGAACTTTTGAGACGGCAGGCTGCTCGATCGATCCATTGAACTCGGTGCGTTGTTAATCGAGTGGCAGCCTTCCGGTTCCCGCCTTTCCTAAGTGTAGTCGAAGGAAGGTCTCTAGCAAATGAGCGCTACGAGGTGGCAAAATTATTATCGGATTCACATTGCATTTTCTCGTGAGTATCACATAAACATATCAAGAAAACCATTAAGCGCCATTAGAGGTCTAACCCTGTGTCTGCCACCGCGCCGCGTTAGTCTTCCAATGCAAGCCCACGAGGACGTCAAGATGTCAATCCTCGTGCTCTCTACCCTTGGACTAGACATACTCTCGGGCGTAGAAGACTGCGAGAGTTCGAATTCTCACCCATGTGAGGGTAGAACTGATTTGTTTCACTTTTCAACTAGAATGTGCCCGACTGTCAGAGCTTCAGATCAACGTGTCACGCTAGCGTGCAGATTTCGGAGTTATGGGGCTTTTATTTGCTTCCTAGAAGAAGTTCAGCGTGCCAGAGTTCAAGTTTGAGTGACAGAATCCCTGCATCCCACCTGTCTCAATTCAAATGGCATGTCTTTCCGTTATAGGGCTGGGTTACCATTTACTGCATGCAGATCTTGATAGATAGGATCCATGCCCTGGCCATGCGCTACAAGCCAATCGTGTCATTCTGAACGGAACTCTGAATCAAAGTCATCGATTTAATCGGGTGAGTTTCGGATACATTTCAGCTGAGCCTTGCAGAACAAGTTTACGTTCGAAAACAGGTCGTTAATTCATCTCATCATGAATATAGATGCCACTATAGATATATACGCTGCCAGAGTTACCGATCCAGGTTGCAAGGGATTTTTGACTCTTCCCTGAGAAGTCCAGCAAATCACAATTCCACTCCAAAGAAGGCTTACGCAATTTCTCCCCTGTTGTGTCGATTGACCCACACAAGAACTTCACAGCTGTCGTTCACCTTGACATGTGGGCCCTTCTGAGGGAGAAGTCTGACGCTGATCGCATCGTGTGAGGACTGCTTCTAAGGCTCTTTCTCCGACCTCGTTCATGCCCTCTTGTGCCAGCTTGCCCGTAAATGCGGGCGCTGCATTGAGGCTTAAAGTCTCCTAGCTCTTTCCGCCTCTCGACTGTCACTGAACTCTCGCTATCGCAACTTGGGTTGCTGGGGAGAAAACTCTCATTGCATTTGTCGCTTCCTTTTTGCCAGAGCGTATCTCAATGTAACTATCAATCACATCGGTCGCAACCCTGGCTTCGCGGTCACATCGATGTTTCGAACCTCATGACTTCGAGATGTATCTGATTGGGAGCGACCACCACATGCTCTACGACTCGGACTGTCTGATTACGAATGCTTGTTAGGGCCGCTCTCGTCCGGGATGCACGATATTTGCAAATATGGTGCTTTGATATGTTTGCTGACGTTTCGTTGTAGAACGCGAACTTCGAAGGCCAGGGAATGATTCTAGCTCCAGCAATGACCCTTACGCTGCTGTTCCGCTTCTGAGACAATAGAAGCACAGGGTCGATTCGATTCCTGTATGGCCACGATAATTTCAATACATTGGTTGCGAAGGCGGTCCGAAGGTACTATTGCGTGGCATCGGCGGTGAGTTCCACCTAATCCGTTCAATTACGCCTCTTAGGAAAAGGCAGTGGTCTCGGAGGTACTCCATCAGCTCGTTGCCGATGCAGCTAAATCGTCTAGGATAGCGCACAAGAATGTTGAATATTCTACCGTTCGTCAGGGACTCCCCTTTGCTCATGTTCCCGGCAGATGGTTCCAATATAATCTGACATCACAACGTAGAATTCTGACAGAATGCCGTCGTCTACCTGTGAAACAGCCGGAGTAAGCGGAATATAAGTCTCAATGCTAGATAAGACTGGCCTTGGGTGTGTCCGCTTTCAACGTGCTCTAGTCCACTTGCACAGTAATTTGTGGAAGCCATGTCTCGTACAGATGGCATTGCCGATACACCCGCAAAGTTGGAATTCCTACAGTCCCATCTCAACAGGTTCCTCGACATTGCCGAGGCGGGTAAGCGTAGCGAAGCAAAGCGATTTGTAGATACCATAGTGTTACCCGCATGGGAAGAAGCGTTCGGTCCTCCGGTCGATAAGCCCATTCAGAAGGCAAGCAATGATGATCCCATGCACTTGTTACCTGTCCTGACTATGGTCGTGATAGAGGATTTACAAGTGGTTTGCGAATCGTCGAAGACCCACCAAGCGTCCGCGAAGGAATCAGGACGGTGCTGTCACTGCTGCATCCACCCGAAAATCGTCACCAAAGTTCACGGCAAACTTCGTCCTTCGTCGTCCTCGTTCAGTTCCCGCACGCGATCTGTTCGCAAAAACAATCAAGGAGAAGCTGGACAAGATCGTCAGCGCGTGGCGAAAAGAGCGTGGCCTACCATATACAGCGGGACTGCAGATTCGGGCCCGGCTACTGAGCAAGGCCTGGAAGCAGCTCCCCCAAGGAAAACGGGTCCGCTTTCTGGAGGAGGCCGAAGCCATCAATCAGCAGAGAGCTCGTGAAGGGAACGAAATGAGGAGAGAAGATATATCAAGGTAAGTTTGGAGTGGAGTCAGCGTGTCACCACTTCTGACTCGTGCATATCAGTATAGCACCAGATTTGTACGACGCCATTTCTAAGGTGGTGAAGGGATGGGCTCAGCTGCTACCGGGATGGACAATTAACTTGAAGATGGGTGGCGTTTTGGACGGAAGTGCAGACGGTCTGAGGGTTTGGAAGTAAGATTTCCCGATCATCACGTCTGAGTCAAACCTCACTTCTATTGTAAGTTTCGACCTCCCATGCGAAGGGGGAGAACGTTACGCTCAATATATCAGACGAACAACCGGTTCTTCGGAGAAATTTGACGAGCATTTCGTGGCATTTCTGCGTCATCAAGACCGTGAGTTCTCGATGCTGTACAGTCTTAACAGATTAGCTAGACATCACTCGTCTGTAGGACTATATCGAAGTTCAGATCAAGATAGCATGAATAATGTCTCTCAGCTATTGGCTCGTCAACTGTGGTGGGACAAAGACGACATAGTGCATTACCTACAGCTGTTCTTTGAGAAGAAGTGGGGTGAGCCTCGTCGATTTATGTTGACAATCTCCTTGATGACACTCATCTGCAGCACAAGCGGGGGGTTCCTTTCGTGTCCCGTGGGAGGAGATCCTAAGGGATCCTGAGATGTATTTGGATATGGCTGCATTTCCAACACAGTTCACGCTCAAGAGGTTAAATGATTACAGCAAGGCAGAGCTATGCGAACTCTATTCGCATCTGTACGCAGCGCAGAACGGAGCTTCGATCGCGCCGACGTTCCGTTTCAAGTCAGTATTACAGGCCAGCAGCGATGCAGAACAAGACGGTGAGGCTTTCGGGATGCTCTGTAAGCCAGTTTACTGATATCTTCCTACAAAATCACAACACAGAGCGTGGCAGCAGTACAATTCCGTATTCAGCTAGAAACACTACAATGCGACTTGTTCGCCCGGGTCTGCAAGGCAAGTTACTGACGAGTGCTTAGTCGAAATTGATAAACTTGATAATTAACGTCTCTCAGTATCCACGGGAGCGGGTGGAAGTTCGGAACAACCGATGCTCGTGAGCGAGCCTTTCCCTCGCGAAGGGTCGAGTGCGTTTCATGGCCACTTGCGCGCTCGCTCAAACTAATAGAATTCCTACTAACTTGAAATTATGATGGGCAGACGATGGAGATGACGACGAAGATGCATCATTCCTTCGTGACATCTTAACCAACATTCCTGACGACAACAGCCGGGGTATCGGCGTCTCTAACGTCCTTCGGCGCGAAGAAGCCGACGAATCAACAAGTGAGGACAACGTGATCAACACGAGTAACACCAGAGTTCCGTGTATAAATCGTTACAGTGCTGATGATGAGAAATAGATCTTCATCGCGTACGCAAGGCGGTCAGAATCACTGGCGTGCCCGGCTCAGGTAAGATATAATATGCAGATTATCTACGTCTGATCAAACCGAAGTGCAGGAGAAGACGTGACATCAGATGGGTCAGATGAATCTTCAGAAGAGCTCAGCAGTGATGCGGGCTCAGCTTCTCGTCGTAGCCGTAAGGCGGTTAGGTTCACTGACGTGCCCGACTCAGGTAAGATAAAACATGCAAATTATCCATGTCTGATCAAGCCGAAGTACAGAAGACACGGAATCAGATGGGTCAGATGGGTCTTCAGAAGATCTCAGCAGTGATGCGGGCCCAGCTTCTCGTCGCAGCCGTAAGGCGGTTCGGATCACTGGCGTGTCCGACTCAGGTGAGATACAGTACCTCGCAGGGAATTATGATCTGCTGATTACATTATTTGACGGGGAAAATGCTGCATTGATCGTTCAGAAAGCTCAGTAGAGCACCTCAACCGGCGGGCTCGCTCGATTCGGCCGCGCAAAGCAACTAGAATGATTATTGACTCCGACCTAGGTGTGATAATAATAAGGAGCGTCTGATGCCGTTTCTAATGGCAACATAGAAGAAGATATCACCGACGAAGAAATGGACATTGCTTCAGAAGACTCGTTAATCGATAGTAGTGGTAAGTGTGTCGATCTCAGAGTATCTCACTATGTCTCATTTTTAGAACCTTTTGTCATAAGAATCTCAGCATCCGCCGAGACGGGTGTCACAAACTCTCCGCCGCGGTGCCTCCGGTTGTGCTCGTACTCTAAGTCCAGGACCAGCGTCGAGCAGTTCGCTGCCATTAATGGTCATGGATATTGACATCGAGTCCCGGAATGTCGTCAGTAGTTACCGAACTGATAGTACGATGAACTGGGAAGCGAATGAAAGTACGTTTTGGGCTCTATTGAGGCAGCTTTCTAGATGATGGCTAATAACCGTGGATGTCACCAGTGGGCACCAACATGCAGGAATATGGTCTGATTTCTGGTAGGATTTATTTCTTTGCTTTCAAAACCTGTCTGATCTAACTCAAATTCCACAGCGAGTGAAGAAGCGGACCATTCGTCAGTAATCATTCACAGCGGATGTGACACTCATCATATCTTTTAACAAGTGCATATACAGAGCGGTAACGACTGGCTCTGAACGCGAAGAGTCACGACATTGGATAGCTAAATCGGGAAATAGGCAGACCAGCATGAGAGGTGAGGGCCTGTCCATATTCATAAGATCAGAAGAGGTGTCGATATGATTTCCGCTTCAGAGAAATGCCGAAATGCGTGTCAATCGGCTCGTCCTGAATGGGCAGTCGTCGCGGGCGAAGTAAGGCACCCCATGCCCGTCGGTAAATGGCCTGAGTGGGTTTGCGCTAAGATGCAGAGCTTAATTGGAATCGTTCCAACGGACTGCAATGCGCTTCGTAGTCTCTTTCCGATCATGGTCAAACTCGACGGTATGCTTCCGGTAAGTAGGTTTGAAGGTTCGAACACCACTGGAAGTACGCTCACATTCCCTGACAGCGAGCCTCAATCCAAGCAGAGTCCTTGCCTGTCGGTTTGCAAACATGGGTCGATGTTGCAGCTAAACATATATCCAGCAAGAGGGTGGTGCCAGCTACTTTCACTATGGAGTGGCTTACGTGGTGGCACTCTTTGCAGCCCGTCTCTCGTCAAATCTGTAATCTCGACCTCGACTCTCAACTTTCACATCCTACGCACGCTGAAGAATTGAGGTGGCCAGCTCTTGAGAAGGGCGGCGTGAACGGTATCAGCCAAGTTGCATTCACACTTTGTTTATGCTTCCCGGCAAAGGAAGCCCGTGGTAACTTCACCCTTATGCAGTGGCATTCTTGGCTATGGGACTTGACGTGGGTGTTCCAACGCATGCTTGTCGGGTACGTGATGCCTGCTTCATTATCAAATGCTGATTTCTAACTTACTTGCTAGTATGGAAGAAAGACAATGCGCGTCGTCCGAGAGCATTACTGTTCGGACATCCGTGGTTGAGCATACGGACTCAAGCGTCGCGGTCAACATAACTCAAGATGAAAGCTTACATCAAGGGATTCCTGCAGAATCAGACGAAATGACGAGGAGATCGTGCGTGCTGTATTTCCCTCCACTTTCGCTCATGTGTATTTACAGCGCTCGTGCCAAGTGCCCGGTTGAAAATCAAGGAACAGAAGGATCAGAGATCAACGAGGGACAAGATCAAGTATGCCGGTGCGAAACAGTAAGTGCTCTCTCCATGCACCATACTGCTCAGCCAGTGATTCAATGCTTGTTATGAGTCACGAACTTCAGTATGCATCTTCTCGAAGTCATGAGCCATCTACGAGAGGCAGAACGAAGGCGAGCACGCACGCCTTACGAAAGACCTCCGGGAGGGATTGATGGATTGATGCAGAGCATGAAGACCTAGGATATGTGTAAGGAGATGTGAATCCATCGAAAGTTCCGATACAGGCTGCGTGAAACTTCTTAAGACGGATCCTCAACCACACGAGTAATCACATTTGTGTGATTCGTTTTTCGATACGTTCGACTGGCATCATGGCATGTTGTCAGGTCTGAAGAGGATGCTCAAATTACGAGTGTTCTCGAGTAAGCCTTGATGTACAGACCGGGGTAGGTTGCTTGTAAATATATATATATATATCTATAGAGTAGATAAAGATGGCATCTCTTCGCAGTAGTACTCAGAATTGAAGAAGAGCACGGGCGCTGAGTACAGAGGAAATTCGCATACCGTGGCCGCAGAGTCATACAAGTGTCCCCAAGACATATTCTTCGGGCTTCATAAAAGTTTAAGAGCGTACAAGTACTACTTGACAGCCCAGACTGGAGTGGTGAATCCGCCACGATTACCTCTTAAAGCACGAAGGCGAAGTTCTAATGGGTACGTATAGTAGTACCTGGCAAGTACTGGCAATAGCGCCGCAGGCCCGCGTCTGCGCGTCGATGTCACTCCCAATCGTCTACTATCCAGATCTCCTGAAAGCGGTTCCACATACTCAAAATGGCTGATTTGAAGGCCGCATTGCAGGTTACGAGAAAGGCCGTTTCCAGATTCTATACCAAAGGCAAGCAACGATACGCGGACGTCGTGGAGCAAGTTGTGTCTCATTTGATCCTGCTCGTAAGAGATCCACTGCTCATGCTGCGTGCCACTGACAAACAGGTTTGATAGAAGTCGAGTGAATTGTCCTCAGCAACTAGAAATAAAACTGTGCAGCTCTTCCGCTGACCATTGGCTCGTCTATACTCTGCGTTTCCTCTACCATCTTTCCAGCTCTCTGGGGCAATTTTCTATATCATTTATCGCCAGAATTCTTGACCGCTGTCGGCCAGCAGGCACATGAGCAGAAAACGCATGCGGAGAACATATTGAATTCTTTACTTCCCGGTGTTCTGGTACACGCTTCGTTTATCCTATCCATCACCACGGCCGTATTGCCATTTGTAGGACTTTCTTGACGAGAGTGAAAAGGGTACGTTGTGGCACTTATCGTTGAGGAACGTCCCATGTAGGCTCTCTGACAGAGAAGAGCAAGGGTGTCAAAGCGAAATGCATGATCGACACGGCTCTATACCCGACCCTTTACGAAATTTGCTTCTGACTCTCCGCACCTATGATAGGTGTAAAGCTGAGATGCACCGTGAGTCATTGAGGCACATATATTCGCGTACATGTGCCAACAGAGACATGGTATCGTGCACGCATATGCTCTGCCCTCCGATTCCGCCGCTGCACACGCGACTAAGCAGCAGAAGCTGCGAGATCCGGCCCTCCTCGGAAGGTGAGTACTGGTCTAAGAAGTGCTTTTTGATACTAAAATCGTCACAGAGAGCGCCTCGGACATACAATCTGGAGAACCAAACGCAATGTGCTAATCTGAACAATGGCATGACATGTTGAAATGGACGTTCTAGACTCCCTATCAATGCAGAGCCTGCCGAACATCTTTGCTCGCACCCTTCCTTCCATGAAAGAAGCAGACTCCACTCGCGCCAAGCGCTCTGCACTCATCCGTTCCGTCTTCGTCTCACCGCAGCTACCTGAGACCGCCGCCGCTGGCCAGAAAATGGCCGAGCTGCGCGAATACGTACGCTCTACGGAGTGGGAGGAGACTTTAAGGAGGATGGTGGATGTCGCTGCCGCGGCGAGCCTTGCGCTGTAAGTCGACATGCTGCTCGTGTGGATGTATTACGTTTACTAGACCTTGGCGAGTCGCAGGCCGTAGTCCTTCGCAGTCAATGAAGTGTAGGCGTGCAAGCAAGCCATGCAGTGTGATAGGCTATTTGTGGACGACAAGACGTTTGTGAACGTCCTCGTCGGAGTAACTGATAGCAGCATAACGGCTCACCTGACAGGTTCATTGGCTCATTATATGCGCTCCGACGTCTTCTTTGCGTCAATTCCATAGGATGATCAATGTGAGGCGCTAGAGGTCCCTTCTTCACATTGGACGTCTGCTACAGTAATCGAAGCATTCAAGCATTATTCATCGTTCGCTTCGACAGTGACACCCTACAATCAATCTCATGTGGCGTCTCTGACGGAGCAACGATCCTGAAGCGAAGAGTTGACGCATCCGAGCTTCCGCCATTGGCACCGCAAACTGGCGGCGTGGGCGTCACAATGGTGGGTCCGGAAACGTGCGATAGAGTTACCACCGCCGACCGTGCAGACGCACGGATGCTGATGCGTAATCTAAGCAACATTTACGTGTGCCCATCGGGTGGAGGGAACGTCAATGTTGGTGAAAGCTGTATGAATGTTCCGCGGATGAGCAGGACGCAAACCGAGGGCGCGCGCACGTAGCCAGACGTGTTCTAAGGTAAGTTGATGGATGAAAGTCATGCGGTTGTAGAGACGAAGGAACGGTATGGGTGTGACTGAAGGGGACAGGTGATGTGACAAGATTGCAAGCATCTAGCGGCTGTTCGTGCTCAAACGACGCGGACGTCCCTCCTTCGCTCTCTTTCGTCTTGTCGGGCGATTATCGATGGACTGAACACTTTGTGACTATCGTAATTATTTTATGTAGATCTTTCTATACCTTCATTGTCTGTAGCTTACTGCTGGATTCGTTGATCCCGAATAACAGGCTTACGTAAGGCGCCAGCATTTCCGTCGCGTGGATATTTGGAACATGATCGTCCGGACATGTCCGCTCGCCCACGCATCCCGTTCTTGCTCACCAGCATCGCCTCTTCACCGAAACAAGGGACTCTGCTTGCAATTGTCTGGTCGCGAGAACGCCTCAGCGCCGCCATCAGCTATATCAGTCGCGCTGCACGCTGCCGCTTTCTAGACCGTTTGCATCTCTACTGGTTGACCACCAACGCTGTTATGGCATCTCTGACACCGCCCCAGTCACCGCCGTCCTGGACGCACTCTGCGGAACAGTTCCTCGAGCTCACGAAAGATGTGATCGCGAAGGATCGGGTCCGAAGGACCGGGTTACAGCGCCGCCTTCTGCTGATTGTAACCTTTCATGCGTACGTGCGCATCACCTGCTCAACGCGTGCATCTCGTTGACTCCTTTCAGGTGTTCATAAGTCGCGCTTAAGCGCATGCTGACCGTCTGCACCGACAGTTCTTAGCGGACCTGCCACCGGAGAAAAGGAGCGTGTTGTGCTCCTGAAGCTCAAGGAGGAAGAACATGCGGCGAACACCTACCCATCTGACGGCAACTTCTACACATGGGACTACTGGTATTACCACCGCGTGCTACTCGAGCGCTCGCTCAAGCTGGATGACGAGATGGTCAAGGAGCACTGTCCTGTCAGTGCGGTGGTGCCTACGATCCTCGAGATCTACCAGAACCTGCTTGGCGTGTGGTTCGTGGAGATCAACGGCGAGACGTGGCATCCTGGTTAGTGCTGCATAGACGATCTGTGGAAGCTCGGTTCTGACGTGTGTGCCGGGGCAGATGTTCAGCAGTTTGCGGTATGGGAGAAGATGCGAATGACGAGTCCCGCTTTGTCGGGTATTGTTACTTGGACCTCTTCCCTCGTGGTGCGTGTCGACTTTGGACTCTTGCATGATCATATACTGACAGTTTTGGTCTCGCTCGAATCCACAGAATCGAAATATTTCCAATTGGCAGTTTGGCCCTTGCTTCCAGGATTCATGTGTCCTGATGGCATGCGGAGCTATTCGCTAGCAGCGATGGTCGCAAACTTAGCAAAGCCCACACCGACGATTCCGGCACTGATGCCGCACAATGACGTCGTGACGTTTTTCCATGACATAGGGCACGTCTTCCATGAGCTGTTGAGCAGGACGCGGTTCTCTACGTTCCATGGGACATCGTAAGTTGTCTTCGGTCAGACCTCATACTTCTCCATCGAACTGGCAATGCGCAGTATGGGAGGTGACTTTGTGGAGGCGCCCTCGCAGATGCTCCAGAATTGGTACGCTGTCATCTCGTGATGGCGACGAGGAGAACATCGTTCATGTTGATATTTTTGAGTAGGTGCTTCGAGCCAGCGGTTCTCGAACGCATGTCAAGTCATTACAAGACCAAACAGCCGCTCTCAAGAGACCTCATCGACAAGATCATCAAGAGATAAGTTCGACGAGTCTCCACCCATTCGTCGCATGATGTATTGATGCACTCCATGAGTCGTCTCTCGCAACCGGTATGTCGACGGTCGCCTATTCTACTTTCGTCAACTTTTCTTTGCCAAATTCGACATCAAGGTGCATACTGACGAGGGTGAGTAGGGAGGGGCTATCGCACGTTTGTGCAGCTCTTTGTGTGGCGTGAGTCTCACGATGCTTTCCGATAGAACCGACTGACTACACAGCATTATGGAACGACCTGCGCGCGGCGACTACTAGGATCAGCTCCGGTCTCCGGTCTGCAGGCCAGGCTCATTCAACCACATCGCAAGCGGTTACGATGCTGGATACTATGAGCACGTGTTTCCACAGATATCTGAACATGTATCTTGTGCCTGTGGTGCTAACACGCTTTCTTCGGCTATAGGTACACGTATTCGTTGGTCTTTGCCGCTGATATGTACACGACAGTGTTCAAGCAGGATCCTCTCGATCCAGTACGAGGCGCACGCTACAGGAAGTCCATACTGCTTCCAGGCGGCGGCAGAGAGGAGCTCGACTCACTCAAGGTGAGGTGCTTTCGAAGCTCTTGTACGCTGTCATTGACGCCATGGCGGCGGTGCAGGAACTCTTGGGCCACGCGCCGAATTCGGGGGCGTTCCTCAAGGAGCTCTTCAGCCAGACCACGACGACTGCCTCGAATCTCTGTTTCAAACGGGGATTCTCGATTGGAACCGAGAAACAGTCACAGAGTGAAAGAAGTGGCGAGCGAGGGTTTCGCAGTCATGAAGTGCCGGCGACAGAGCAGGGTAGTCTGGCTCTCCGATCTCATCAATGCCAAGTCGACTTGAATGAGATGTGGACCAGTGGCCAGAGACCGAATAGTAAACGTGCGATCTACATTGCCAAGTTCTGTATCAAGAAATTTTGCAGGTCGACAACATGAAAGGGATTCCTTGCTATAGCCTTCCCTTTCACTCCCCCCAATCCGAGGTTCCCGTAATCATCGGCACCCATCGAGATGAGCACGTCACGACCGGCGCACGACAGTACCACGTACGATGTTTCCCATCCCGCAGCTATCAAGCATGGGATGTAGCTTTACAGATCTCTCCCGCACGAGTGCATTCCGATGTCCAACGGCCTGAAGTACGAAGTAGAAGCCGGACCCGAGTCGGCAAGATGTGAGGCTCCAAGTCGTCCCTTGCGTCCATCACAACTGCTCCATACCTGAGATTCTGCGACGTAGAGAGAAGTGCAAGCGTATGTTTGGCGCCGCATGCGATCTGAGTGATTGCACTAGTCGGGATGACCAGCGAAGATACACGGAGCAAAGAGAAGTGCGTCCTCGTCGATTCCCGTGGCGAGTTGACCTCGGGCGTTTGATCCAGCTGACAGAAGAGAGGTGAAGGCATCTGTGAAGAACACGGGAGATTTCGTTTAAAAGCACATCTGCTACTGACGTTCAGCTGAGTCCGTGCATGACTCAAAAGTGTTGGACTGTTGTAAGCGCCCGAAGCGCCGACACCAAAATCATTAGACGCCCCCATCAGCTCTTTCATATACTCTGACCCTGTGCGCGCGAAAAATAAAAAAATTCATCATCCATCGCCGTGTCGGTCTACTTTCTTCTGGCGGACGTCTCGAATTATAGCATCTGTGAATGAGGAACGGACCTCACTTTCTTTCCTCGTACTATTTGCACTGTCAGGACAGGCCAGACCGAGGCTGCTCAGACCTCTTGACCCTCTCACATCCTCACCACTCACAGCTGAAAGCTGCAGATCAAGTATGTTTTTGACGCTGGCTCGCGTGGGGCCATGGTTCCTATGGTGCGCTGTGATCTCATCTCCGATATATTCTCTGATTGATATGGCGTTTCTGACACGAGGTGTCCAAGTCTGCCCAAGCTCAAGCCATTGTAGCAGCCGCTCGTTTTCCACCGAAGGGGATTCGCGGCTTCGAAAGTACTTTCACTGATTCTGTGTGGGGCATGGCATCCACAGAATATCTCGCAACTGCCAATGATGGGATACTGGTTGTTGTACAAGCCGAGACGCGATATGCCATGATGAATTTGGATGACATTCTTTCTGCAGATGGCCTCGGTATGCCCTTCATGCTTCCTGTTGATGATTGACGGTGCGACTTACTTTTCGTTGTAGATGGTGTTCTCATTGGCCCGTATGATCTGTCGCTCTCGCATGTGTACCCATCGTCGTCTCCGGATCCTCACCCGGAATTCGAGACGACGATCCAGAAGATACGAGAGAGTGCACATGCCAAAGGCAAGAAATGGTCAGTGGCATCGTGACCTGTTCCGGATGGCTTGCAAATCCAAGCGTCTTCTTCGTTCTTAGCTCCATGTTTTTCACTACGGGTTCCCATGCAGCTAAACGCGCCGAGCAAGGCTTTGACATGGTATGTGTCGTGTAGCCTCTTACGCCACAAGACTAACCATTATATAATAACAGATCAACGTCATCTCAGATGCCTCCGCACTCACGCAAGGCTTGGCGCAAAATATTGCAACAGCAGTGGGGCAGACTGCACCTTCGAAGTCTGTCGGATACTAATTCGTTGCTCCGCGATTTTCTGCATCTTCTATCGTGACGTGAAATTGCCATTGCTCGCTGCGTACTTGCCGGTCGTGCTTTGTACTTACTCGGTGCAGGGAAGTCTCATACCGAATAGTACGTCCTCACGAGATCCGGTGACTTGCAAAAAGCGAGATTGATAGCTTTTACGTATCTGCACCGTCTTACGGAGATCCTAATAAAGAAGACGAAGACACCCCATCACTTCAACCGCTCATTCATCTTTCGGCCTCGACGCAGGTGTCATCGTGAAGGGACATTTCCATGCCATCGGCCTGTTCAGTCTCTCCCGCGATTCCTCCATTGTCTGATATTGCAAAAGAGTTTCTCATCAATCCTCCATGCCAATTGCTGTCAACTTTTCATATTTCGATAATGATTCGGTCGCTCCCATCGTTTTCCTCCTCTCGTGGTTTTCCGTGTCGCTCCCAGTGAAACTCAATTTATCAACGGTGTGTTGACGAAGCATCCACATGGGTATGTGCATTGAGTCACATCCTAGCACCGTCGAAGGCATTCCTTTCAGATTGCAGATTGTTTCGTTGTAATTCAAAACATGGTGTTTTAATGCCCTTCGCAAATCTCAAGATGGTCATTCGTAGAGGTGTTTCGTCGCTTTGAAGCAGCCTGATCAACACTATAAAGCCTCTCATCGTTCTTCAGGACCTTCTTCTATGTCCGCAAGCTCGCAAGAGTGACATCCATGCTGCATCCTCCCTCCCATTCTTTCTAGATGGCGGATACTAGCGGAGAGCGTACGGTCGACAAAGTAACGATTGGTGGACCAGCCTGCGTCTTGCATTGTACTTGTGCATAACATACCAGGAGGATTTCATCAATGTCTCGAATCCGACGATAGGCCGACCGTTAGACAAAATTATCAAACAATGCCTGCAAAGGCCACTCCGGATTTTGGGGTTGAGCCTTAATCCTTGATTGATAAGCCATGCTATTGATGAGTGGGCTGTGCGGATGCTGTGGGCCGAATGGTCTTGTTTCATGTCGGCTCCCGACTTCCGTACTGTCTGACGATTGTGCACACTCGCGAGACTTTAGCAGGTCAAGGCATGCTGGCTTTGTTGTGGCAGACCTACTCCTACAGAGCCAGAGTGGGCATCTACAGTGTCTGCAAAAGACGGCCCGCATTGATTGGCGGAGCAGCAGGGACCATCATGTGCTAAATGAAAGGGCTGATGCGAGGCGAGTCCAACGTCGAACCCTTCAACTTCGCCTTCGTGTGTGATAATCTTCATGATTCCAATGTTTCTTCCGCTTGTCCTGATGGATGTTTACTCAGTAATCCATTAGCCAGTTCTCAGTTGCAGATGACTGATCTGGGTCGATGCCGACCTGCAGTGAATTCGTACCATGTCAGACACCAGTGTGAGCAGGAAGCCATTCGCAGACAACAGCCAAGGCGTGAACCAGACTAATGAGCAATGTATTGCAAGACTTCTGACAGTATGTACTAGACGTATACCTTCCTTGCTTCACTCATCCTCGATAGCAAATCGCACATTGTACTCGCGAGAGCTAAAACTGAGACGTTGCTTCTGTGGCTGTCAAACCTGTGTCAGAGAACTGCATCCTTATTCAAGCCTTCCACACGTACCAGGTGACTGTTCTTTCATTTGATCAAGATACATATCGAGTCGGAAGTCGTCAGAAGGAGGTATTTTGAGGAATGGATCCGGCTGTAAGCGTAAAACGTTGAATTCGAGGCTCCGAACGGTAGATACTACAAGCCTACCGCATTTTCTTCGCTCATGTGCAGTAATAGATTATTCATCGCATCCTCGCTGGACTTGAAGTCAACTGTATCTGGCCGTGTACCTGTCACGTTCACATCAGAATGCTACGGCGATACTTCAGTCTACGCTCACCATGAACCATTTGTGTGTTTAACTTCTTAGCGTCGACGACTATCCTACGTCTTTTTCGAGAACTCTGCTCGACATCATTGCTGTTATCGATATCATGAACACGCTTCAGCGAATAGGCTGTCAGTGCCGTCTGCTCAGGAGCTGACGCCACAGGGAAAACGTTGGTGGAAAGCAAATATGTGCACTGCCTTGTGTCACTCAGATTCTCGAGGAGTGCAAATTCCTCCGGGGTCGTCAGCTGGGGGTCAGCTCCGAGCACGGGCACCAAGGAGATGGCTGGCGTTTTGGTGTTCTCGATGGGCTGGCAAGTCGAGCTTGATAATGTCACTGATAAATTGTCGTGCCATTCCGCCATGGGCAACGTCTTCACGAGTCGTTCTTTAAGAAGTTGAAGACTCCGGATCAGCCAATAGTCGCAATTTTTGACCTGAGCAAATGACCTTTGTAGACAAATGACTCGCGTTCCTGTCGCGTCTGCTTTCTGGTGTCGTCGAATCTCGGGTAAGGACCAGGCGATACTAGATTGTGACTCGCAATTCCCACTTGTTCGTGCCTCTCTGTTGGAATCTGAGCGAAATGGCAAATCAGGCGTCAACCGCATTCATGGCAATTGGCATAATTATGATACATACATGTGACCCGCTTTCTTGGATCTCTGTTAGAATCTTTCGGGCAAGAGGATCCTTCATCAGGGCGGCAACTACTCCCTTCGCACGGATGTCTTGAGAAGTCACGATGGCTGATAGGAGACATTCGACTAGGTGTAGCCTGCGTTCGATAGCATGCAGATAGCCTTTTGGCGGGCCACGCCTCTGTTCCACGGCTGATTTCTCATGAGACCGGACGAAAGCTCGTTTACAATGCGAGAACCCTATTGTACCTGAAAAAACACATTCTGCCAGGGACTAGTGCGTCAAGCGTCGTTGACAATCGTCAAATGGCAAATCAACTTACTCGCTCTGTCTTCATCACATTTCTTGCACTTATCTTTATTGCTACTGTTGGGCTCGCACTTCGCTTTGAAATCGCGACACCTGTGACACGCTGTACCCAAGAATGATGGGCATGGATGAATGAGCAAATCCGCCCCAATCCGAGCAGCTTACCTCTAGAGTTTCTTGAACGGTCAAGAGTTTCTGGTGGGGAAGAAATTCCTTCACCAAGGTCGCTATCAGCTGCGTATGACGTCTGCATGTTGTACATTGGACGTATCGGTGACCTGCGGCGTGGTTAATGGAAGCTGGTGCATGCAAAGATGATGCTTCCTAAAGGTCTGGTGAATGTGGGTGCGAAGGGAGGAACAAGTCGGGAAGAAGACGCTGGTTGCAGGGGGGGGAGGCAAATTGCATGCGGTGAGAAATATGAACTCTAAAATGTCCAGCCTTGCAGCGCCGGAAGTTACCAGCCACTATGACTGCATCCTCTTCGCTAGAATGCATTCCCTGCATTCCGTGCAGATGCCGTCCTGATATCAGAAGCGAGCTTCTATTTCTCCACAGGAGCGGAAGGATCTCAGACATGGACACCAATTACAATTGCAAAGAACACGTGAACACAGAGCTCCATTCTATCGGCGATCGCGTGAGATGCAATTTGCGTTATCACACTTGGTCTGCACCATGCTCGTTCATGACTATCAGATACTTCGTCAGCGATCGCCGACGGAAAAGATATCCGAGTCAGGAATCCCATTCCTTCGTTATCGTGAATGGCACGCAGCTAACAGTAATGAATATCGAGGTATACGGTTGTAATTATGTACCTGACAAACCTCGTTCTCTTCGCGATGGTTGCCATCTTAACCATGACGGCTCGTGCAGAGTCCAGCGTGGTTACTTGGCTACTTCCGCTTGTGACAGGACCCGTTGGTATTAAACAGGATAGAGTCATGCTCAGTACTCATAGAACTACGTAGGAAGGAGTGTAAGATGCCCAGAACGAGTGACATGAATGAATAATCTCACAGTGCATCGACCTCAGTTTCGCGAACCTCTGACACGCGGTGTACCGCCTGACAAGCAACAATCTAATATTATGCGTAAGAGTATAAGCGGATAATACGAATAACAGTCGTACCGTAGATGCCGTAGCAGCAGGACAGTTGAATAGCAATCTGTTCACCAAATTGGCCTCTTCGGTGGGATTTGGCGGCACTGAGCGCCAGCTCCACTGCATTCAGCAATATGGCGTAAATGAACCGTGCGACAAGCGTTGCGTTCTTTGTGTATGTAACGACCAACCTTCAAAAGCATGCCTGACACAAGTAAACAGAGCTAAATAGCTTCGTGACTGACCATGCAGCATTAACGATCAGCATCCCGTAAGCCTGGTGTGCAGCGGGGACTGTTCGAGGGAATATATTTCTCTAAGGCAAGATTGATGCTAGCCAGTCCGGCAGCGGCATCACTGGTCAACTATGGAAGAACAGTTACAAATTCTTGCGGTGGTTATTGTTCAGGTAAAATGTGACCCGCCTGCTTGAAATTTATAAACACTTGGTAATCAATTTTCCTAGTACCGTCATCAAAGGCTACGGCCAATAAATGAGAACACCTACTCACAAATGATGTCAAGAGATATCAGATCGCCCACAACAGCTTTTGAGTCGATGCAGATTCTTGGGAAAAAATGCTTACATGCCAACCAAAGCGGCGAAAAGACGACCCTTTGCCGCCTAGTAGGATATCTTCTCCTCACTTACACAACGAATGCTATCAAAAATATATGGATACTCACAGATGGCCGCTCAAATCGCCTTCCCGGGAACTATGACCAATCGGAACTGAGTAAGCAAAAATTCCCAGTTATCGATGTAGGCTTGATACGTGGATGCACTTCCGAGATAATAGACTCACAGATATATGCCTGTCATCGTATGCATGCTTCTGCTATAAGTAATAGCTGACTATCATTCGAAACAACGGACCGAGTTTGATTGGGAGCGGACAAGCCTTCGCTCGCATCGACTGCGCTGGTCCGGCCCACGTCGGCATTTTGTCCTTGACTGGGGAAGACGAGACATGAGAGCTTCCACCTTGAAATCACTCCATACGGAAACCCCGATATCTACAGTCGTTAAATCAGCCTGCGTCACCAACCTATTCGACCTTCACGGGCCAACGACACACCGAGACGTAGCATTCGGTGCTCCGACTTCTCCACATCCTAACCTCGAGACCGCTTGCGTATTTCAACTCGCGGAGGCGACACAACGACATCGGATGAAGCACAAGTGGGACAATTCGGGAAGTCGTGCTCATGATCACCTCGCCGGAGAGTCGGGCCCGAAGCCAAGGTCGCTAGAAAGTACTCGCCCAGAATATTCTCGCCAGATGGTTGCGCAACTGATGCACGCGGCCACATACTGCAATGACCGCAATGAAACCTATATCATGTTCAATCGATGTTCCAGATACGCGCTCTAGTCCTAATCGGTGTAAGTACTGGCGGAGCCTAGCCGATCGGATGCAATCAAGGAGACATTGACATATGATTGGACGGTGACCGAGTTTGGCGCCCTAAGCCGCAAGTTCCAAATAACTTTTGGCTATCCATAGTGGCAGACTACCCCTGAAGTTCATCATTACACGTGCGTTATGTAACAGCACACTAGCCTCGATGATTGTTCACAGCAGCGCTCCCCATCAGGCGAATCTTGGTTGGCAAATCCTCCTTACTCATACGCCTCACGGATCAACGATTCCTCGCCAATCCTGACCCAACAGTGCGTCTTCCCTGCTCCTCGCCGCTTCCTCACACCATCTCACGTTTACCCGCCCGCCTAATTATCCGCTCCCCTAGGTAGGAGCAGAGTTCAGCTCGAAGCTTGTTACAATACTAAGAAGAATAAGGTCGTCAAGCTCCAATGTGCGTATGGTCATCCAGCGCGCAGATGCGGCCACAGTGATGGTGACGGGAATAGGTCGGCTGGGACACGGCCGACACTGAGTCGTTTAGGTCCATCACGCGTTCGTACTACCGCGGCGCGGCGGGCTGTTTGCTCGTGTATGACATGTATGACAACGCGGCAAAGGCAGTACTTCTTTGGTCCAGGCCTATTTGCACAAGTCGACGAGAACCTCACTCGTCCCGCGGCTCAAGGCAGACTGCATTTCGGTGGAGGGACGGTCAATGCTCGTCATTGATAAGTGACATTCCCTCATTCTGTTGGAATTGGATGCAGATATCGCGATAGCTGGGTCGTTGGTGCACTCGATGCCTCATGGCGAACTGTTCGCGAGATACTGATTCATTACCTCTCAGAGGAGGTAGAGCGTGGGTTGAGGACACAGAGGGCGAGATGAAGCTTATGTAAGTGAGTCTTGCGTGCACCTTGGAAAAGCTGCATCAATCTACAACTTGCCGCCGTGTCCTCAATTTCAGCCACGCCGTATCCTCGTCACTCACGATCCTGACCTCGTCCTCCGTTTCCAAGATCTCAGTGTTCAGCTTCTTGTCAGTTCTCTGGACAACCCCTTCAGAACATCATTCCCGAGCTATCTCCCTGCACTGACCATTGATGTCACGCCTCTGCTTCCCTTCGTCTGTTCACCTGTACCTCGTCTGCGGCTTGATATCATCTTCACAATCCGGACTAGAGAAGCAGATCACATCAAATCCCACGAGTCCCGCTATCGACAATATCTACCTCGCGCCCAAGTCACTCGAATGTGTCGTCACCACGAAAAATGGGGCGTTGGTTCTATTCAGGCTCGATAACGAGAATGCAGAGTGTTCGGTCGAGTCCTCCGATGACGAGCTCGTGTCTTTGGTGCATACATCTGTTCAGCCATTCCTCGGAATCAAGGCTGGTCGGGCACAGATCACTGCATGTGCGATATCCGACGTTGGTTAGTGTTGATTGCTTGTCGCGTCAGGCATGATATTGATGAACACCATGTAGGCTTCCTCGCAGTGGAATATTCTTCTGGCTACTCTGCTCGTCGTCGACCTCCGGGGACCCGGAGCGATATATCGGGATATGCCATCATCTAAGCAGGAGCACAGACATTCATTCCACGGTCGCAGCCCATTTTCCGACCGAGACCCGGTTGTGTCGCCAACGTGGTCCATCTGTCCAACATCCTCCGGTAAGGTCATATGGTTCCAGTGACGTGTACATGACAGTTGATGCGTCGCCACTGACAGATCCTTTTTCCCGCGTTCGCCTCATTGCCGTCGTCTCCTCCGGTATCGTCTTCATCCACATGCTCTTTCGCACGCCTTCCGGCACATGGACCGTCTCTGGTGCCCCAACAAGCGGCGAAGGCGCCGCGCACACTGTTCCAGGTGGCTCCATCGTGCTGGATGCAAAGACCGGTGCCCAGTGCCGAGCCAATGGAGAAGGTCTGGCCACCGTTCTCGCACACGAGGCCTCGGCTGCGGGCGGAGGGCCGAAGCAGAGGCTGTGTGTGTGGGTGAGCGCCGGCGCGAAGGGCGCGCGGTGCGTGGCGGATGTAGATGAGGAAAGGATCGCGAGGACGGACTAGGCGAGTCGCGCAGCTGTGTTGAGGGTGGAGGTGGTTCAGAAGAACGGTGAGTGCTGAGATTTAGGTCCGTATATGCATGATTGATGGGGAGGAAGTATAGGTGGTTGCGTGTTGGTTGCGTTCACAGAACGCACAGAGGCACCAGTCTATTCCCCTACCCTACCTCGAACACCTTCACTGCCTCCAGCCTCCACAGTCATCTCTATCGTACGGCACTGTTCCTTTGACTCCTTCCATAATCTCACGTATAATGTTGTCCACAGTGTTCTCAGCACCAAGCCTTCTGGCCACTACGTCACGCACACGATCGACCCTGCCTCCGGGCTCGCGCGTCAAACGGGTTATCGCACGCTCTTCGCGACGCGGCGGATGGCTCCATACGCTTTCCATGCGAAGTCACGTATACCAGCCAGAGCTTTGAGAGCTTGCCAGGGGCCCGGGGTACTTTGCAAGCGGATGCCACGGCGAGAGGCGATACGCGACGAGGAACGCGAGCAATGTCGAGAGATGGACGGCGTACGAGAATAACACAGAGTGGGTGGTCGATTGCAGGGCAGGGCGGAGCACTGCAGGCATGGCCGGGAGGAGACCAAGTAGCACAATGAGCGAGAGGAGGTCGTTCGGTTCGTATCTCTTGAACATCAGGTATGCGACCTGTCAGATCCAGTCATCAGCATACGAAACGTCCAGGAGGGGCTCTAAACTTACGAAGCCAAGGCCAAAGGCGAACGCGAGGCCGCCTTCAAGCGTCGACATAATTGTCGCGGGACGGTCGTGTAAAACGTAGCGGTTGAACGCATTGAATGCGCTTTACGTTCTCTGACAGAAGCGCGCGCCTCTCGGTATACCCTGAAACGCAAAACGACATCCGTCACACATGGCGGAGGAGTGGTCATCGTGATGATTCTCCATAAATATGGGCAAATGGGGTGGCTTGCCGCATTATCCACGCGAGATCTTGAAAGGCTAGCTAGCGACTATAGACGCCACCACTCCATTCTGCAACCATGATCAGCGTTGCGGCTCGTCGACATACCCATCGTCCACCAGCGTCACACCGTCTCCGTGATGTCACGCGTTCCGCATTGACTCTCCTCCGAAGGGGCGCGTTCTGCCATAACTATGTATCTCTTTTCGACGAACTCGTCTTGGAGCCCAACCGCAGACATGGTCGCCCAGCGACTGTACCCTCGACAACTTCAACAAAGTTGTCTCTCGTGCACTTGAGAGGATGATCAAGCGCGGCCCTCGCGCTCTACATCAACCACGACCTCTCGATTGATGGACGATGGCATCGAACTGCACAACAGATGCACATATTCGTGATGACGGGCTGCATTGGGGGCATCTACCAGTGGATTCCGGAATGCGAATGGAGCAGGGATCTGTCGAAGATAATGTCCGTGGTGACCGGCGCATAGGCAAACCTTTTCAGCCCATCTTTGTTTTCTCCCTTCATCTTTTACCCCGATCTTTCTACCTGCACAGCTACAGAGTATCCAACAAAATGCAATCAGCGTATCTATGGTCTCAACAGCGGCTCACGCTCACGCCTCCCCTCACGATCCCGACGCTCGGTGTCGCCCCTCCCAACACACCGTCGCCTTCGCCTTTCGCTAGATATGGTCATGCAATGCCGACGACGGCCACTGCCGAGGCGAGCTTTATCAATTCGGCGGTCTTGTGCACGATACCGTGCGCAATGAGCTCTATCTGCTGTCAACGCGAGACTTGTCGGCAACGCTTTTGCAGACGGCGGGAGAGATTCCCTCGCCTAGGGTGGGACATGCGAGTGCATTGATCGGGTATGTGCTTATCGTCTGGGGTGGTAACACAAAGAATAGCGGGGCAAGCTCGGGGGACGAGCAAGATGAGAGACTGTACCTGTTGAACCTTGGTATGTGCCATGCTGCTTATCTGCCCAAGACTGCACTTACCAAAACGTTGATTACAGTTTCGCAAGAGTGGACACGTGTAGCTGTCTATGGCCCGGCGCCAGTAGGTCGTTACGGGCATGCAGTCACGATGGTCGGTCCGAAATTCTACATGTTTGAAGTCGACGGCGAGTAACTTGAATGATCTGTGGGCTTTTGACTTGAATACTCGTAAGCCAACCACATCACACTTCTTGTGATGTCATACGTAACTAACGTGGTTGCAGTACGAACAAAAGCAACATGAGAACTGGTCGAGCCCGCGGAAGGCTCGCCGAGGCCAGCGCAGCAGACCGGCCATATTTGTGTAACTTACGAGAACAAGATTGTCCTGTGCGTCCCCGCTTGAGTTAATCGTGTCTCATAGCTGACTGAACCACTTGTAGTTTCGGCGGTACAGACTGCGAGTATCACTACAATGACACATGGATGTTTGACACGATGATGAGTACATAGTCCGAGTTGATATATATCGGTTACGTTCCTTCGCCACGAGAGGGCCACGTTGCGTCGCTAGTTGACGATTTGGAGGTAGGGGATTGGATGGAAAGGATTTGGGCGACCTTGGCGCTTTCAAGATATCCAGTGAGAGCATTTTCATGACCACCTAATGTCAGCTGAATGTCTATCGCAATCTCTTAGACCAGCGATGGTATATGTTTCAGAAAATAGGTTCGGCACCGAGCCCTCGTTCTGGGCATGCTATGGCCTCCGTGGGCTCGCGGGTGTTTGTGCTTGGTGGTCTCGGAGGAGAGCCCGTGGATCCAAACATCATACCTGTCTTGGAGACTGGTGGGTATGATCGATGTATTTGATCCGCCAGATGCTCATAGTTTCATCTGCATTGCAGAGAATATAAAGTATCCAAGCCGTTCTTGAAGTCGAAGAATTAAGGCCCTGGAAATGTCACTTTGGGTTAGAGAATCGTGAGGGAAATTGACAGACGATTACGGCATAGAGCAATGCAATTGAAGACATGATCATTCTATGCGGTGTCATGAGGTCGCGTCCGGGGCATCGGAGTCAACGCGCTGCTATACGGCGGTCCGACATTGATGCGTTCGCTCGGGTTGCAGGGCGATAGCGTGACACCGATGGTATCGGGCGGCATTGGGATCGTGCAGTTCCTGGCTGCGCTTCCTGTCATCGTCATCATCAATCGGGTAGGCGAGTGAATATGACATTGGAGTTGTTACAGTGCTAACGCACCATTTAGGACGCAGGCCGCTGTTGAGAGGTCCGTGATGGATGACCTCGGCGATCATTCCTGGGCTTGGTGCTGACGAGTTGGACGAATAGGAGGCAGTGCAATCATGGCGTTGTCGCACTTCTGCATCGCTATCCTGGTGTGATTTCACGTGTGACTCCATGGTCACGCACCGCTGATGAATCATTCACAGGTTCGGCAGTACGAAGGCGCATGGGAGTCGCATACGTTTGCTGCATGGATATGCGTCGGGTATGTAAGCGTAGTCGTAGTCATACCCTCTTTGTCCCATCTTGTTTCTCTCCAGGTGTGTTTACCTATTCAGCGCGGCCTATGGTATGAGCTATGGTCCGATAGGGTGGGTGCTTCCTACGGAAGTATTCCCACTATCGGTTCGTAGCAAGGGCGTGTCACTTTCGACGGCGTCGAACTGGTTCAACAACTGTGAGTCATGGCATACGACCTTGTTGAGCTTCGACGAAAGTAGCCCTCACATTTGAATAGTTCTCATCGGCCTACTCACACCAGAGATCACAGAGATCACACCTTCGTCAGTGTTTTGCAACCTCAATGCTATTCGAGCTATTGCTCAACTGACTACTCGTATTAAGGGGCACATTCCTCGTGTTCACCATTGCGTGCTTTTTTGGCTATATCTGGTCAACCTACGCTGTGCGAGAGGCAGCCAACATTTCTCTCGAGGAGATGGACGAAGTGTTCAGTTCGTCAGCTGGCTGCGAAGATGCCAATCTGAAACAGCAGGTGGGTTACCATGCCCGACATATCTCTGTCGTCTTGGACGCAGGTCTCATGCTTCTCGCAGATTGAGCAAGACCTCGGCTTGCATGACTTGGTTCAACGGTGGGCCGCACTGTGCTACTATATCATAGTGTCCTAGGCGTGTAGTTCCTTTCCCTTTGTCGCGGCATTTGCGGGATCCTATAGAATCACTCCGTTGAGTAGATATATCATATTGCTTGGGTATCGTGATTGACTATATAGTAATGTCATGTCGTAGAATAGGTCGTATAATGGTTCAATTGCATCTCACATGGAAGGATTTTCTTGACATTTAGTGCAGCACGAAACAATAAACGGAATCTCGATGCATTGGTGTCGATGACATACAGCAGCAACACGAACAAAATGAAACGAGAGACGAGAATGGCTACACTACGAAAAGATCCAGATGCGAGTGATGGACACGACGGACACGCGGTGATGAGGCGGCAAATGCGAAGCAACGGAAGGCTGAAGGTACTATATATAATCATCTTTGTGCGAAATTGTAAAAAAATGTAATATCTGTGTTCTAAACACCGTATCGTTGTGCTAAGCGCTCCTGTATGGCAGGCGGGAAGGTCGCTACCTGGGCCGACCACCCAGTAACATCATGGTTCTTGAATGTTGTCAGAATCTCTTGGAACATCGCATTGAGCTCGGGAGAGGGTTGGTTCCATCGAACGATCGCGTTACAGAACCAAAGGAGGCTCTGTGAGGTCACGTTAAAACTATTCATTCATACCATGATCACACCCTCTTACCTTCATTATACCAGTGGGGTTTGCCTTCACAAGCGTGCACAAACCGCGGAATGCAGAGTCCTTCTCTTCATTATCGCGAATCTCATACATTGCCTGGCACCAAGCCTGGGCAAACTCGGGCAGCAACGGGGCGACCATTGTCGGATGCATGTGTCCGATCCGCCCTATTGACACTGCAATGTTCTCGTGCAGACTGCGAGGTGCTTTAGCGTGAAGGAGAATCGGCACCAGACGTGATATCAACGGGTTGACCCATTGCCTAAATTCGGGATCATCTGCCGAGCATACACCGTCGGCGTGAGTGATACTTTCATCGTTCACGGAGAAACCTCCACGCACCCCGCCCATAGCGAAGAGCCACTTCTCCGACTGACCAAGCTGCGTTGTTGCACGTCCCGATGAACTCGACCTTCGGTTCGGGACCCAGCTGCTCAATGAGCTCTTGCATAATCGCCGGCATATGCGGACGCAGACGCAGAAGCGGGAAGCAGTTCATGGCCATATTGCCGACGAGCGCATAAGCGAATTGCCGAACAGGCGTTTGTGGATGCTTCAAGCAGAACGTGAGCAACGAGAGAAGGTTCGGCTGGCTACGTGTGATCAACGGCTCCAGAGCCATGCCGAGGCCCTGCGTCAAACCGGACAACAGCTCAAGCGCGACGACCAGGAACGACCTGTCTGGCTCGTCCATGTCCGGGTTCTGCTGGTACGCTTGGTATTGAAGCAGGGAACTGTGGACGATAGCGGCGCAGCGCTCGTAGATAGATGTCGCGTAAGGAAAGCAAGCAGGACCCATGGCTATGATCACGGATGCGAGACACTATACAGCACAGAAGAATAAATTTTGGCAGAATTGTTTGTGCGCGCAGCAGGTAACACGTACCTCCAGAAGGGGAATGAAGTCCTCATCATCATCTTTGAGCTTGCTCCACCGCTGAAGAAATGGTGGCATGAGAATATCTATGAACGTTGGATTTTGTAATGCTGGGCCGACAGCATCAGCGAGAGTACCGACAGCATCATATAAAATGAGCATGTTCTTGTGCTGGTACTTGTCGAACGCGAAGACGAGGTTACGCAGGACCGGCTCAAGGAACGGTACAAGCTCGACGCCCGCGTCCTCCTCAAACGTGGCGAATGCACTACAGCCAGCTTCTTGGACACGCTTATTGTTATCGAGGACCATACGCAAAAGCTGCAAGGCAGTCTATAGTCAACTATCAACGAGAAGTGGCCACGAATCCGACGCTCACCCCTTGCAACGTTGGAACGAAGAACAGGTTCCTATGCTCTTCTGATACGGGCTGAGTACACCAGCTAGCATACCGACCCAACGTCCAACACGTGATCGACCGCACAAGAGGCTTTAAACGAAGTCAGCAAAGCGCATAGTGAACGTCACGTTGACGTACCTTGGGATCGTTCAGCGTGTTGTTGAGGTACGGGACCAGCGTCAATAAATGAGGTTCGATTGCATCGATACAACCTAGGCAGCATGGTCAGCACCCTGTATACCGTCGAACACTGATGCTCACCTTCGGCCATCGCACCCAGAGCCAGGATACCGATCTCTCGCTGCAGCCAATCTTCATTCCACAACTTGTTTTTGAGGGGCTCCAACAGGACATTGAGCAGATCGGCGCCAAATCGAACTGCCAATAGGTCCAACGCCGCAGCCGCACATTTTCTCAGGTTCCATTCAGTCGACATCTCGTCGAAGTCCTCCTCGTCGTCGAGCTCGTTGAGTTCGTCATCGTCATCTTCTAGCTCCTCGCCATAAGCTCCAATACGTGGCTTGGAGGAAGCATCTGCGCCGTTCGACTCGTGCTCGTAGCCGTGCGATTTACCTCCATAGTGTCGCGGTTTGATGTCGCTTTCCTTATCTGGAACCGACGCGTCCTCTGCGTCGGCCTCGAGCCACACCAGGTCGTCCTCGCCGTATACCATGCAATCGAGCAAGACCGGTGCAACCTTTCCAAGAAGTGGGTGAAGGTATGATGCGAGGTCGGGATCCTCGGCAAAGGTTAACCAGAACTCGCAGGCCTCGAGAGCAACATTTTCGTTCTTGTCCTTGGTGGAGTATAGCATGTATTCTGCAATATTGTTCAATTCCGGCATGAGTTTCTCGGGTCGGGACGCAAGGAGCAGGACGAGCGCCTGGCAGACATGACGGCGCATGGAGGGATCTTCGTCCGATGCCCGCTTGAAGAGCGCCGCAATGAAGGCTTCTATGTGCGCGAACAGTGATTGACAGCCGATGGGGACAAAGTAGGACAGACAAGCGACAGCATGTAAACGCATTTTTGGATTAGGATGCTCCGAGAGCATGAGGATTTTCGGAATCATGAATTCGAGGGGCCATGTGCCGCTGATCTCGACGTCCAACTTCCGAGGATAGTCTTCGCATGCCTTCTCGAGCACGTTAAATGCCGCCTAAAGTCAAATCGTGTGAGATCATATCGCTAGCGATCGAGAATGCACAAATTTCCAGAGAACGCATATAAGATTCAGGCGACCCGGTAGTCGCCACCACATCTAGACCCTCAGGAGCATGATGCGCAGTGAAAAGCAACTTTCAAATGCAAACCTCCTTCCGTTCCACCCGTGCGCCTGAGAGGAAGGTGTAAAGATGCTTACCTCTTGTTGATCGAGATCCGTCGAATCCAAGTAATGAACCAGCTGTTGCAGACACTCCGGCCAGTTCTTAGGCTCCAAGATACCAAGGAATGCGACGATATCCTGCCCAGCTGCATTACGGATCATAACCGAAGGATCATTGAAAGCCTGCAAGACTGAGGCCTTCACGAACGACACTACGTCCGGTGATGAATTGAGAATGAGACGGGCATTGTTCTTGAGGAGATATCCAGCGATTGTACGGATACAGTCCTCCTCCTGCGGCATGCACGCGAGGATATAGGCGAGATAGCCAATATAATCAGGAACACGCGTGAAACTGTTCAATTTCTTTGTAATAGTAGATTGATGAGCATGAGACGCGGTAGCCGATATTACGAGACGACGTACATGAGTAATAGTATGCTGGACCTGGGTGTTCTGGGTATCTGTTGAGTCGTGGATTGTTTGCAAAATTTCCTGCAGTCCATCTTGCTGAGGGACCCAGGAGGACATGATGGATGATCAAGACGCGTGTACAACGTAGAGCAAGTCAATGGACGCGTAAAAGTGGAGACAAGTTCCGCTGGATGGTGTCGGGCTTGCTGTTTGTTTGCGACAAACCAGCTTGGCTGATGTAACTTAATTCATTTCGGTAATTCCCATCAACCTTTCCACTGTGGGGCCAGCAGAAAAGCTGGACGTAGTAGTAAATTCAGACAGTTTATATACTTTCAGACCTTTCTGTATGACACTGCATCCCTCGGCGCCGACGACAGCAATAAATATTTGAGGTGATTGTGAAAACTTGTGCACAATAACATGTGCAGACAGAGCTGGGGCAGCAGAATACAAGAAACGCACGTTCACACGAGAAGGGCCTTATTTACGTCCGCGGCAATGACGGCGAAGATCTTGCGTGCGCTGTTGGGAATGCCCAGCTGCAGATGACCCGAACCCAGGATCGGTGACGGGTGGCAACAACTTCGCATAGTAATACCCAAGGCATGCAGTGTTAGCACAGCCAACGGCGACGGCATAGTGTGAGGAATAGCTTACGGGCGTCGAACTTGAAATTACTTGCGGGCCCGTAAACTGGCTGCTGTGTCGTACGGAACATTCAGACAGGAGATTGGACTCTGGAGCCCAGCAAGTTTACTATGACCGCGGCATTGTCGAAAGACTGACCGAGTATAAGTCATCGCGCGATGCCGACGATGCTCTTAGACGAAGGGAACTGAGCATTGGTTGAGAGGTGATTCTGGAATCCGGCTGAGAGTGAGTGCATAGGGTTAAAATAGGTACCATGAATGTTTTTGTGATTTCGCGCGGACATGGCACGGGTGGGAGGACTGGTAACGAGAACGCATTCTGCTGGCCGCTGACCGCTGCGATGCTGATGAAGCAGACCTGAGAAGAATGTCTGGTCCGATCAGTCAAGTAGGAAGGAGGCTTTCTTTGTTGTGCACTGACGCTCAGAGATGGTACAGAATCGTTGGGGAACAGCGAAGGAGAGCGACCGTTTGGAAATGTCCATCGAAATCCCGGCTTAATTAAAGTTGTCGCACGCGCACTTACAATTGACTGGTGTGGGTGCATGCACCGGTTCATCGGTCCACCCATTGTCAAGCCAGACTTTGTAACAACGCGCTAATGTACATGCAATACGGAATCGAATCATGGACACAACAGGCACGGCCAAGATCATACATTCGCCAGACTGAAGTGACACTCGTCAATTGTGGTGTAGACCAACCCTTCATCCATCAGTTTGTCCAACGCCTCGCTGCAAACAAAAGGTCGTCAGTAACCAGCAAAAGCAACTGACATCTTACAAGCCACCCACCTTATGACAGCTGCGTCTTTGACGTCGCCACTCAGAGCTTTTGCTATAGCCCCAACATTGATGCCCTCTTCCTTGGGCGGCTGGACCACCATGAACTCCACAATCTTACGTTGCACTGGTGAGAGGCGTGCGTATTCTTCTCTTGACAAACCACCTTGCGCTTGTGGCACATACACTGAGGAACCCACAAGCTGGTTCGTGACACCGCCGTTCGTTGTGTGAATACTTCCGGCCTCGCTTGGCCTCAGAGGCTGCGACTACATTAGCACTTGCCATCAGGTGATACCTTATATACATACCGGCCCTCTCTCCAGCATAAGGGTCACCACCATTGCAGCAGAGACATGAGATAAAACTTCATGAGTGTCAGTCACTTTTCGAATGTGATTTGCGTTGATGTAGCGCTTGTTGCCAAACGACTTCAGGCTGCCCATGACATATACGTACATGGCCTCTCTGTGCGCAGTGATAAGACCTGGTAGACATGTTGGCGAGATGGACTTACTTTACGCCTCCCCATCGCTCTGTATCGTCTTCATTCGTGCCGTCAAGCCAGTGCCACGCTTCTATCCTCTCGGTGCCGTCATCTAGCCAATAGATGCAAGTCATCGCCTGGCGTTTGATGCTCACTACACATCCGACAACCGAGACCTGGGAAAAAAGCAGATGTAGAAAAGTACATGGATCCAATCTGTTCACTCACCTGCCCAACCTCATGATCGTTTATCATCCATGGGCCTTCTGACTGTGGCTGCGTTGCCATCAGGAGTTGTCGGATGAGGACAGGCCGTAAAGTGTGCATAGCGGCTCCTCGCTATATCCTCATACTCAGCTGGCATGTGTTCAAAACTCACAAGTACTCACTTTGAAAGAGTCGCCTGGGGTGCCACTAGCGCTACCAAACGGTGAACTCCCTGCCATGTATCCGCCTCCCTTGTTGCTGCCGTACTCGCTGTCTATGCCCTAAGAAGTCAGAGAGGCCCATGCAAGCTGTTGCATGCTGCTTACATTGGCTCATGGCTGCCAGCGAGTGTGATGGTTGCTGCCTTCGCCGAGCCCGTAAGCCATCGATCGATGAATCTAAGCGTGAATCTAAGCGCTCAGTGATACAATGAGCGCTACCTCCCACATGTCTGTTTCCACGCCACCAACCGACGCATCTCCGTCTCGGGTCCTTGGACGTGTCCTCTCGCCTCCTTTCTCCTCCTCTCGTCGCCCCGTCCCTGGCTCCGAAGCTGGCACTCACCCATCACCAACACACATGTCAGACGACGGCTCCTCAGGCCTCAGGCTCTAGCCAGCACCACGCGCCGGACGCTGCTGAGCACGACGCCTTCGATTCTGCCAGCGCGGTCTCATGACCCATGAAGTCCACCTGTCCAAGAGCCCGCCACATCATCAACGCGTTCGAGCGGCCGGGCACGGCGAGGTCTGGCCCGCTCGCGACACGTCCAAGGGGTGGACGCGAGGTGGTGCGTGCCTCGCATATGCTGAATGTATTTTATCTGTGCGTGATTGACGTGTAGCCGTTTGTATGTACCCGTGTGTGCAGGCGATCGGGGTTGTGAAATGGAAGAATCCGAGCTTCGGCTGAAACTCGTCCGACCAGCTCGCGAGCTCCTTCTCGCGTATCTTCTCGTTCGCAACGATAGCCTTCATCGACATCCGCCGCTCCCCCGGATCTCCAACATCACCATGCTCAGCCCCGTGTGGCCCTCGTTCATCGGCGGGGGCTTGGAGCTCTTGCTCGGGCTCGCGCACGCCGCCGCCGAGCCCCAGAGGGAGATCACCTTCTCCACGTGCCCGTACACCTCCACCACTGCCTTCTGATCCTTCGGCAGGTCGCTCAAGGAACTCCTCCTGGTGCTGCAGGAACTGTTGTTCCTCGATGATGTTCTGCAGCCTTTCCTCCCACATCTTCTCCCATATCGGCTTCACCGTCTGAATGTGCTTCTATAGGCTATCTACCTCCAGTGCGACCGCCTCCACGTCCGTTTGACATTTTTCAGCACATGCGGCTTCGGCGACACGTTCCGCTTGGTCACATCGCCCTTGATACTCTCTACTATGTCCTGCAGCTCCTCCGTCTTCGTCTGCCCGTTTGGGCTCTGCAAGTCCACTGTCGCTTTCCTGTCATTGATAGACGCCCCGCCGACCTTCTGCGTCGCGAGCTGCCGCACGTTATGCGTCTGCGACCGCAGCGCGCCCAGCGACTCCTTCGTCTGCTTGACGAACTCGGTATACATCTGCCGCATGATCCCCAGGTCTTGCTGCAGGTTCTGCACCTCGTCGAATTGGGTCTTCAAGCTTCAAGTCTGACGCGATCCGCGTCGTGAACTCGGACATGACCAACGTGCCCATCATCTACACCTGGATCGACGAAGTGCCCGTGTGCTGCGGCGTCACCGGCTCCGCCTCCGCGGGCGGCACGGCGTCATCCGAGAGGAACCTCGATAGGTGCCATGCGATGTGGCGGAACTGGCAGTCTGTCGGGGGCGCCGTCACCAGCTTGTTCCTGACAAGAGGCTGGGCAATGATCATGGGTGTTGGTGGATTCGACGCCCGACGGTTGGTAGCGACCATACTTCCGGCATACTAGAGGAAAACCAGAAAGGAATGTGGCGAGTATTCTGTGAGAACCTGCTCGTCTGAGGGCGTCGCCATCGGTTCCCTTGCGGGCAACAGCAGCGGACCATCGTCCAATGTCCCGCTCTCAACGACGCGGGACCGAAGAGAAAGAAGACCCTTGAAAACAGCGTACATCCACATGCAAACTACTACAAAAGAACGAAGTGTACCATTGACCATTGGGATACCGTTTGAGACGATGATCCAGAATCTTCTGCGCCGTGCTGATGTCAATACCTTCGAACGTGAAGTTCGACAGAACGAGATGGGAGCATTAGTGCCGTGTCGCACATTGTTCGGAAAGGCCCTCCTGTTCTTACAGCGCGCAACTCAATCATGCATAAGAGACACGAGGAAATCCAGTCCACACCAAGACTGACGGCAGGCTCATCCGAGTCCGTCAATCATCCTCCATGCAGGCCAGCATGCCTGTCTCCACTGCATCCAAAAGGCTCGATAGAAGGCATCATTGACAGAATGACATTGGAGAGCGCGATGCCCAGGCAGACCCCTGACGGGAAATGCGCATCAATCGACTTATCCTCGGGCCTTTCCCCTTTGACTTGCGCCTCGGCATCGACGGTCTCGAGGAACTTGCCAGACGGCGATAGATAGATATTGATCGTCGTACGCATGGTCAGTCTGCGAGGCTTAATAGGCATGAGACTCACGGGACCACAGAACTCGCGTTTCTTTGATGAATGTAAGCCAATCGCCCCAACAGACGAGACCGAGCATGGCCTGCAGTCAAATTACATGGGGTGGAACGAGCATGCAATATCGCATTAGGCTCTCCGCCCACACCAGCTCGGCGTGCCGCTTGCTCGGCGTCATGCTCTTGATCCAACCGACGCCCGAAGTGTACAGCGACGGAACGACGATCCCTGCCAATCTTGTGGCTAGTGACGTTTCCGACGGTAGCTTGCCACGCTGTTTCCATGTCTGACATTCCTCATCCTCGAAGGACAGGAGACCCTTGTGATACTGAATGAGCTCATATCCCGTTGAAATGTGGAGATGTTCCCTGCGCTGCGATCAGGCACGCCAAGTCCTGAGCCAGAACTGCGCACCTCTTGGGATCATATTCCCCGACACTATGTCACATATGACAACGAAGATGCCACAGAGAGGTTCTACCGATAATGAGACTACATAACATGGAAATCACACACCCAGATGACTCAACACATCACAAGATAGGGACAGGAGCACGAGTTGATAGGGGATGGCGTAGCAGGTAGGTAAATTCGGTCTGATGTCACTACCGTGAATCACGCATCATTCTCAGTGGCCCAGGGCAAACAGCCCACTTTGGGGATCCTCACTAGCTGGGCTGTTTGACCTGAACTTTCCTGGACACAGCGCGTCTGATCACGTGAGCGGTGGCGACCTAAGCTTGCTTGCAGTGACCAGTCCCCGCCACAGCACGCATTCACATTGACCGTGTAATCTTAGAGGCCGTTTTTTCTTCGCTGACCGACATGGAAGAACACTCTGCTCCACCCAGACCACCGCCGATGAAGAAGCTTACAAGATCGTCTCCGCCGCCAAAGCGCAAGCGCAGAGGCTCGATATCGAGGCCGCCGCACAGGCACAGGCCACCCGTATGGCCGCAGAGGCCGAGGCCGAGGCGGTCCGCATCCGCGGCGGCAGATGCTGAGGTGCGCGACCAGTTTGCGCGCGAGATGGAGCTGCGCCTCGTCGAGGTGGCGCGTGTGCAGGCGGTCGGCGTCAAGGCGGTGTTCGTGCCTTCGGAGGGCATCGGCGTGCAGATGGGCGCAAATATGGCGGCGGGGATGGCGGCCCGGATGGGTGCGGATGCTCGGCGGTGATTGTCACTGTCGTCAGATACGTTCGGAAAAGACAGCACGCCAGCGGATTGATGAGCTCGATGAGGCTCTGCGGGAGAGCAAAGTTGCATTGGAGAATGCGAGAGCAGAGAATGAAGGCCTTCGGAGCGAGATTGCCGAAAGTGATATGGACGGCCACTTTCATTGCACACACTGATGTCGTGTCTCTCATTGTAGGATTTGAGAGCTTCAACCCGATCGCATCCGGCGATGAGAAGATCAATGCCGTTATCCGTCGGTCAGCAGGAAATCGAGCATCTCAAATACCAGCTCTCCGAGTCTCAATCCGAACATCCTCACGACGTCAGCACGCCCATTGCAGGACCCGCCGAAACTGAGCCCGGGATTCGCGAGCTTACCGAACTACTGGAGAAATCCAAGACAGATACGGCCGAGGTGAGCACATCATGCATGCCTTGTAAATCCACGTGCGGACGCTCAACCGTACGCCAAGTTGCGTGAGCAGCTCGCGGAAAGCAAGGCCGAACGAGACTCGGCGCATGCGGAAGTGGCAGCGCTGCAGTCGCTGGTGGACGAGCGCACGGCCGAGCTGGAGAACCTGCGCAAGAAGGTCAACCGCGAGATTCTTGTGAACGGGATCGAATGTGGCAAGGCGTCCTCGTCCAAGCATGACATCTCGACCGCGCGGGACGAGATCACCGGGCTCAAGTGCGTGTTGCGATGTTTCTATGAGAACAGGCTGTTGAAAGCTCTCATGTCAGGCATATCGTGCAAGAGCTGCAGATGGAGAACTCGTCACACGCTCAGCGGAACAACGCGCTCGAGCAAGAGAACAACTTCCTTCTCTCGGAGACGGAGCAGCTTCGTCAGGTAGATTGGGCGTTACCGCATTAATGCCGACGTTGTTCATCACTTCGTTGTAGGAACTCAAGACGCTCGAGGAGAACGTCGAGCAGAGTTTCATGCGCGAAGAGGAATCGCTTTCCTATGCCGCTGATGGTGCAGATTCTGCGGATGACATTGTGAAGATGCAGAAGAAGCACGAGGTGCGCAGCTCAATGGTCTTCCGAATATTTGCCAGTGACTAACGCATTGCGGCAGACTGAGCTCGAGCAGCTGCGCAAGAAGCTTGTGGAGGCGGAGCGGACGAGCACGCGGACAATTCATGATGTGAGTATCTGCAGAAGGACGTGTGATTGCATGTTCACGGTGCATTGCAGCTCAACAAAGAGATCAGTGAGCTGGAAACGTTGATTGAGTCGAAGGTACGGCTTGCGTCCTATCTTCCGAGGATCGCGCTGATTGCAACATTCTTCAAGTCTACCGCGAAGTACGTACCAGCCTTTGCTACCCGTCTTGCCGATGATGCATATTGATCGCTTATACAGGAAGATCTCGAGTCTGAGATTGAGAAGCTCAAGGACAAGCTCGCGTGCTCGCAGAAGAAGATGTCTCGCTCCTCAGTGTCTACGCCTACCTCGGCGACCCCGTCCGTCGCCGCGTCACCTTCGTCCACGTCGACGGCGAACCTCGAGACTGTCTGCGAGATCTGCGAGTGCCCCGGGCACAACATCTTCACGTGCGACCTGCTTAAGGACGAGGGTGCGCCGCTGGGCATGGACGGCGGGCTGATGATGGTGGGGCTCGACGGGGTGTGACGGCTGGGGCGGAGATCGATGCTTTGTGTACGCCTTTCCTGGAACGTTCTCACCTGCTGCTGATATGCATGGCGTTCTGTGTTCTGTGTCGTTTATAGTGCCAGCCCAGACAGGCCTGCTGTTCCTCCATTCAGTCACGACGCCCAAGACAAGCTGGCACCGGCTTACTGCGAATGGAGGGAAAATCAAGGTCCGTCCACGTTACAGAGCGCATCGGCCACCATGTCGAGCAGCGTGGGAGAACGAGTCTCCAGCCGTTCATGGGCGTCCATGACCGATCGGCCCGGGCGAGCGCAACACGATGTCCTTCCATGAATGGCAAGTGCTTGAACCGCCACCACCACCACGCAATCACTACCACAACCACCTCCACATGACCAGCTCCACAATCACCACCACATGATCACCACCACGACCACCTCCACACAACCTCCACACGATGACCATCTCCACACGACTAGCTCCACAGGACCACTACCACACCACCACCACCACCACTACGACAACCGCATTGGGCGCAAATGTCACACAGTACCAGTCCGGCCAGCAGAACGTTGTACGGTTCCCGAGAACAGCTCGAAAAAGACGCCATCCGGCACCTCTTTGAAGTCTACGTCAAGATCAATGCTGACGCGGAAAAGGATCCAAACGTCAAGGTTGAGGCAGCGGTGTTCTTCAGACCGATGGAGGACGGCAATGAGGCGGCGCTCGCGGACTGTAGGGTATGGCGCGAGCTGTCGATCCGCAAATACGCGGAGGAGTACGCACGACTGAATGTTCACTTTGACGTGTACACCGGCGAGAGCATGGTCGGGAAGGCGAGCCAGGACTTGGCGCTGAAGGTGCTTGGGAGGAAAGGCTTGATTGATGATGAAGAAGGCGCGGAGTGGGTGAACCTGGAGAAGTACAAGCTCGGGAATGCGGTTCCGCGGAAAAAGGTGCATTCAGTCCATTCTCGATGGGATGGTGATGATGTCGATGTGTGATCCGCACAGATGGGACGTCGATCTACCTTATGCACGACATCAGCGGTGCGATCGAGCGGTACGAGAAATACAAATTCGACAAGATGATCTGCGTCATCTCGCAGCAGGTTTTGCACGTCGCACAGTTCTTCAAGGTGCTGGATCTGAGATTTGATGGGTTTCGAGCGGGCGAACGACCTCCAGCTCGTCAACTATGGGCTCATGCTGGGCATGAGCACGCGGCGAGGGACGGTCGTCTTCCTCGACCAGAGTATCCATGAGGCAGGCGTGGTGATGCACGAGCAGATGAAAAAGAACGAGGAGAAGTAGAAGAATCTCAAGCACCCATTGAGGCAGTGGCGCAGGAGATTGGCATCACGGCCGTCAAGATCCCAAGACATGGCTGCGAAGCGGTAAGCGTCTCGGTCTCACAATCAAACTAAGCATGGCTCAATCCAATTCTAAATCCGCAGAATCAACAACTACACGTTCAACTGGGACCGCATGCTCTCCTTCGAGGGCGACATCGGTCCATAGCTTACAATACGCATACGTTTGCATCTCCATTTCCTGCAAAAATCCCGAGCTCCTCCTGCTGCCGCCCCCCGTGCAGATCGACACCGGCCTGCTCACGGAGCTCGCGACGCGGGAGATCATCTTCCTGCTCGGGTCGTACCCCGACGTGGTGAAGACCGCGCTGCGCACGCATGAGCCGAGCGGCGTGGTCACGTTCGCCTTCCGCCTCAGCCATGCGATTTCGAGCGCGTGGGAGACGGTCGTCGTGAAGGGCGAGACGGATGTCGCGAAGGCGCGGGGGCGCATGTGGATGTGCCTGTGCACGTGGGACGTGCTTGGTGCGGCGATGCGCTTGTTGACTTTAAAGCCGTTGGAGCGGATGTAGACTACTTCTTGTTTCGCGTTGTCTAAAATGCTCATGGCATGGAGAACAAATATTTTGATCGAAGATGAAGCTTGGAGCCCGTCTAGATCTACCCGCAAACTAAGTACCGTTCCGCAGTATAGAAGACGCGTTCACAGTCAATCGCGACACGCTTGGATGCGCTTGTGGCAATCCACGTGCCATGAGTTCTCGTTCCGCCTGTACCCTCTCTCTTGCTCTCCATTATGTGTCACGATGTCGACGCAGATTTCTGGCGGACCTCTAGTCGGTCACCCAGTTGTGGCTGCTTTAATACACATTTACTGATAACGTTGCTCTCGTAGCCAGTGTGCCCGCCGTAGGTTGAATTACGACTCGCGGCGCCGGCAGCACAAGCGCGGTGCACGTGCGGAAACCGCTGCGCTGGCGCATGCACAAGCGCCAAGCACGGGGCAGATAGCACTAATTCTGAGCCTTCCCTCCCACTTTTGCCAAATTCTCTCCGGGCTGGACCCTCCGCATCGAGCCCAATCAAGTTTAACGTTGATGCCACACACGGCTGGTGGCAGTCCGATTGGTTCAGTGCGGGGCCAGTCTCTATGACACCCACGCCGCTTCCGAAGCCACGCGCAGGGAAGGAGCGTGCGAGCGCGAGTTCGATCCTGTGATGGAGAGTATGCAGGCGGTGGCGGAGATGAAGCCGCTGCAGAGGACGTGCCAGTGGAAGGCGACGGTGGCGGAGCAGCAGATTGCGAGCGTGCCGTCGGTGGCGACGTAAAGCTAGAATGCATCCTTATTTTAGAAATTATAGCACGACATGGAAAACCTGGAGGACACTCGGCGAGATATATGAAAGCCTGCCAGTGGAAGGTAACGTATGATTAACATATAATATGCAAAGTAACAGTGTTTTGCCGGACAGATCCAGTCTCATGCGTCTCACACGTATCACGGCAACTTACGCCGCAACCCTGACCACAACGGTCCGTCAACTCCTGCGGCCAACTCAACTCCTGCGGCTGAGACCCAGAACACTCAGCTGTTCCCCCGTTCCGCCTCACCCTCAGGGTCCATGACTGCCTTCCACTTCCCCCATATGTGCCGCGACTACTGAGTAATGGCATACGGCATATTCCATATTCTCGCGGCAACATCAGGATGGGAAATAAGTATCTTTCGCGAAGTGATCAACGTCCCGCTCAAATTAGGGCACGTATAGAGCGAGGAACTCTCGTTGCAATGTCCACGGGTGTAAAAAGTGGAGTGCAAGCGTAAATAAGCCGATATATATCAAAGTGTAAGAGCCTGCCCATTATAGCATTCATGGCATGTATCTGAGACAATGTCTTGTGGACGAGCGGTACTACCAAGCCAGAGCAGGTGGGAAAACGAGATCCCAGATAGGCTGCAGAATCAAAGCGACTGCAGGGAGATTGGTTCTATATCTGGTGTTGCGGCTCAAAGTGGCCCACTCAATAAGGCTTCTATCAGTCCATCAACTTGATCACCACCCTTGCAATCACACTAACTTTGAGCCGGAAAGCTATCGTTCCTGTGTAAGTTGGATGCAAGGAGAGCTTGCCTCAGACAGCTCACCATCTGGCACAGGCGACCTGGTGTCCCTTTCCCAAGAATCATTGCCCTGCTTCGACATGGACTCTCCAACTGACGCGTTCAACGACCAACTCGTCCGACTAGGTACAAACTGCCCGCCTCGCCAGGCTGTTCCGCTACATGCCCACAACACTTGCTACGTTCTCGTTGGATTTCATAGTCCATCTGCGAATCAACTCGCCCCCCCGCCGACCTTCGAGGATCGCCGACCCGTTGATGGATGCCCTTGGCCTTTGGACTGGGCAAGAGATGCGGAGCATTTTGACGAAGTCCGCCCATGGCGGGCTTATATCCCCATCGCACTAGACCATGCTCACCCTGATCACTGGCTCTTTGGCCTCGCAGCCCATTCAGACGACATCGAAGAGGTAGCCCTTCCAGAAGGTGAAGCTTCACGATGGGTCATATCGAGCAGTGCGAAGGAGATTGCTCGGGAGACCCTTATCTCCACGCTGGACTTGTCTCTGCTACTCTCCACGCGTGCTGATTATCCCTTGGGCCTGAAACATCCTCATCCTTCCATGTTGTGTCTGTCAGCACTGTATGAGCATCATCATTCACAAGACACGGCCAGAGCAGTGCTATGGAAGTTCCGTCGCGTTCTCTTGGACTTCATCGGTTTCGCATCCTACCTGCTTCATCAGCACGATCATGTCAGACGCCCTCTACCGTGGACCGCTGCTGCACAGACGCTTGTCTGTCAGACAATACTAGAAAGACCCAAGCGTGGAGTTACCGTATACCCCTTGTATTTCCATAGCCGGCACGCACCTCTGTGGATCGACTGGCACCGACACAACGTCCCTATTGCACTCTTGTGGGCTCACGAATACTCCCTCATTCCCATGTTCGACATTCTCAATCCTGAGAATCCTCGCCAGCTGTTCAAGTTTGATCCTACGACCTTCTATCCCTCCCGTATACACGTGCTTGCTGAACACCATGGGTGCCAAAGCGGGAACGAGGTGCCGAGAGCAGAGGACTGGGGAAGGTTAGAACATTGTTATGATTTTGAGGATTATAGCAGTTGGATCAAGCAGGTCAACCTTCGCGTCTATTTCCGTGACCGTCCTCGGATCAGTGGAGGATCAAGCACCCCGTCTATCTCTTGGGATGGTATCCTGGGTCTCCCTGTATTCTTTGGCAACATACGTCCCCTCATTGATTACAAAAAGCGAACATCTTCGGATGCTGCAACTGTTCGTCTGGTTTCTCCTTCTCGTCCTTCAGAGTTGCCAGGTGACGAACCACCGGAGAGTACAAACTCTTCAATAAATGAGCCTACATCGGATGCCCCAATGTTCCCGCAATCCCTATTCCCTCGGCGAGTTCGTAGTCTCGTGGGTCGGATTCGTACGCCGATGGTCTCTATCGTGAAACTCATCCAAGGGGCCTCTATTCGTGCAAAAAATGATGGGAATGGGAGTGGTTCCATTGCCTTGGGTACCCATGCACGCGAAAATCGCTCTCGTCTACGGGTTGCTCCACACTTTTTGCTGTCTTGTCTACATGCACTATGCCGCACCAAGTCCCCTTCGTCACTGCAGGCGTCTTCTCCAAACATGGCTGGGAATTTAATCAGTTCTAGTCCGTTACCTTTGAGTCATACGAACAGTGAGTAGGCGAAATTGTCTAGCCCAGAGACTCTCTAATAATGTTTCGCAAGACACATCACCGGCGGCCTCGAATGACGATATCGACCTGCCGCTACCGATGATGCCAAACAACATCGCTGTGGCGTCTGCCACTGAGCCAGTGGCTGTGGCCCACGAGGCGCTGATTCTGAGACGCTTGCCCGATAGCGAACCATGTCTCCCGGATTATATGGCAGGTGAGTCATCAGTGCTGTCTAGCACAGAATCCTCCCAATGCTTCTTTCCTAGACTCGTTGTCGACATCATCAAACAATATTCCTTCACCGTCGAATACCACGGCTGCCACTGAAATTCCAGCAACTTTTGCATCCGTCACAGCTGCACTGTCTCCGGACATTGACATTCGCTCGTTACGCCAGGTATGCTCAGCCGTCGAGCCCGTCGTCAGCAAGCTGCTGGGGTTCCTCTGCAATCTGCATCCCCCGGATTACTACCCGCCTGCCATGGATTTGCCGTCCAACGGGCTCCATCTGGTGGTCGATTCTGGATATGCAAGTGCTTCGCGCATATCACTACCAGCTCGCTCAGAGCTTCGCGTGGCGCTATTTCTCCTCGTCCACCCAGATGTTAAAGGTCCCGATATACTGAGGTTTTGTCTTTCGCATGGCCTGGCCTTCAAATGGTTTTTTAGAGAGGCTTATGGCATACAGCGTGCACTTGCCTTCAGCACTGCTCGCCCCTTGAGGGGAGGCCAGCCCCCTATTTGGGCACGCATAGAGCGGGAGATTCTTCCCGACCTCCCGATATCGGATGATCGTCGCTCGGCTCTGTTTGCTTATCGTCACTCCATTGCCGTCCTTCTGGGGCGATCTCATGTTCAACGTCTTCTCTCCTATGGCGGCTTGACATGGCGCCTAGTCTTGCATTTCGCTGGGCCGGAAGTGCTTGAGCATGTGGGTGAAGGCCCGTCTGCCACCTGGATGTATTATCGACGTCAAGGTTCACCACCTACTGGTAATGGCTATGTGTTGGAAAACTTCTCCGACCCTGCTGATGATGAGGAACTCGCACTTCTAATTGGTGCATTCACGTCCGGAGCGTCCTATTGGCCCCCAATCTCGGTATTTATGGATTCCTTCCATTGGACGGGAGAGTGGACAGCTGAAAATGTAGACTGGTTTGAGCGACGATGGGCTGCTATCGAAAATCTCACCTCCGGGCCCATATCAATTCGCCAATGGCGCCGAAACTTTGCACGCGCCTCTTCACCACTTCATAATTCGAATATGGACAACCTACGTTCCGACTCCGCAGCACGCTCTTTCCTGAGGTCGGTGCGATTAGATGCCGGTTACCCATTGGTATCTACGATCCACCCTCAGAGCACGCTTGATACTCGATATGTATCTGTTCAAGTTGTGCATAGGCCGGGCGCTCTCTGATACCCTGCTTGCTTAGTACATTGGTTAGTGTCGTGGCACCAGCGTTGCGATTTGTGAGTGTACGATAGTTGGGTAGTTCTTGTATAGTGTGCATGTCTCGTACGGGAAGACAGATCGCTCCGTCTCCTTTATGGGAGCTTTAACGGTTAATACGTTGTTGTAGCTGAATCGATTCTCTCAAAGGTGTGGTAATCGTGCCCAGCTTCATGATTTGGGATGATGTTTCTCCAGTCAAGCAAACCGTGGGCTTAACCGTATAGGAGAGCGCGGTATATTGTAGTACAGTACGATGCAATAACTGCGCGTCGCCGTAACGAACCAGTGCTGTTCAGCCTCAACAGCTTAACAGAGTCAGAATGTCCATCCAATGGATCACAGGAAAGTCAGGAGGTTAATCCATGGTACGCGCGTACCGCCTCCACATGCCAAAATGTAGCACCGATGGTGATGCATTGATGGCTTGTATCTCTGCTCAACGCGTGAAGTACTGGTAAGCTAGTGAGGATCTCTGCAATCACTTTAAATTATCCCTCTGTGTTTCTGTATTGTGCTGTCCCAGACTCCGAGTGAATTATAAACCAAGGCGCTTCGAGACGGTATGTTAGCCTGTCACCCTGAACCAGATCCCAACCGTAAGCTAAGCAAACCCAGTGATTTAAGAAGGTCAAGGTTCCCTCCTTATTCTACCGCTACCACAGCCGCACTTGGACTATGAAAGGTGCTGGGTAACTTGCCGCCGCACTTCCACCATCCCCTCCCGTGGCAAGTCGTTCCAAAACCACAGGGAAGGTATAAGTGGAATGATTTGGGATGGCAAAGCGGACCAAGCAGATGTGACTCTCTGGCTGCCAGAACGTCGCTTGTAAATTACACGTGTAGTGAATCTGAATGGATTACTTCACGTAGATAGAGGAAATATATCCAAGTCAGTCTTAATCTCCATCGTGAGGAGCAGAGCATGAGCTCACAACCGCTGGGCGCAAGTCACGGAACAACATCGTCCGCGCCGGTCTGATGCTTACATGGTGCGAATCCGTACAACCGTCGTAGTCACGGCCGGAAGGTCAAACCTTTTTGTACAGTCTGAACGCTAGTCCGTATCTACACAGCTATCTTCAGTCGGATTAGCCATGCATGCAAGAAATGCCCGGCAACGTACTTAACACGGTGGCATTCGATTCGGGCAGACGGCAACCGGTAGCAATCTGTCTGCTCGTCCATCATCCGCGGGCACGAACGCGTGCGCGTGCCGCTCATGATCCCACGCAGGTACGTCGTGAAGGCCAAGGTTACGGTCGCCCGCCCTGATGCCGATAATAAACGTCGAGGCCGCACGTTTCGAGAGTGTGGCGATGTCTGAGCGCGCGGCACTGGTAATTTAAGCACGTTGGTCGCCAAACATCAATATAAATACATATACATATATGATGTCATCGTAAAAACGACGGTGGCAATGTCAAGCCCGATGAGTCATTCACTGTACCTTAATGCATCAAATCATCATGGTATCCCTTCCTCGGTACCTGTCTGGCCTTTTTATGTCCACCCATAAAGTTAGGGGAGGTATAGGACATACGGCATTCGAATGCCAATTCAGCCGCCCTCAAGCCGCCCGTTTGACCAATACAAATGCATATCGTTGACGGCTACCGAGAGCGAGCAACTGCTTACCGTATGTGAGAACGTCATCCCGCCGACCGTGTTTCGATCTTGGTACCGAAACTGTAACGTTGTCTACGCATCGCTCGCCAGATCTTGAAGAATCGTGTCATCGACACACATGGGGCATATAGAGACGACCACCGGGGCCGCTGCCTTCGTGTGTCTGCTCCAGGAGAATCGCGATGGCAACCGGAAAGCGCCATTCACTAATGAATGCCGGCGTATAGTGACATTGCGGCGTAAATCTGGCGCGGGGCTGAACAACGCCCTTTGCGACCTCTGTTATGCACGTCACATTAAACATTAGATCAATGAGTGATATCACTGCTGCATGAAACTCACGTAACAAAAGAACTCAGCGCAGAAGATGACCTAGGGAGCCTGGAGAGGGTGAAAGTGGCAGACATGAGAAAGACAATCATCGTGCTGTCACAAAGTCAAACAAGAGAGGTAATGGATGCACCTTTCAAGTTGGCCTCTGACAGATCAGCGCAATCTGGCCTGAGAGGATATCAAGCTCTCCGCGCTGTCGACATACGCACAACTCGGGCTTGAGCTTTGATCTGACCGATTCTGACGTTAACGACCCTTATTCGAGCGGGTGTCTGCAAATCAGGTCTTCAGAGCTGTGCGACAACAGATGGCTGGTCGATAGGGTCCGCAGAAGAACACAGAAAATCAGAAAAAAAATAAAATGCTGATTTGTTCACCGCTTGTTCACAATTTCGCATATGATGTAGCGACAATACGTCTTGGCGCATGCAGCCGTTTGTAAGATCAGCGTGAACCACTGAAGACGACACCATTCGAACTTTTGCAAAGTCTGACATTCACCCCACATGGTCGATGTTTGTTTTCACCTACAATTTCAAAGCACATCTATTGTGATGAAAGAGCTACATGCTAGTGCAGCATGCGCAGGGACACACAGCAAGGTGAGGACTTAGTGGGCAAGGCTACAAGACACCCAGTTAAGGGGTCGAGTCTCTCAGTGGAGAAGTTCCTTTAGATTGTGGTGTAGCTACCTGGTATATATACATGTGGGTAAAGACCCCATATACCGGGTCTAGGACCTCTGGTATCTACAGCCACTGTCTACTTACATAGATGAGTAATACTACAGTATCTAACTGGCCAATGGCATATTTACTCAGTGTCGTACGATACTCTATGAATATCGTGATTGGTCAATGTCCCATCGTACCATCTCTATGAATAATACTATTGGACAGTGTCCTTCCATACCCTCCTTCTTACTGTGATCTTTGTAGATTACTCAGAATACATTATTCCTTCAACACCCTCTCTTGATCGAGATAATCACAGTATGTATCACATCATTGTGTGTACCATAGTTTCTATGAACTATTGACGAGTTTCATGAACAGGTCATTACTGTGGGGTTGCTGATATGAAGAAATGAGGAAGCAAGCGTACGAGCCTCCAGGGGTTGGAATATTTAGAAACAAGTGTTTTGTTTCAAGGACAGTGTTTGCCCTGTGTTCACAATATACCTTAAATGAATATGAGCATTGGCCACTCGGAATGATCATCGGCATGGTCATCAACATTCATTATAAGATACTATGATAAGGTATAAACCAGGCATAATAAAGTGAACTGGCTAATCATCACAGTAATTGCCATGTGATGCAGTTTTAAAGACTTACTTCAGGTCAAATGTGCTTACAGTTTAATGACATGCACTAGGTCGTTAGGGGCGCTTAAAGCTGCCAAAATTGAACATTTTAACGACATGCCAAGGTCGTCGTGCTTGCAGTTTAATTGTCGAATTAAAAGATAAGGGTTGTGGATGAAAAACATAGTTTATGATTGCGGATGCAATCTCCTTATCCTCGGTCTTCGGTCATGACCTCGTGCTTCTGTGTTCTAGCTGCTGAGTCAGAAATCAAGTCATGATATTGTTTGCCCCCACTGAGATTCGAACCTGCACTCGTTGGGGGGCGAGCGGGCCCTGAGTGATAGTGTCAGGTGATCTCGGGGAACTTGAACATCATGGCTTAACCCCTAAGCCACTTGAATGGATGAGATACCAAGTTCGAATCTCGACCAGTATATGATTTTTTAATCATGCAAAGTCACGTGCCATAGGGCGCTCAAAGCTGCCCAGGTTCAAATGCTTTAGAAACAAGAGTTTTGTTTCAAGGACAGTGCTTGCCCTTACTTCACTAAAGTATTTAGAAACAGGAATCTGTTTCAGGGACAGTATCTGCCCTATTTGTCACAGTATATTTCACAGTATACTACGCAAATGGATATTCGATCGAGTGAAGATTTGGTATGCAAGATTTGATCGAATATTCTGGCTAGTCAAGTGTCGTGCACTTCTTCAGATTTGATAGCTCCACAATCTGGGCTGGCTGTATTTGGTATCTAATCATTGTAAGGAAAAACAGTGGTTCTTCTGTGATGTAAGAACTAGTATGGATGCAATCTCGTTGGCTATCACTATGCTCGGTTAGATTGTTTTCTGCGTGCCTTAGCAGTATCCTATACTAATTTTCTGATTTAGAAATATCATCATTTATATGAAGCGACGAGCTTGCTGCGACAGTGGAGTTCGTCAACAACAGTCTACTTCATCATAAACTAGATATGGGTGACTGCCATTAATGTGTGATGCAGTTTAATTGTCATGCTTCAGGACTAAATGTCGCATCAATCAATGTTATAAGCTTTTAAAGGGGCGAAGCGGCCTGTCAAGGTGCTACCCGAGCCTTGAAAGATACTTGCATTACCATGGATATCTGATGACTAGGCAGATACTTGCATGAAAAGACCAGTGTGTTCACTTGTCTACATGGTAAGCTTGATGTGCTTAATAGCACACCCCCTAATCTATGATTGGGTTGGGGCTTGTGAGGAGCACCTCCTAATCTATGATTGGGTGTTTCCTTTCCCTATAAATGTATATCTATATTTTCTCCATATCACCCCCACATTTTACAAGTCGGGTCCATCGTCAGGAGACTGTGTGGAATGTACAGCACAATGGCCATGTTGTCAAGCAACAGGAGGGTGGGAGGGTGGGCAAAGAAAAAATGATAGTTTAATGACTTTCCGGTCATTGAGAGCATACATTTCTATGTAGATCAATGTCTCATGAATGTACAATGGTTTCCCTTCCAAATTTTGTCCAAAGGTGTCAACACAAAGGTGCATATGGGATGAACAATCCAGTTTCAAGTGTCAAGCACCCGCGTGGACCATTCTATGCAACCATAAACTCATGAATAATTTTTCAAGAATTTATACAAGAATAATATATGTATATAAAATCAACATGTATGGGATAGTGTCGACGTCAGTCTGTGACTGGAGGATCAAATGGAGGGAAAAATAAATGTAAGTTGCTTTCCCTTAAAAGGTACTAATCAACAAACATGTGTATTTATATAGCGTCCATACAGGCGCAAAAATGCCCAATTTATTTTTGGATTTTCCCAATAAGGTACTTATCACAAATAATAAATGTTATGGTTTCCCAATAAGAGAATACCAAAATGGGTAACTGGTCAGGTGACCTAGTTGGGCGCTAAAGAGCGCAGTTGCAGGGTGTCAAGGTTGAAGCGGGGCTCATAATCTGATGAAAGAGCTACATGCTAGTGCAGCATGTGCAGGGACACACAGCAAGGTGAGAACTTAGTGGGCAAGGCTACAAGACACCCAGTTAAGGGGTCGAGTCTCTCAGTGGAGAAGTTCCTTTAGATTGTGGTGTAGCTACCTGGTATATATACATGTGGGTAAAGACCCCATATACCGGGTCTAGGACCTCTGGTATCTACAGCCACTGTCTACTTACATAGATGAGTAATACTACAGTATCTAACTGGCCAATGGCATATTTACTCAGTGTCGTACGATACTCTATGAATATTGTGATTGGTCAATGTCCTATCGTACCATCTCTATGAATAATACTATTGGACAGTGTCCTTCCATACCCTCCTTCTTACTGTGATCTTTGTAGATTACTCGGAATACATTATTCCTTCAACATATTGGTCCAACTTGATGCATCAATTTTCGTTCCCTCTACTGCTGCCATGGCACCTAATGGCTCACCTTCTCCTCTTTCTCACTCTTTCTCACTGCTTATGGGCATGCCCATGCCTGTGGCTCCACCTTTGTCACAGATGCTGTTGCAATCTGCTAGCACACCACTGGTGCATTTCTTCTCATTCTACTTCCATTTCTCATTGGCTAATGTGATATCCTCCTGTAGTCCCCTTCAAAGACCTCGCCACAGGTCACCACCATGTGCTTTGCTCTGTATGAGGGGTGGAAGGACCTTCAAGTAGCCTGTGCTCTGGATGACGACTGTGCAATGGAGGCTGCTGTGAGATCTTTTTCAGCTTGCTTGGTGAGTCCTGCTACCTGTGCCTGGTGCTACAGTCATTACTAAAACCTTTATCTTTAGTGCATTCTGGATGACATTCCTGAGGAGGCTGCTCACATTCACATGAAGAACTTCTGTGAGAAGGTCCACGCCTTGCTGGATCCATCATGCATCCATCCTGGCTCTCATGGTATGAGGAGCTGTTGTCCCCTGGTGCACGCTGCTGCCTTATCTGAGGCCAAGGTGCATCGGGCTTGCTTTTCTTGCACCCTATCCATTTCTAATAGCCTGCATAGGACTCGAGCCCTCTGCCATCTTCAGTTGTGTCAGCCCATACACCCACAGAGGGTGACATTATTGAGATCCCTGAAACTTCTCTGGCTACATCCCCACTCATTCTTCTACATGACTCTTTTCCATCCATTCCTGCTCAATCTACCATCACTCCTATAAATGTTGAGGCCCCATCTTCAGAGACACTGACATCATCATCCTTGCAGTTTCAGCCAAGCCCAAACAACTCGCTGTTCCTCCCTAGCATGCCCAGTGCTCTGGCAATGGACATCGACACTGAAGGAGAACCTGAAAACATCATGTCTGTCTGCAGCTCTGACCAAGATGAGCTGGCCGATGATGAGGAGGCCTCTGCAGATGAGTCTTCAACTACTCTATCTGCTGAGACTGCTCCAAAAAAGGACATGGTTGCCAGTCTAGAGTTGCCAAAGCCATTCTGGACTGACATATGCATCTGCCAATTTGAACTTTCCATGATCACTCTCTTTCTCCTGAGTACATGTCTGCATGGCACAAGCCCACCATTGCCTGTCTGGTAAGCCCTGCCCATCCATTGTTCTGAGTCTCACTCACCGTTCTCGTATTATAGTGTTGCCATTGCCTGGAGTCTGAAAAGGTGACCTAAACCTGTATCCTCGACGAGTTTGAGCCAATGTGCTAGAAGTGCCACCGTGATCACAAGATGTGCATTTGGTGGTCACGCCTAACTGCTTTTGATCTGAATGACGATTCTGGCTGGGCTGGGCTTGACACGATCTACCACTAATGTCACTGGTCCCTTCCTCTGGCCATCGATAAGGAGATGTCCCTCACAGTGGCGTTTCTGCAGCTTACTTATAATAGGAAGCAGGGCAAGGTCAACTACAAGGGTGCTTCCCTTGCCAAACAGCTTGGTCTTCCCCAGGACACTTCTGTTGGTGAATACGAGGAGCACCTCTTCATGCTCCCTTGTCTTCGTAAGTTCTGCTCCTTTCTTTCTTTCTATTGCCTTCTTACTATCATTTCTTTTCAAGGATCAGTCCCAGTCATTTTGGTCAAGAAGAAAGCAGCTGCCACCACTAAGCTACAGAAGAAGCTTAAAGAGCTGGCCAAGAAAGAGCTGGCTGTGACCAGTCATATGTTAAAGATTCTGCCATATCACTTTGGTATATGGCTCTTCATCCTTCATGCACATGCTAACCAATGTTGCCTCAATAGATCTCATCACCACTCGCACCTTCAAGTGTGCTCACATTGAAGACTTGAAGCCTGAAATTGAGCACTTCTGAGTGCCACTCGAAGAGCCCAAGGCCACCACTTCTAACAAGATGAAGTTGTCGAAGGGTAAGAAATGCGCAAAGAACTCTGCAGTCACATCCTCGTCAAAGCTGGCCACTGACAATATGTCTCTGGTCACTGTCACTGTCAAGCACAATGAGCTGTGAATGCGGCTCTCCACAACAATGTTGCAGTTTGACCTGCTGCTCCAAAACTCACAGAAGATGGCCGAGGACAATCACAAGTTCCTCAGGCAAAAGTAGTGAGTTTGAGGATCTTCATGGATGGGCTGGCACAGTGACACCCTAGGGCTTTGCCACGGCATGTTTTTTGTACACTTTATCTAGTGTTCTCTCCCCTTCATGCATGCGGGGCAATGTATTTGTTGTTTCTTTTTGCAAAATATATACTGTTTGCCCAAAACCATCGGTGTGACTCAAGTTAAGGAAGAAAAGATTATATAGGCTGTACTTGAGAGGTTGAGTTGACTTGTCTTGAATTCTAAATAGAGGGAATTATCTTGAAAGCAGTATATGGTGAGTTGCTGACCCTCCTTCAGAGCCTACTTTTCATCGTCATTGGATCCTTCTCCCTGCTGGTCTTCTCCTCCATTCTCCAATTGTTCTCCATCATCTTCCAAACAGGGCTCTTCTTCTCCTTCATCTTCAGCTTGACACATTTCTTTGAGTCAGACTTCTGATGCATCCAGCATTTCCTCGAATATGGTGATTTTCTCCTCTGCCATGAAAGGTACCACTCAAAATGCCATGGCTGGTCTATCCAGGCCCACTCCATCTAGCTCAGTGAGCATGTACACTCCTCCCCAACTGTGAAACAACATGACATATGGTCCTATGTAGCATGATCACATCTTTTGATTAAGCACCTTTTCGATTTGAGTATGTCGTACTAGTACCAGGTCTCCTTTTTTGAAGTTGAAGTCTTTGATAGTTCACTCGTGTATTCTTTTGAATCATCTCGCAGCTGCTCTCCTAGCCTCATAGACAGCATTATGAATATGTGCGACTTGTTCTCGATGTTTCTGCAGCACTTCTGCTCGACTTGCAATTAGGTCCATGGTTGTTACCATTCTGACTGGTGCTGAAATCAGGGAGGTCACTTCAATGATATTGAGCAGTAAAACTGGATGGGTGCCAGTGACTGCAAAATAGGATGAGCGCCCCATTCATCATCGAATGATTACTCTTTCTGACCAAAATACTGAGTGGGCAACCTGGCTCCATTTGTGCTCCTCCCTGTCAGCAGTCTTGAATAGGCCCCTGCCAAATGTTGAAGTGTGGATGTTCAACTATTTCATTTGCACAAGAGTTGTAGCCACTAATCTGAATGTGGTTGACATGGTACTTCTTCTCCAGATAGGCTACAACTTTTATAAATGGAGCTCCGTTGTCCATTATAATTTCTGACAATGCTCCCCAGTGACAAAGTACGTCCTTAAAAATTCAGTCACTGAGTGTCTTTGCTGTCTCCACTCAGAGCATTCAGAACTTGAGGTAGTGTGTAAGTGAGCACCATCCTTGCACAATATATTTGAATCCGTTCGATGGCGGCATGTGCATAGCGTCGATATATATCTTTGTGAAGACCGGAGCTTGTATTACAACAGTTGGTGGGATCAGAATTTGGTAAATCTGTTGTTTCTGGCATATTTTGCAGGTTCTGATAAACCATGTGATGTCTGCGCCAACGTCTGGCCATCAAAATCATTTACCATGGCTGCCTAAGTCAGAAAGACACCTCAATGTTCCAACTCATTATATGCTTCAGCTAGAATCCTCAAATGGTTTTTAGGCAGGACCACTAGCTTGTGTGATCTCTGAGCATCCTTTCACCATAACCGACCATCTCACTTGAAGAAGTGAACTGCATACTTGAGCATATGATCATACTCTTTTTTTATCAGATCTTCTGGCTTCTGCAGTGTCTCTAGCCAGTCGATGATCTGAGAGATCAATTTATCATTTCTTCTGGCTCTAGCCGATCATGAAACATTGGCATAGGAGATCAAACTTTGCTCTGCTGATAGCTCTGTTCCATTATCTGACTGTTCTGGTAGTGCAAAGATTGCTTGTATGCCTGGATCCTCCTCCATTCTGAAAAATTGACCATCCTCAGTCACTGACATGGGGTTCATGAGTTGCAATAAGAAAAGTATATGATGAATGAATCTGTGCATCTGATCTATCCAGTCATCAAATTCTGCATCCTTGATTAGTTCTGGTGGTGGACTTTCCAGTTGTCTAGGTCGATGTGATAAACTGTCTAGTCCATGCATTACTCCAGGTACATGGACTAGCTTGAATTGGTACATCAGGATTGCAATGACCCAATAATTGATGCTTGCGCTGGGGGTGATATTGGATTTCTGCAACATTTCCTTGATGTATTTTGCTCCCACCTCGACGATGAGATTCTGAATGCTAATCAAATAGACCTTGAGTGCTTGGAGCATGCAGTACAATCTGTATAACTCCAACTTTGGCTGCAAGAATCTTTTCTCGTGATCGTTGAGTGTGATTGAGCCATAGTGGTTGAAGAATCACTTCTTTGATCTGTCATTCACATCTTGGCATAGCTGATATCCAACCACAATCTGAGAGATGTCCACTGCAAGAATGACTGGTGCAGGTAAGTTGTAGTTAATTGCGTGCAGCATGGGTGACTGCAGCAGAGCTTGCTTCAAGTCCTTCATTGTCTTGAACTAAGGTTCACCAAACTCAAATGGAACTCCTTTTTTTGTGAGTTGTACTAGTGAGTGGGCTCATTTGGTGAAATCCTTGATGAATATCCTCACCACTCCGATTGTGCCCAGGAAGGCTCAGATCTCTAAGAGATCTTTGCACAGTTCCCAGTTTCGAACCATCCATATGCAAGATTCATCTGACAGGCATCCTTCAGGGGTGCACCAATGTTCCACTACTGTGATTTCTTCCATGCAAAGCATTAGTTTTGTGCTCGAGAATGTTCCACCTGCATATTTCATGTGTTGCACCACTTAGTTGAGGTTCTGGAAATGTTCCCAGATGAAGCGCTGAATGCCACTGTTGCCTGTGATCATTTTAAAGGTTCCATCTGATCATTCATATCATGTTGTTGATCCTTTAACTGGTACATTGTCAATGTAGGGGACTGTATAGGCCAGTATCTCCACTTGCAGGATGTAGGTTACATCGTTGTGGAAAATAGAGACTGAGTTAGTCCATCCCATCAGCAGGGTGACTAGGTGCAATGCTCCAAATGGCATTTGGAACATTGTAAGATCACGTGATGTTTCAGCTATGAGTCTTTCATCATATCCAATATATAGGTCCAGCATGGCACCACATGCTCGACCATCAAACTGTTCTGCCAAGTGCTCTGAAGTTGAAGTTATGTCTGAGTGCTGAATTATGACTGCATTGAGCAGCTTCAGACTATGGACTAATCGCAATGATTTTCCATCCTTCTTGACTATGCAAAACCATCAGAAGTGATAGGAGAGATTTGATGGTTTGTATACTTCAGCATTGATCTTTTTCTTGATTATGGTGCATACTTCTTTGTATATTCCTGGCAGAATCAGAATATTCTGCTCGATCCAAGGCTTGTGCGATATTACTGGGAAGTCCATAGGTGGGAAGTACTCTGCCTTGAAGCTCCCTCTTTCTGAATCTCCCCAAGTGAATGCCCGATTGTGTAGGCACATGAACACATGCATCAAAGCTCACTCTTCCAGTCACAGGAATCCTGGCTTGTGCACAGCATCTAACACCTCCATTCACTCTTTGGTGTATTGTCCTGTTAGAATGAATAGTCCTGGTCACTTGGGTAGTTGTGGTAGACTTCATAGTGGATCTCCTATTATTTTGTACATGATCTAAACTGCTCCAGTACTGATGCGATTACCAGCTTCATTTTAAGTGCCACCAATTTGTACTTCTTTTTTGTGGCTACATACATCGTGTTCGTACTTGATTCTGAAGTGGGCGCAAATCTGATTATTGATCGTAGCAGCTGCGTAAATGTGGTATTTGTGCTTGGAAGAATGGCTGAGGTTGATGTGTATAATGAGGACACTGCATCGAGAACTTGTCCCGATGCTCACAGATAGCTGGACTGAACTGAGATGGGATCAGAAGATATGACTAGGGAATAGGCTGATATTACTGGGATGTCTGAGTCACTTACATTGATGATTAGAGCCATTCCGTCACTTTTGATAGTCATATCCTCCATTAGTGAAAACCCGTATCCTTCTGTCGAGATTGCTGTGTCCCAACTTGGGGTGGTCCTCTTGGTACAGTGGGTATAGTAGCCACTCGTCCCATGTTCAGACATATGATTGTTACCGTTTGTTTCTCATTGAAGAAATTGTGCACTATGCTCTTGGTGAGCACATTAAATGAATGTTTGAGCAGAATATCATAGGCTGCTGCCTCAATGATGTGGATCTGGAGATAGAGGACTATGTCCCTGACTTGAAACAGTACGTTGCGCACTAGACCGAGTGACTGATCAACTTCTGCATTTGTCGATTGCATGTTGAGTTCAATGGTTGGGTCATAGATAAGTCCTAGTGTGTGTCACACTTCTTCTGACATTGCTATGATTTGACGACCTGGATCTAGGATCGCTTCCACTCATTCCTTGTTGTCAATTAGCACAACTATTAAGTGGAGTGCATGTGAGTCCTTCGCCACTGTTAGCTGCTCTGGCTCATCTCCACTGTGGACATGCTTCAAGTATGCATCGTAGGGATCAGGGATGATTGAGCCTATTGCTGCTAGTGGCTCCCCTCAACAAGTAAACTCCTCCTCCTGTCCAACTGCCACCATTCCATCTTCTGCAGATTCTAGGATTGACACCATTCCTGCTGCACTTGGAGGCACAATGTGCTTTAGTGTGCATGCTTCTCGGTACTTGTTTCAGATGTCTGGTGATATGAAAAGCAGTTCTTCCATTGACAAGGTTACTGAGGATGCTTTCATTGACTGTTTGAACACTGTGTTTGCTAGTTCTGGCTGGTAGATAGGTGATGCATTATGATAGGCTGCATCATGCACCCCTGGCTTCAGGGCTTGTCCAAAGTTATGCATACTTGGTGGAATGTAGAGCACATCTCTTGCTACTCAGAATGGATGCTCTGACGCACTCTGTTACTGGTGCGGACACACTTGGAGTACTCTCACTAGCCTTCTCAGCCTCCATCTGAGGCTTTGAAGACTCAGGTGCTTTCTCCATTTGTGCTAGCTTTGGCGCCACTCCTGCTGGTCACCTAGGTGGCATATGAACACCATCAAATACTGGCCTTGAGCACTTGAGATTAAATAACTCATGTTCTAGCACTTTGATCCTATCCTCTGCCTCTAGCAAGAATGAGCTGGCCTTGGCTGATGATACTTCAAATAGGTTGGCTGCTGAGACTGATGTGGTTATCAGCATTTGGTTGCATCAGTGCCACTTGTATATTTAATCACAGATCATGATTCCTGGGATATTACGAGGCAAGAAAGTTCCATTCAGTAGGACAACCTTTCCTGCTGCATTGCACATGCACTTGCCATTCTTGATGTCTTCCTTGATGTGTTTGCAGGTTCCTATCATTTTTTCTGCTTCTCTGCAGTAGTGGCAATATTTGCTCGCATTTTCATTCATCACTGGTGGCTTACTTGCAGTGGCAGATTAGATGCTGCCATTCGACTTGATCACTTCTCTGGTTGCTGTGGTCATGAGCGTTTGCACCGATTTGACTAGGCTTTCTATGAGCAAAGAAATATCCTTGCTTTTGATACCTGTCATCCCACTAGCTGGTGTAGTTGATGATGTTTTTACTGCTGGTGGCCCTGCATTAGTTCCATGCAAGATGAACTTTGCCACTTCATAGACGTCGTTGATGGGGTAAGGGTCATCGGGATAATGATTGGGCTACTTCAGTTGTAGCCGCTGCAAGATCCTATTCTATAGCTTCAGCTGGAAACCCCATACAAAGGCACAGTTATATTCAGACTCAGAGATGCAGTTCTTGTCAATATGGAAGGATATGATTGCTAGAAATTCTCGGTGATAGTTTTCTAGCTCCACAATCATCTGTATTCTGAGGCAGACACACTCCCTGACTAATAGATCCATATCCCTAACCTCCCATTTCTGCTCAGTATCTGCGCCAGGCTATACAGTAGTTTCTGGATTGCTTGCTTCAAGTCTCGGTATGTTTTGAGTGGATTAGTGTATTCTGGGAGTGATTTCACAAGGTCGGTGACATCGATGTTAAGGTAACACTTTACCCATAGCTTCTTCTCAGCTTTGGTGTTGATTTGGCAATGATTGAATAGGATTTTGAGGTCATCAAAGAAACAGAATAGTGTTCTTGGCTGATTGAGATCAAATACTGGCGCTGATCGATCACCTCAGAATGACATTTGGTTGGTTATGATGGTACCCATGACTAAGGTGGCTGTGATTAGAGGTGGAGCTGTGTGGGTTCGACCCTGAACTGGATCCCTAGCATGTTCTGCTGCAAATGCAGCTTCTAGTTCATCTAGAAGCATTCAGAGAGGAACTTCAGGGGACGAAAATGTGAAATGTGCCAAAAGTGGCTCAGCAACGGATGATTTGAGTGAGTTATGCTGGGATGGAGTAAGGGTACCAAGAGGTGAGATGCTAAGTGAAGCGGTAGATGCAGGTGATTGTGATTGGAATGCCGAGAGCTGTGTTTCATGTAACAGAGATGGATGGTAGTTAGCTAAGGGCCTGTTCAGCCACTAACTGATGCGTGTCCGTTATCTTCCATAACTCTTAGCGCCCAGTTATGGACAACACGGAAATGTGACTGAGCATTATATTAGGGTGATATAGTGTGACAACTAAGTGTGCACAGCCACCTACAATGACAATGAGTCAACAACATGCGAGCTTGCTATGCTATCCAGATAAAAGACAGTGATTTACCTACACAAGCTCAATGGAGCATCAAAGAAGAGACTCTTTTGATACAACTTCTCACTGAGCACCATGCAGAAGCTGGAGATGGGGTTAACTACAAAGAGGCCACATGGTGAGCTGTTGCTGAAGAAGTGCAGAAGTATACCTTGCGAGGAGCTCCTAAAACTGCGAAGTTCTGCAAAACAAAATGGGCTGATGTGAGTAGTCACATTCTGAAATCAAGAGTCATTGAACTAACTCTTTGTAGTTGCGAGAGACATACCATGTTATTGCAGCTCTACTTGAGCAGTCCAGATTTATCTGGAGTGCTGACCATGGTGTGCAAATTGATGAGTGCTCGGAGACTGTGTGGCAAGAGTATGTGAAGGTAAGTAAATCATATATCCTTGCCATGCTTGTATTGAGTCATTTTAGAAACATCTGAAGGCAGCACCATTTCGCAACAAAGGCTGGCCACATTTTGAAGCAATGCAGGCTATCATGCCTTCGAAGGTAAAGGGTGGACATGTATATCATGCTATGCAGGAGCCTGAAATGGCTGAGGGTAGTCAGTGGGAAACTCAGGATGTGGATGATCCCGATGTGACTCAGACATTTATCTTGGAGTCACAGCTTTTTGAGGAGCAGGAAGATGAGGATTCAAATAGCAAGCATGGTGAGCCTATCAGTATAACTAACCTTCTCTAGGAATTCATTCTATTCATCTAGATGAACCTGAGGCAGTGAAGACTCCAGAGCGGAAGGACAAGTGCAAGTATTCGGTGATCATTTCTCCATTTTCAGCATCAACATCTCAGGCTCCTCCTGCATCAAAGCGCAATCGATTAACTGGCTCAACTGCATTTCATGGGATATGTGAAGAGCTGTCACTGTTCAATGACAGTTTTTGGTATGGTTTACAGCAGTTGCAGCCCACCACAGAGGGATCTCCCATTTGCAAGACTCGTGTCATTGAGCGAGCACAGGAGTTGGAGACTGATTTGGATGATGATGAATTGGTGGATCTTCTGATGATATTTGAAAAGGATCATGCTGCTGCTGATGCTTATATGGTCATAAAATCTGACACTCTTCAGAAATGTTGGGTTGAGAAGAAACTTGAAAGGGATTAAGTACTAGTCATGTATCTAGCATTGTTGAATCTAAACACCCCCCTCTCTCAAAGCACTTGTTGATAATCATCCCACATTTCCTGTGCAACTCTGTCACACCTGGCATTAGCACATGTCACCTTTGCCTGATGTGCAGGACCTTCTGCCAATTCTCCTGCATTCACTTCAAACCATTCATCTTCACCCATGGCTCCTTCAAAGTCTTGAAGTTCATCAGGATCATGTATATGAATGAAATTGTGAATTGCACAGAGAGCAGGTGGGATGCAAGCCTGAATGTCATGTCATATTCAGGAGGATAGAGAAGAATTTTGAATCTTCGCTTGAGTATATCAAAAATTTGTTCAATGGCATTGCGAGCAGAAGCATGTCGAAGATTGAAGAGTTCCTTCTTATTTGTTGGTCTATAGCAAAAGTCAGACCTAAAAATAAGCTATCGTAAAAGCACAAATTTTACCGTAGGTCTGCCCTTCACCATTCAGCAAAATGGTATCGCACTCCTCGATATGGCACAAGAAGTGCATCACATGATCCAAACCCTGCATCTGCAAGCCAGTACTTCCCCCTTGGAATTCTCAAACTCGTAAGCTGAGCATTGGTATAGACAGCAGCATCTGCTGCTGATCCTTCCCATCTACTCAACATATAGTGAAATGTCAAGTCAAACCCACATGCTGCCAGACAGTTCTGTGATACCTCTTCCTTTCAATTTTGAGAATTTGCACGCTCCTCTGCAAATGGTGAGCAGTTGATGTGGGTTCCATCTATGGCACCTAATTCATCCTTGAAGAATGACCAGAATCGAGGATTGTTGTGAATTTCAGATGGTGTTGGATCATGTTCTGATGGCAATTTGACATATTTTGTGTAAAATGGGGGAGACGAGAAGATGTATAACATTCACTTGAAATATCGATATTGATTTGTCAGATAACATTCTGTAATAACCATATAAGGCATACACTGAAATTGTCTCATTGGACCATTGAAATCGCTCTCCAAGATGTCGGACAGACAAGCCAGTTACTGAGGCATAGAGAAAAATTGCAAGTTGCTCTTTGAGGGTCACATATCTTGAGTCTGTGTGGCCCATCTCCTTGAGGGTGTCAATCAAAGCATAGAATACATGGTGATGCACTCCTAACTCTGATCGAATCTGCCTTGGGTGTCTGAGAAGAAGCTCAAGTACCCAGCCAGCACCAGTAAGAATGGAAGTGTGATATGGTTCAGGGTTGTGTAGGGTATCAGCAAGGCATAGAAGTGCAGTAATTATAATTTTTATGAAGGCAGCGGCATGATGAAGTAGTAGAATTTGACATTGACACCATTGCTCAGAATCCATAGTGCAATACAATCTATTGCTATCGTGCACAAGCCGTGACAGCGGGCCGTCATAGCATTATTACTATATATGGTAATAGTTGGTGTTGTTTAGCCATAACTGAGTGCTTAGCGTAACGGAGGTGCATCAGTTAGTGGCTGAACAGGCCCTAAATGAGGTCAGCCTTCTTCCATTTGCTCAAATCCTGCCCTCTGAAACTCATGTAGTCAACTGAGTCACTGATTGAATGCCGAGAAAACTTTCTCATCTGACAAATCACCTATGGTTGTGAGTCCGCTTGTGTTTCAAGGGGATACTGAACTTCCTCTTCAGTTTTTGAGCATAGTGCGATCAACTCAGTACTGTGGACTTTAAATTCTCTTTCACCCCTTGTGATGAGCTCCAGAAATGATATGCTCAATCGTGCTCTGGCTGTCAGCTACTTCTATCTTATTGGAGAAGGCAGATCAGAGCTGTCTGTCTCCATTCACCTTTAACTGCAGTCACTGGAACTTCAGCTGATAATGCTTTGAGGGGCAGCTGGGAGTCATTCAGCATTGTGCTTGAAACTGAGCGGTGAGTGGTGATTGAGACTAGGATAATATTTCTAACTCTGGCTAAGTTCAGAGATGGATGGATCATGTGGACAGGTTGGGTAGGTATCATCGAACTCAGATGAGCATGCATAGAGATGTGAGGATTAAGTGGTAACGTGAATCTTTGGCTGACTAAGCTAGTGGCTTGGGCACTATAAATAGCTCTCCCCAGCACTACAGATAAGGTCTGAGTGCTCTCTAGATCTCTCTCCAGGGCATCTATACTGTGCTCCCCAGCACTACGAATGGGGTCTGAGCACTTGCTGCAGCTACAAAGTCCGATGGGGATAGGAATCTGAGTTGTTTGAGCTTATGACTGGTGGTGTGAGAAGAAAAAAAATAAAGTTACGTGAGTACAGAACGCGGTAATGTGACTTAACTGGGCACCTCCGGAATCGTGCTGCAAGCCACTAGATAGAGTGCTGCCCCAGTCAGTGTTGAGAGCGAACAAGGCATTGATATCGAGCATAGACTGGATGAACTGAATAGGATAGTCCACCCTATTTTGAGGATAATGTAGAAATTGAGAACTGAGGGGTGAACTCCTTGTTCTTTTTGGGCTACGTACATAAGTCATTATATAGATATAGAAAAATGTCTTCTAGTGTAGCAGAAGACATTTCCGATCCTCTGAAACAACTTCAAGCCATTTTTCACCTCCTCTTCATCATTGCTTGCAGTCAGGGAAGCAGGAGGTATTGGCCCTCCAGAGTCTAGCAGTCTGCTGCCCTGCACTTTTCTTACCTAGAGCGTACTTTTGTTTCTAATTTTCCAAAATCATCCTGCTCCATTCCTTCTTCTTTATTCTTGTAATCAGTGGTGCTAGTGTGCAGGTCCCAGCTCATCTCTGAGCCTCACGTATGATCCTTCATGATATCATAGTGCTTTCTAGGATTCTTCAGAGTCAGAGGTCCTCATGCTGTTCTGTTTGGAGTATTCTGCTTAGTAAATACACATTATCGAGTCATGCGATCCTCAGTGGCTCTTTCAGTTGGGCTTCTGAGCACAGCACTTTCTGATGCATATCATCGCTCACTCTAGACCATTTCAGCTCTGACTCTGATGCTCCCGGGTCCTGGTGACTTGCTATCTGATAGTGCGATAGGCAGATGCTTTCTGGTCATTTTTCCAATCACAGAATATCTTGGTGCATATCAATGCAGCAATGGGTGGCTGTGAGTCATTCAGCTGTGTGACTTGAAAAGGATCAGATTTGCCAATCTGAACAGGTGAGTGATGGGTTTAACTATGGAGGTGCCTCTGACTGAGAAAGAGTTGAAAGCTGGAAGGTGTGGAAGTGTGTGTGTGGAATGTAATTGGCGACTCCTGTACTCGTGAACTACTATGGCTGAGGATTTGAGCTATGACACGAGAACTTGCTATATCTGAATGAAGCTGGCTAGGCACTGACAATGAGGCCCTAACTGCCCCCAAACTGACTGAAGTGCCGATGAGCAATCCCTGAGCACTTCTGACTGGATTGAGCACTGATGATGAACTCCTGGGCATCTAACTAGTACTACCCAGCACTACAGATCAGGTTTGGCTGCTAATGAGGCTACAGGGTTCGATGGAGACAGAATCGTGATTTGAGACCCGTGGTAGGTGGCATGTGACATTAGAACGTGATAATGTGACCTTGGCTGGCTGAAACCTGAGTCGAATTAGAGGCCACTACTGAGAGTGCTGCCCCTCTCAGTGTCAAGAATCTCAGAGATGTAGAATCATAATCATGAGTGACATAAGCATAGTCAGGCATGATGCCCTTGCATAGACAAGATGAGAACTGAGCTGTCACAAACCGTAATATTCCACATTATTTTATTGCTCGCTTCGTGATCACGTGACTATTCACGTGCTCACTCACGTGTACATCTTAAGTGCACATATCATGTGCAAGACCTCATACGTCATAGAACAGGCACTAACTATTCTGCCTAATAGATAAGGTGCCATATCCGAAGACTCAAGATCCGGTCGCTTATCCA